TGTGCGCACATGCCAAAGTGTGTATTTGTATGTGACAGCAAGAGCGTGCGTTTTCATGTGTGTTCTGTCCTAATTTCCCTGTCACACGTCCCTAACTCTAATGCACACAACACATCAATACTCAAAGCCAATTATCACTTTCCTCTGCTGGTCATTGATTCAGCCAGGATCTCAGCCTCTGTCTCTATTAGGAGCTCATGCCACTGCTAACCGAAGACAGATTACAATGACGTGGAAATCATCACCCCGTCATCCTATCACCCCATCCTACAGTATGACAAAAGGAATACATGGGACTGGGGAGATGCATAAGGCCAATGCAGCCATTTTTATCTCAATATAAAATCATTTCTGAGTAACAATAAAGTACCTTACTGTGATTGTTTTCAATTAAAATAGCTTTTTAGCAAAGAGACATTTCTCAAGCAAGAATTTTGCTAGGACTGTCTGGGAGTGGTCTGAGTGGGGAGGGGAAAACTGAAAACTAGCTGTTATTGGTCTATTAACTAATTTACCGCCTGGTGATGTAAACAGGCAGGAGACAGGCCAAAACACTATCCCACCAAAAAAGGCTGACATTTCAGGCAGTCTTTTCAAATAGCTCTTACATTAAAAAGGCATTATCATAATTTTCACAATATCACAATATTATTCCAACTAGGGCTGTGGTGGTCATGAAATTTTGTCAGCCGGTGATTGTCAAGCAAATAACTGCCGGTCTCACGGTAATTGAACATTAATTAACATAAACACATTTAGCATCTGCTGGCTTCCACGCATAGCCTACAAGCCACTGATGTAGACCTTTGCAACATCAACATTTTAAAAAGTCGAATAAATCCATGTAATATAGCCTACACCATCACAATAAATCCATTATTTATTTTAGACAGGTCTAAAGAAACATGATTTGTAGAAAATGTAGTCTATTTCAGAAGAACAGAATAGCATACTCTGAGTTGTCCTTATGTTAGGCCCTGATCTGGCTATGCCATATGGCTGTGAGTTACACTCATTTAGCAGACAAGATTTGCTTAGAATTCCGTGGCATTACAATTGAACATAGTTGAATAAAATAGAAAGGATATTTGATTTTTTATATATTCTAAGGATGCTTGATGCGACTTCAATGAGGATTTGAAAAAAGTTGCATGAAAGGCATGAGCTCTGCTTTGTTTTTTGCGCAGGTTGTACACACTTCATCAGTCTCTCATTCACAATTTGACAAGCACTTGATAATGCCTCGAATGTCCCGGTGGCATCCCCTTTGTGGGCCATAATGCCCCCTAAAAAAATCCATGCCTTTGGCAGCCAGTGGCCGTTGTGCCCTTGGGCTGAATATAATAATTATAATTCCCTTCTCCCAGCACTCACATGGCTCTCTGTCACGTGATTTGGTCTTTTTTCACAGGCTACAAGTGAAGACAGACACATCGGGGACGCAACTGCGCGCGTCCTTATCCAATTCCGAGGCGCATATTGAAGATATTGGAAGAACGGTCCACATTTACACTTCCAGTCAAAAGGTTGGACACACCTACTCATTCAAGGGTTTTTCTTTATTTTTACTATTTTTTACATTGTAGAATAATAGTGAAGACATCAAAACTATGAAATAACACATATGGAATCATGTAGTAACCAAAAAAGTGTTAAACAAATACAAATATATTTTATATTTGAGATTCTTCAAATAGCCATCCTTTGCCTTGATTGACAGCTTTGCACACTCTTGGCATTCTCTCAACCAGCTTCATGAGGTAGTCACCTGGAATGCATTTCAATTAACAGGTGTGCCTTCTTAAAAGTTAATTTGTGGAATTGATTTCCTTCTAAATGCATTTGAGCCAATCAGTTGTGTTGTGACAAGGGAGGGTGTGTATACAGAAGATAGCCCTATTTGGTAAAAGACCAAGTCCATATTATGGCAAGAATAGCTCAAATAAGCAAAGAGAAATGACAGTCCATCATTACTTTAAGACATGAAGGTCAGTCAATACGTAACATTTCAAGAACTTTGAAAGTTTCTTCAAGTGCAGTCGCAAAAACCATCAAGCACTATGATGAAACTGACTCTCATGAGGACCGCCACAGGAATGGAAGACCCAGAGTTACCTCTGCTGCAGAGGATAAGTTCATTAGAGTTACCAGCCTCAGAAATTGCAGCCCAAATAAATGCTTCACAGAGTTCAAGTAACAGACACATCTCAACATCAACTGTTAAGAGGGGACTGTGTGAATCAGGCCTTCATGGTCGAATTGCTGCAAAAGAAACACTACTAAAGGACACCAATAATAAGAAGAGACCTGCTTGGGCCAAGAAACACGAGAAATGGACATTAGACCGGTGGAAATGTGTCCTTTGGTCTGGAGTCCAAATTGGAGATTTTTGGTTCAAACCACCGTGTCTTTGTGAGACGCGATGTGGGTGAACGGATGATCTCCGCATGTGTAGTTCCCATCGTAAAGCATGGAGGAGGAGGTGTTATGGTGTGGGGGTGCTTTGCTGGTGACACTCTCTGTGATTTATTTCGAATTCAAGGCACACTTAACCAGCATGGCTAGCACAGCATTCTGCAGCGATACGCCATCCCATCTGGTTTGGGCTTAGTGGGACTATCATTTGTTTTTCAACAGGACAATGACCCAACCCACCTCCAGGCTGTGTAAGGGCTATTTTACCAAGAAGGAGAGTGATGGAATGCTGCATCAGATGACCTGGCCTCCACAATCCCCCGACCTCAACCCAATTGAGATGGTTTGGGATTAGTCAGACGGCAGAGTGAAGGAAAAGTAGCCAACAAGTGCTCAGCATATGTGGGAACTCCTTCAAGACTGTTGGAAAAGCATTCCAGGTGAAGCTGGTTTAGAAAATGAGTGTGCAAAGCTGTCATCAACGCAAAGGGTGGCTATTTGAAGAATCTCAAATATAAAATGTATTCTGATTTGTTTAACACTTTTTTGGTTACTACATGATTCCATATGTGTTATTTCATAGTTTTGATGTGTTCACTATTATTATACAATGTAGAAAATAGTAAAAATAAAGAAAAACCCTTGAATGACTAGGTATGTCAAAGTTTTTGACTGGTACTGTACATTTCGTCAGCCAACAAGATGAGTAGCCCTAACGAACAGCAAAACCACTAGCCTATGCCAATCCCCCATAGTACATTTACATTTTAGTCATTTAGCAGACGCTCTTATCCAGAGCGACTTACAGTTAGTGAGTGCATCATTCTTTTTCATCCTGGCCCCCCGTGGGAATCGAACCCACAACCCTGGCGTTGCAAGCGCCATGCTCTACCAACTGAGCTATACGGGACCAAAAGTTGACCTATTGTCACGCCCTGACTCTGGCGACTCTTATTTGTTGAGTCAGGGTGTGTATTTTCTATGTGGTGTAGATCTATGTTTAAAGTCTAGTATGTCTAGATCTATGTTGTCCGGTGTGGTTCCCAATCAGAGGCAGCTGTCGCTCGTTGTCTCTGATTGGGGACCATACTTAGGCAGCCTTTTGGCACTAGTGGGTTGTGGGATCTTGTTCCGTGTGAGGTTTGTTGTGTGTACCTTAGGACGTCACGTATCGTTGGTTTATTGTTTTGTCGAGTGTTTATTAAGTTTAAATAAACATGTTTGCATAGCACGCTGCGCCTTGGTCCATCCCGTTTATGAACGAACGTGACAGAAGATCCCACCAGACCTGGACCAAGCAGTGTGCCGAGGAGGAGCAGAGAGGATGGACTTGGCAGGAGATGAGAGAGGATCTGGCAAGAAAGATGGAGGCCCTGAAAGGGATCAGGGTGGAGAGGCACACGGTGTGGAATTTTTTTTTGGGGGGGCACACGGTGTGGACGACGAGGCAGCAGGAGGCCGCGAGAGGGCGGATCTGCTGGTTAGGAGAGGAGGCCACCAGATTACGGGGGCTTTTGGTTCAGAGGGAGCAGAAGGAAGGTGTAGAGGCACGGCGAGAGGAGCTGGTTAGGCAGCAGAAGGAGCGGGGGTTAATAAAGGAACCCAGTCCCGCTCCTCGCACCAAGCAAGTGGTGCGTGTTCCCAGTACGGCCCGACCCATTCCTGCTCCTCGCACCAAGCCAGTGGTGCACGTTGCCAGCCCGGCCCGGCCTGTTCCTGCTCCTCGCACCAAGCCAGTGGTGCGCGTCGCCAGCCCGGCCCGAGCCGACCCGTTCCTTCTCCTCGCACCAAGCCAGTGGTGCGCGTCGCCAGCCCTGCCCGGCCTGTTCCTGCTCCTCGCACCAAGCCAGTGGTGCGCGTCACCAGCCCGGCCCGGCCTGTTCCTGCTCCTCGCACCAAGCCAGTGGTGCGCGTCGCCAGCCCGGCCCGGCCTGTTCCTGCTCCTCGCACCAGGCCAGTGGTGCGCGTCGCCAGCCCGGCCCGGCCTGTTCCTGCTCCTCGCACCAAGCCAGTGGTGCGCGTCGCCAGCCCGGCCCGGCCTGTTCCTGCTCCTCGCACCAGACCAGTGGTGCGTTTGTCCAGTCCGGCACGGCCCGTGCCCGTTCCACCGGTGCCTGGTCCGGCACCGGTCAGCTGCTCCACTCCGTCACGTATCGTTGGTTTATTGTTTTGTCGAGTGTTTATTAAGTTTAAATAAACATGTTTGCATATCACGCTGCGCCTTGGTCCGTCCCGTTTATGAACGAACGTGACACCTATTCTATTCTGTGCGAGAAATAAATATTCCAAACATAGTCTGGGACAGTTGTGGGATGCGATAGATCCCAAATTAATACAACCATTAGCATCAAAACCCTTTTTTAAGCAATGAGGCTGACACAACAGATCAGAAAGGTTAGCTTAAAATGTTGATAAACTATTAGGCTATTTCTTCACATTTTAAGCGCAGCAATGCACACATGGCAGTAGGCTATAAGTGCGAATGTTCCATTAGCGGGAAAACACCATTCTCAAAAGTAACCATGAATGTGATTAGGCATGTAATGCTTTTATTATAAAGGTGTATTTTTATGGTGAAATTATCTTCCCTTAACTTGAAATTCACGCGCTGCTTATGTATGCCAGTTAGGCTCTACACCCGTTGTAAAGTGGATTAATGTGCTTCATTTTAATAAGTTATTTGGCCACTTTAGTTGTGATACAAACCTTATCAAAACATATAGGCCTATGGGCCAGGCTACATGAGGTGTGGGACTATGATTAGAAAAAGTCGCAAAAAAATGGTATGCGCTGTTTCTTGCCATCATTCACAAGTGATAATACATCATTCACAAGTGATAGGCTAGTATTGTCACCCAGCAGACTATTCTTGATTGAATCTTGTCTTTACATATACTAAAATAATATATGTGTGAAATTTGTTTTGATTTAGAATGGACCATTATCATACACCTCGAAACAGTGGCAGGGGGGAAAAATACATGTCATCTATGCACTTAAATAGTGAATGGAGGACGCTTTTTCCGTGGTTACTTTTCATGCCAGCCAGGTAGGCTATACTCCTGTTGTAAAGAGAAGCAATCTGCTGAATATTAGGAAAGTTGAGAAATAAATATAGTAGGCCTAACCTATAGAAATCTGATAGGGCCCTTCTATTTTTAAAAGAGGCCATCACTCTGTTTTCTTACACAATTGCGAAGCCTATAGAGATGTTGCACAACATGAGCTCATGGGCTCTCATGAAGTGTTTGATTAGATTTTTGATTACATTTACATGGATGTCAGAGTGATTGAAGGGACATTAGAGTGCTGAGTACCAGGCAGTTAGCATGTTTGGTAAGCTTCTAATGACCATCAGCAGCATCAGAGCTTGGTGAAGCCTAATTACCGTGACTAAACGGTCACGTGGAATTTGACTGCCATCATGACTCGTGACCGCCGGTGTGGCGGTAATACAGTCACCGTAATAGCCCTAATTCCAACCTCATAGTGTAGAAATATATATAAAATACAGGAAAATCACATTTTTGACTGCACTGTGCCTTTAAAACTGTTTCATAATGTGTTCATTTTCGATACACAGCACATGGTTTCCTCTTAGACAGGACTGCCCAACCCTGTTCCTGGAGCGCTATGGTCCTGTATGTTTTTGCTCCAACCCTAATCTAGCACACCTGATTCTAATAATTAGCTGGTTGATAAGATGAATCAGGTTAGTAACACTTGGGGTTGGAGCGAAAACCTACAGGAGGGTAGCTCTCCAGGAACAGGGTTGGGCAATCCTGTTCTAACATCCATGGTTGTATTCACTAGGCTGGAGGAGTACGTGTACAGGTCCGGAGTCAGTGAAATATGATTTTGATATGAATAATCTATATTGGCTCTGGCATTAATGCAGTTATCCTGTGATTGTGTGGTCCGATGTCCATTCTCCTCCCAGCAGTTTCCTGTGCTGAAAGTAATCAGTCTGGAAATACAACCGTATAGAAGGTTGCATGTACACAGTGTATCTCCGCTTATGTTGTGATCTGGAGATGAGGCAAGGGGATATTATGTTAGCGTCAAGCAGTTATCATTTCATTTGTGTGTGTGTGTGTGTGTGTCCTGTATAGAAATGCTGACTGTTAGACTACACGTTACAGAATGCCACCGACGGTGGCAGCTGTCTGCTTCTTTCCTTTGAGATTTGGGCCCACATTCATTAAGCATCTCAGAGTAGGAGTGCTGATCTAGGATAAGCTTTGCTTTTTTAATCTTAGTGAATAATATTACATGGACAGGGGGGACCTGATCCTAGATCAGCAATCCTTATCTGAGACGCTTTATGAATACAAGCCCTGGAGTCCACAGCACTGCTCTTCTTATTGAGTTTGGGATTCCATACTGAGAGAAAGTGTATTTCTAAGAGGTCATTATCTCAGCAAGGTTTGGTCAATCAAAGTGTTTACACAGTGTTCTGCAATTGATTTCTTCCTCTTTCGATTTGGTGGCTCTGATGTTGTTGCTGCGGCAGTAATTATTTTCCCAACTTCATTCAGGTTTCATTTAGGAGAACAAATCAATCCCTCGTGGTATACCCCCCACTCTCAAGAACTCTGCCAGGAAGGTGTGTGTGTGTACTTGTGTGTGCCCGTGTGTTCCTCAGCCATTCAGTTGACTGGCTGGGCTCCACTCTCCTTAGACCCCTGTATCTATAAATAGCCTGTATACGCATCGGACCCACTGGGCAAAAACTGGTTGGGTCAATGTTGTTTCTACGTCATTTCAACCCCAAAATTAAATGTGATGATGTTGAATCAACATGGAAAACGAATTGGATTTGCAAAAAGTAATCAACGTAAGGGAATTTAGTCTTTTTTTCACCCGACTTTTAATCTAAATCCAATGACAGGGTGACATTTTTGGTTTATTTCACATTGAATTCACGTTAGTTGACAACTCAACCAAATGTAAATCAAAACTAGACTTTGATCTGACATCTGTGCCCAGTGGGGAGTGAGTCCCAGCAGGAAACAGGAAGTAGCCCTCTTGACCTATTCAGTTACCTGTGTGCCTATGGGATTTCATATGGCTTATGAGCAACTGGCCCCCCTGTAGCCTATGTGGAGATGAGAGGTCCTTGCCTTGCTACTGGTCCCCCCAGGCTACTTGTCCCCTATGTGCTAACATTATAGGGTTCCTTGCAGGCTACTGGCCCCCCAGTGCCCAGTGAATAGGTAAGGGGCCTTCAATAGGCCACTGGGCTTATTGGCTCCCCTTAAGCCTTTGTGGAGGCCACTAATCCTTGTTAGGCCACTGCTCCCATATACCTGATGAAATAAAGGGTCCTGATTGGCTACTGCCACCATAGTGTGCTAACATTTTAGAGGTATATGATTAGCTACTGACTCCCCTGTGGCCAGTGCTGAGGTAAGGGGTCCTTCAATGGGCCACTTCACTTGTTATGTTAGCCACATACTGGTAGCCATGAGCCATCATCCCAGCCTGCAGAACGCAGCGCTTTCAACACCTCATACACTGACGTTCATTACATTACGCCATTGGTCTGTGTCTGACTGTTCATGGCACTGGACAGCCTATCTGATCTGCTAGGATGGGAGGAACAAGCACATCTATCCTCACTGCTATTTTTACACCGGACAGATCTGAAATTGATACAGTGCTATGTCAGATATGTCAGTGCATAATTTATACATACTCTGCCATGGTCCTGATTGATGCGGCTATGTATGCCAGCTATGTCTGCCACTAATCTTCAAGCCTTTGACTAATTGAATTACAGTGCCTTACAAAAGTATTCATCCCCCTTGGTGTTTTTCCTATTTTGTTGCATTACAACCTGTTATTTAAATTGATTTTTATTTGGATTTCATGTAATGGACATACAGTGAGGGAAAAAAGTATTTGATCCCCTGCTGATTTTGTACGTTTGCCCACTGACAAAGAAATGATCAGTCTATAATTTTAATGGTAGGTTTATTTGAACAGTGAGAGACAGAATAACAACAACAAAATCCAGAAAAACGCATGTCAAAAATGTTATAAATTGAGTTGCATTTTAATGAGGGAAATAAGTATTTGACCCCCTCTCAATCAGAAAGATTTCTGGCTCCCAGGTGTCTTTTATACAGGTAACGAGCTGAGATTAGGAGCACACTCTTAAAGGGCGTGCTCCTAATCTCAGTTTGTTACCTGTATAAAAGACACCTGTCCAAGAAGCAATCAATCAATCAGATTCCAAACTTTCCACCATGGCCAAGACCAAAGTGCTCTCCAACGATGTCAGGGACAAGATTGTAGACCTACACAAGGCTGGAATGGGCTTCAAGACCATCGCCAAGCAGCTTGGTGAGAAGGTGACAACAGTTGGTGCGATTATTCGCGAATGGAAGAAACACAAAATAACTGTCAATCTCCCTCGGCCTGGGGCTCCATGCAAGATCTCACCTCGTGGAGTTTCAATGATCATGAGAACGGTGAGGAATCAGCCCATAACTACATGGGAGGATCTTGTCAATGATCTCAAGGCAGCTGGGACCATAGTCACCAAGAAAACAATTGGTAACACACTACGCTGTGAAGGACTGAAATCCTGCAGCGCCCACAAGGTCCCCCTGCTCAAGAAAGCACATATCCAGGGCCGTCTGAAGTTTGCCAATGAACATCTGAATGATTCAGAGGAGAACTGGGTGAAAGTGTTGTGGTCAGATGAGACCAAAATTGAGCTCTTTGGCATCAACTCAACTCGCCGTGTTTGGAGGAGGAGGAATGCTGCCTATGACCCCAAGAACACCATCCCCACCGTCAAACATGGAGGTGGAAACATTATGCTTTGGGGGTGTTTTTCTGCTAAGGGGACAGGACAACTTCACCGCATCAAAGGGACGAGGGCGTGTACCGTCAAATCTTGGGTGAGAACCTCCTTCCCTCAGCCAGGGCATTGAAAATGAGTCGTGGATGGGTATTCCAGCATGACAATGACCCAAAACACACGGCCAAGGCAACAAAGGAGTGGCTCAAGAAGAAGCACATTAAGGTCCTGGAGTGGCCTAGCCAGTCTCCAGACCTTAATCCCATAGAAAATCTGTGGAGCTGAAGGTTCCAGTTGCCAAACGTCAGCCTCGAAACCTTAATGACTTGGAGAAGATCTGCAAAGAGGAATGGAACAAAATCCCTCCTGAGATGTGTGTAAACCTGGTGGCGAACTACAAGAACCGTCTGACCTCTGTGATTGCCAACAAGGGTTTTGCCACCAAGTACTAAGTCATGTTTTGCAGAGGGGTCAAATACTTATTTCCCTCATTAAAATGCAAATCAATTCATAAAAATTTTGACATGCGTTTTTCTGGATTATTTTGTTGTTATCCTGTTCAAACAATCCTACCATTAAAATTATAGACTGATCATGTCTTTGTCAGTGGGCAAACGTACAAAATCAGCAGGGGATCAAATACTTTTTTCCCTCACTGTACACAAACTAGTCCAAATTGGTGAAGTGAAATGAAAAAAATAACTTGTTTCAAAAAATTATAAAAAATTAATAACGGAAAAGTGGTGCGTGCATACAGTTGAAGTCGGAAGTTTACATACACTTAGGTTGGAGTCATTAAAACTAGTTTTTCAACCACTCCACAAATTTCTTGTTAACAAACTATAGTTTTGGCAAGTCGTGACACAAGTAATTTTTCCAACAATTGTTTACAGACTACAGATTATTTCACTTATAATTCACTGTATCACAATTCCAGTGGGTCAGAAGTTTACATACACTAAGTTGACTGTGCCTTTAAACAGCTTGGAAAATTCCAGAAAATGATGTCATGGCTTTAGAAGCTTCTAATAGGCTAATTGACATCATTTGAGTGAATTGGAGGTGTACCTGTGGATGTATTTCAAGGCCTACCTTCACACTCAGTGCCTCTTTGCTTGACATCATGGGAAAATAAAAATAAATCAGCCAAGACCTGAGAAGAAACATTGTAGACCTCCACAAGTCTGGTTCATCCTTGGGAGCAATTTCCAAATGCCTGAAGGTACCGCGTTCATCGGTACAAACAATAGTACGCAAGTGTGAACACCATGGGACCACACAGCCGTCATACCGCTCAGGAAGGAGACGCGTTCTGTCTCCTAGAGATGAACGTACTTTGGTGCAAAAAGTGCAAATCAATCCCAGAACAACAGCAAAGGACCTTGTGAAGATGCTGGAGGAAACAAGTACAAAAGTATCTATATCCACAGTAAAACAAGTCCTATATCGACATAACCTGAAAGGCTGCTCAGCAAGGAAGAAGCCACTGCTCCAAAACCACCATAAAAAAGTCAGAATATGATTTGAAACTGCACATGGGGACAAAGATCGTACTTTTTGGAGAAATGTCTTCTGGTCTGATGAAACAAAAATAGAACTGTTTGGCCATAATGACCATCGTTAAATTTGGAGGAAAAAGGGGAAGGCTTGCAAGCCGAAGAACACCATCCCTACCGTGAAGCACGGGGGTGGCAGCATCATGCTGTGGGGGTGCTTTGCTGCAGGAGGGACTGGTGCACTTCACAAAATAGATGGCATCATGCGGAAGGAAAATTATGTGGATATATTGAAGCAACATCTCAAGACATCAGTCAGGAAGTTAAAGCTTGGTCGCAAATGGGTCTTCCAAATGGACAATGACCCCAAGCATACTTCAAAAATTGTGGCAAAATGGCTTAAGGACAACAAAGTCAAGGTATTGGAGTGGCCATCACAAAGCCCTGACCTCAATCATATAGAAAATGTGTGGGCAGAACTGAAAAAGCGTGTGCGAGCAAGGAGGCCTACAAACCTGACTCAGTTACACCAGCTCTGTCAGGAGGAATGGGCCAAAATTCACCCAACTTATTGTGGGAAGCTTGTCGAAGGCTACCTGAAACGTTTGACCCAAGTTAAACAATTTAAAGGCAATGCTACCAAATACTAATTGAGTGTATGTAAACTTCTGACCCACTGGGAATGTGATGAAAGAAATAAAAGCTGAAATAAATCTTTCTTTCTACATTTTAATCATTTAGCAGAAGCTCTAATCCAGAGCGATTTACAGGAGCAATTAGGGTTAAGTGCCTTGCTTAAGGGCACATTGACAGATTTTTCACCTAGTCGGCTCGGGGATTAGAACCAGCGACCTTTCGGTTACTGGCACAACGCTCTTACCCACTAAGCTACCTGCAGCCCATTATACTATTATTCTGACATTTCACATTCTTAGTTTAAATGGATTTGGCTAAGGTGTATGTAAACTTCCGACTTCAACTATATGTATTCACCCCCTTTGCTATGAAGCACCTAAATAAGATCTGGTACAACCAATTACCTTCAGAAGTTAAATACAGTCCACCTGTGTGCAATCTAAATGTCACATGATCTGTCACTTGATCTCAGTATATATACACCTGTTCTGAAAGGCCCCAGAGTCTGCAACACCACTAAGCAAGGGGCACCACCAAGCAAGCGGCACCATGAAGACCAAGGAGCTCTCCAAACAGGTCAGGGACAAAGTTGTGGAGAAGTACAGATCAGGGTTGGGTTATAAAAAAATATCCGAAACTTTGAACATCCCAAGGAGCACCATTAAATCCATTATTAAAAAATGGAAAGAATATGGCACCACAACAAACCTGCCAAGAGAGGGCTGCCCACCAAAACTCACGGACCAGGCAAGGAGGGCATTAATCAGAGAGGCAACAAAGAGACCAAAGATAACCCTGAAGGAGCTGCAAAGCTCCACAGTGGAGATTGGAGTATCTGTCCATAGGACCACTTTAACCTGTACACTCCACAGAGCTGGGCTTTACGGAAGAGTGGCCAGAAAAAAGCCATTGCTTAAAGAAAAAAATAAGCAAACACGTTTGGTGTTCGCCAAAAGGCATGTGGGATACTCCCCAAACATATGGAAAAGGTACTCTGGTCAGATGAGACTAAAATTGAGCTTTTTCGGCATCAAGGAAAACGCTATGTCTGGCGCAAACCCGACACCTCTCATCATCCCGAGAACACCATCCCCACAGTGAAGCATGGTGGTGGTAGCATCATGCTTTGGGGATGTTTTTCATCGGCAGGGACTGGGAAACTGGTCAGAATTGAAGGAATTATGGATGGCGCTAAATACAGGGAAATTCAGACCTCAATACAATTGAGAATCTGTGGTATGACTTAAAGATTGCTGTACACCAGCGGAACCCATCCAACTTGAAGGAGCTGGAGCAGTTTTGCTTTGAAGAATGGGCAAAATCCCAGTGGCTAGATGTGCCAAGCTTATAGAGACAAAGCTCAAGAGACTTGCAGCTGTAATTGCTGCAGAAGGTGGCTCTACAAAGTATTGACTTTGGGGGGGTGAAAGTTATGCACGCTCAAGTTTTGTGTGTTTTTGTCTTATTTCTTGTTTGTTTCACAATAAAAAAATATTTTGCATCTTCAAAGTGGTAGGCATGTTGTGTAAATCAAATGATACAAACCCCCAGAAAATCAATTTTAATTCCAGGTTGTAAGGCAACAAAATAGGAAAAATTCCAAGGGGGGTGAATACTTTCACAAGCCACTGTAGGTGTGCCAGTTTAGGGTTTAAACAAAAATGTGAAATGTCTGGGGGGGCCCGAGGAGATGGTTAGGATACCCTGCGCTAATGGATGGGTTGCACCTGATTCCTCTCAGCCCTTATGTCCTGCTGGCAGATTAATGTATTTCCTTGTTTTTGTTTTCGCTGTCTAATAGGCCATTAAGTATTAAGTTCATTAGAGGAATGATTGGGCTTCTGTAATTGTAGGTCTGGAGGATCATCAACTTCATTATTGAGTTTTGTAACAAATATCTGTATCGGGCTGGAAATAGAATGTCACAATTAGTGGGGTAATTGGCAGCGAGGGGCCGTTATCCTCCTCTCCTCCCTCTCTCTCCTCCCTCCCTCTCTCCTCTCCTCTCCTCTCCTCTCCTCTCCTCTCCTCTCCTCTCCTCTCCCTCTCCTCTCCTCTCCTCTCCTCTCCTCTCCTCTCCTCCTCTCCTCTCCTCTCCTCTCCTCTCCTCTCCTCTCCTCCTCTCCTCTCCTCTCCTCTCCTCTCCTCTCCTCTCCTCTCCTCTCCTCTCCTCTCCTCTCCTCTCCTCTCCATCTCCTCCCGGGCCCTGTGTCTTTCCCCTGTGTGCCCTCTCTCCCCTCACTCTCTCTCTCTCCCTCTCTACCCCCCCTCTCTCTCTCCCTCCCCCTCTTTCACTCTCTCCTCCTCCCTCACACCCTCCCCCTCGTTCCCTCTCCCCTGTTTATGTGTTGATTCTAGCTGAGGTAGGTACAGTACACTGTGTGCAGTGCTTGTCATCTCTCCAGGGTGTAATCAATATGTGAAACATGGAGGCATATTGGCGGAACATTAGGTAAACATGATTGTTGTGCAGATGTAATTAGTATTGAATCAGGTCCAATTAAAAATAATAAAGAAGGAGTTAGGCTAGATAATGAAGGGTGTTTATTGTGGATACAAGATAGGATACATATCCTATAGGTCATATCATTATCTCCATTCACTGTTGAATGTAGTACTTTGAGTCCACACACTTTTATTCATGAATTGTCTGGTTTGTGTGTGTGCGTTCGTTAGTGTATGTGTGGTTGTCAAAGCGTTAGAGCTCATAGGAATCTCTAGCTTTAACCTTCCCATTCACTATCAGGCCTATTGTCCTCTGTCCACTCTGTTGCCCCCCTTGTTCTCTGTTTCATCTCTCGCTTTCTCTCTCTCTCTCTCTCTCTCTCCCTCTCTCTATCTATCTCTCTCTCTCTCTCTCTCTCTCTCTCTCTCTCTCTCTCTCTCTCTCTCTCTCTCTCTCTCTCTCTCCTCTCTCTCTCTCTCTCTCTCTCTCTCTCTCTCTCTCTCTCTCTCTCTCTCTATTTATCTCTCTTTATCTCTCTTTTCCCTCTGTTTTCCTTTGTCATGCTGCGTCTCCCTGCCTCACTTCACCCCTCCCAGAGAGAGAGCCATTCATGGTGACGCAGGAGCTGTTTCATTAGAACCACTGAGATAGGCAGCAAGGACAGACTACGCCACCGCTGTCTCTCACACACTGTCTCACACACAGACTGTCTCTGTCTGGGAGCAGCACCTGTGTGTGTGTGTGTGTGTGTGTGTGTGTGTGTGTATGTGTATGTGTATGTTGAGACTTGGCTGTTATTAAAGCTAAGCCCAGACAGCAGTGACCAGCCCCAGAGGCATGGGTCTGAACAAAGTTTTCCACTCAGGTCAGCTCTGAGCTACAAATGTTTAGAGTCTGGGAACTGACATTTTCTAATAATACGTTTCTCTGGAGCTGTAGCAGTTGCTATGTACACTCTGTGTATCTCCGTCAACTGAGTAAACGGGGGAAGGAAGCCAACTTCTCCTGCTTGTACTTGTACTCTGTTTAGTTAGTGTCCACCATTGGCTCAGTGTTAACCACTAGCGACAGCTAGAGACAGTGCTACATTGTGTTGGTGCTTAGTGCTGACCCTATGGAAAGTATTGGAGAAGCCTGGGGTGGCTGGGCTGTCAATGGAAGGGGAAGTCTGGGGCATGACCACTTGTTTCCAGCACCCGGCAAGCCGGGCCCTGTGCTCATACTAACAACTCAAAGAATGAAGGAGAGAGAGAAAGAGAGGGAGTGAGAGGAAAGTAGAGAGAGTGAGACAAAGAGAGAGAGAAAGAGAGTAAGAGATAGAAAGGGAGTGAGAGAAAGCAAGATAAAGAAAGAAAGAGAGAGAGTGGGAGACAAGGAGAAGGAGTTAGAGGGAGAGAGAAAAAGAGAGAGGGGGTGAGAGAAGGAGCAAGAGCTGGCTGTTCTTTGCAGCATGTTTCTCTTTCAGAATGGAAAGATCAGCAGTGAAATGCAGTCAAGTGTTCTCTTGCTTCCTTTGAACACTGTGGTGTGAGTATGCTATTTTCACACACTGAAGCTATTACATTATCCAATGGAGAGACGGCTGCATTAGTTCCCAAATACCAGAGAAATAAGTTGCACGTTGGTCTCCTTGTTCCACTTACTGTGAATCAGATGGAGTTACAATACTGCATGTTATGTATCTCTCTGATATTGATATCCACTATTGACATCAGGTAGTAATTCCTCCTGCAATCCTTTAGCCTTTTGATGATGTTGTCATTGTGCTTTTGAGGTTTTTCTTCCCATCAAGTTTCTTCTGGTATTGATATTAGGGAATAATGTCCTGCAAAGCTTTTGCATGTGTTGTTATCTTAATTCTATATCATTTTTTACCATTTATTTTAGCTGCTAGCTAAGGAATGGAGCCCAAGGGTATGGCTGCCATTTTACGGGCTCCTAACCAATTGTGCTATTTTGTGTGTTTTTTCGCGTTATTTGTAACTTATTTTGTACATAATGTTTCTAAAACCGTCTCTTATGACCGAAAAGAGCTTCTGGATATCAGAACAGCGATTACTCACCTCGAACTGGACAAAGATTTTTTCTTTAACGAGTCGGATGCGAAGGATTTACTGCTGATACCGGACCAGGCCCAAATCCCCGTAATTCGTATGAAGAAGAGACGCCAATTCAGGTGCCTTGTGAGAATTCGTCGGCGAGTGGGTAACCCGCCTCTACCATCCGTCTTATTGGCCAACGAGCAATCATTAGAGAATAAACCGGAAGAGCTCCGTTCGAGACTATCCTACCAACGGGACATTAAAAACTGTAATATCTTATGTTTCACGTCATGACTGAACGACATGGATAATATACAGCTGGCTGGGTTTTCCGTGCATTGGCAAGACAGAACAGCTACCTCCGGTAAGACGAGGGGTGGTGGTCTGTGTCTATTTCTCAAAAACAGATGGTGTGCAAAGTCTAATATTAAAGAAGTCTCAAGGTTTTGCTCACCTGAGGTAGAGTATCTAATGATAAGCTGTAGACCACACTATTTACCAAGAGAGTTTTCATCTATATTTTTCATAGCTTTCTATTTACCACCACAAACCGATGCTGGCGCTAAGGCCGCACTCAACGAGCTGTATAAGGCCATAAGCAAACAAGAAAATGATCATCCAGAGGTGGCGCTCCTAGTGGCCGGGGACTTTAATGCAGGAAAACTTAAATCCGTTTTACCTCATTTCTACCAGCATGTCACATGTGCAACCAGAGGAAAAAAAAAACTCTAGACCACCTTTACTCCACAAACAGAGACGCATACAAAGCTCTCCCTCGCCCTCCATTTGGCAAATCTGACCATAACTCTATCCTCCTGATTCCTGCTTATAAGCAAAAACTAAAGCAGGAAGCACCAGTGACTCGGTTAATAAAAAAAGTGGTCAGATGACGCAGATGCTAAGCTGCAGGACTGTTTTGCTAGCACAGACAGGAATATGTTCCAGGATTCATCCGATGGCATTGAGGAGTATACCACCTCAGTCACCGGCTTCATCAATAAGTGCATCGATGACGTCGTTCCCACAGTGACCGTACGTACATATCCCAACCAGAAACCATGGATTAAAGGCAACATCCGCACTGACTCTAACCCGGACGCCTATAAGAAATCCTGCTGTGCCCTCCGACGAACCATCAAACAGCAAAGCGTCAATACAGGACTAAGATTGAATCCTACTGCACCGCCTCTGACGCTTGTCGGATGTGGCAGAGCTTGCAAACTATTACGGACGACAAAGGGAAGCCCAGCCACGAGCTGCCCAGTGACACGAGCCTATCAGACGAGCTAAATTACTTCTATGCACGCTTCGAGTCAAGTAACACTGAAGCATGCATGAGAGCACCAGCTGTTCCGGACGACTGTGTGATCACGCTCTCCGTAGCCGATGTGAGTAAGACCTTTAAACAGGTCAACATTCACAAGACTGCAGGGCCAGGCGAATTACCAGGACGTGTACTCTGAGCATGCGCTGACCAACTGGCAAGTGTCTTCACTGACATTTTCAACCTGTCCCTGACCGAGTCTGTAATACCTACATGTTTCAAGTAGACCACCATAGTCCCTGTGCCCAAGAACACCAAGCTAACCTGCCTAAATGACTACCGATCCGTAGCACTTACGTATGTAGCCATGAAGTGCTTTGAATGGCTGGTCATGGCTCACATCAACACCATCATCCCAGAAACCCTAGACCCACTCCAATTTGCACACCGACCCCAACAGTTCCACTGTTGACATTGCACTCCACACTGCCCTTTCCCACCTGGACAAAAGGAACACCTACGTGAGAATGCTGTTCATTGACTACAGCTCAGCGTTCAACACCATAGTGCCCTTAAAGCTCATCACTAAGCTAAGGACCCTGGGACTAAACACCTCCCTCTGCAACTGGATCCTGGACTTCCTGATGGGCCGCCCCCAGGTGGTAAAGGTAGGCAACAACACATCCGCCACACTGATCCTGAAAATGATCGCCCCTCAGGGGTGTGTGCTTAGTCCCCTCCTATACTCCCTGTTCACCCACGACTGCAACACCATCATTAAGATTGCCGATGACACAACGGTGGTAGGCCTGATCACCGACAACAATGATACAGCCTATAGGGAGGAGGTCAGAAACCAATGTGAGCAAGACAAGGGAGATTATCGTGGACTACAGGAAAAGGATGGCAGAGCACGCCCCCATTCTCATCGACGGGGCTGTAGTGGAACAGGTCTAGAGTTTCAAGTTCCTTGGTGTTCACATCACCAACAAACTATCATGGTCCAAACACTCCAAGACAGTTGTGTAGAGGGCACGACAACGCCTTTTCCCCCTCAGGAGACTGAAAAGATTTGGCATGGGTCCTCAGATCCTCAAAAAGTTATACAGCTGCACCATCGAGAGCATCCTGACTGGTTGCATCACCGCATGGTATGGCAACTGCTCGGCATCCGACCGCAAGGCGCTAAGTAGTGCGTATGGCCCAGTACATCACTGGGGCCAAGGTTCTTGCCAACCAGGACCTCTATACCAGGCGGTGTCAGAGGACGGCCCTAAAAATTGCCAAAGACTCCAGCCACCCTAGTCATAGACTGTTCGCTTTGCTACCACACGGCAAGCGGTACCGGAGCGGCAAGTCTAGGTCCAAAGGGTTCCTTAACAGCTTCTACCACCAAGCCATAAGAATGCTGAACAGCTAATCAAATGGCTACCCGGACTATTTGCATTGATCCCCCCCCCCCCCCTTTTTTACGCTGCTACTACTCGCTGTTTATTATCTATGCATAGTCACTTTACCCCTACCTACATGTACATATTACCTCAATTACCTCGACTAACCTGTACCCTCGCACATTGACTCGATACCGGTACCCCCTGTGTATATAGCCTCGTTATTGTTATTCTATTGTGTTACTTTTTTCTACTTTAGTTTATTTAAGAAATATTTTCTTAACTCTTATTTTTCTTAAAACTGCATTGTTGGTTAAGGACTTGTAAGTAAGCATTTCACAGTAAGGTCTACACCTGTTGTATTCGGTGCATGTGACAAATACAATTTGATTTGATTTGATTTAACTATAAACAGTTGGACTGCAATAAACTAAATGAGTGTGGTCTCTCCAGTCCACATTAAGTGTTGGGCCACACTGACTTGACACACAAGAGGGGGAAAAAACTATGGAGGTAAAAAAAGAGGCTGGGAATGAAATCCAGTGTTCGATAACCGACTTAATAACTCTGTCAAGAGAATGTAACTAATTACCAACCTGTTGCACTGTGTGTCTCGCCTCTCAAGTCCACATCTGAATCCCCACTCTGTCTCCTCCTGATAAACGAATACCTCTTAATGTGTGATCATTCTCCTGGAAGGAGACCCCTGCCCCCTGGAGGCCCCTGGGGGCCTCTCAACAACCACCTCAGCTGGTCACTGAGCATCTGAGTGTGAGTCATTATCAGGCCTCTCGGCTACAGACGCTCTCCACAGACCTCTCCTCTCTCAGAGAGAAAGAGAGAGAGAGGGAGAGAGAGAGAGAGCAGGATAGACAGACAGACCAGTATTTAACATCTAGGCTCTGTGGTGGGCCAGCCTTGGAGGCGGTAGAGGACAGTCAGAGACAGACACACAGGCAGAGGGGTCTTGATTCTCAGCCTGTCCACGCTCCGCTCACAACACAGTTCCTCTCTGATTGGCGTCTGATTGATAGATCTCTGTTACAAGCCCACAAACCCATTGGAGATCCACTACTTCAGTTGGCTGGATATGTTGGAGATCTAGTCTTTAGTCTATGAGCCAGACAGCCTCTCTCTCCTACTAGGAGTATGAGTAGGGTTTGGGGGTTTTCCTGACCATATGACTGGAGTAGTAACTCTGGGCTAATGTTATACATAGACTATAACTAGGCCTGGCCCTACCAGCTGCTGTGAGCCTAGGGAAATGATATTTCTCCCTTCTACCTCCCACCCTAGTGTCTCAGTGAAGGAGGGTGAGATGGGATGCAGCATCCGTCCTGTGTACTATCATTGTGCCTCTGCACCCTCTGTATGTGACATCATGATGCCTTATTATGATGTCCTCTGTTGTGTTTGATGTGTTCCAGGAAGCAGGAACTGCTGACCATCTCCAACGTGCCCTTGGGAGATTGCCCCCCCTCGCCCCCCCGCACTGCACCGCCCACCATGAAGGTAGGACACGTACCACCTCATGCCCGTCTCACTCATCATACCATTTTCACACTACCGAGCCAAGTTGAACCGAGCCAAGCTGGCCTGGTTACCCATCCACCATAGTTGATGGAACCGTGCTGGATAGGACAGTGTGGAAAGTAAATCCCCAAGTGAGCATGGTATTGTTTGGCTCTGTGCAATAGTGAGAAAAACTGAAAATGGTGTCAGTGCACTGTCTGAACCTGGCCAATCAGAACACCTCTGAGAGGAACAATGGTAGCGCTACCATGGTAACAATGGTAGCGACTTACAATAAGTTCATCCAACAAAGGCCAGTGAAACAGCCTCATAGAACCATCAGTGCAAATTGAACCCTCATCAAAAAATATGTCTTGGTATTGCAATCATCACAGGAATAAGGTAGCTTAGTCAGTGGTGACAGAACACCACACTGACTGGGCCTGGGAGTAGACTCTAGATGCGTCCCAAATGGCACCCTATTCCCTATATAGTGCACTACCTTTTGACCAGAGCCTGGTCAAAAGTAGTGCACTATAAAAGGAATAGTGTGTAGGACGCATAGTGAGTCAGCTCTATGAGGCCTGATGGGCTTAATTCACTATTCATAGAGGGTAACTCTTTAGAGGTCATTGTGGAGACTAGATTGAGGCAGAGGGAGGTGCCAGGTTCAATAGGATCTAACACTTGTCTTTCTGTGGACTATTTTAATGTAGGGCCTTTATTTATTTATTTATATATATACAGTATAGATACAGCTGCTGAAAAAATTAAGAGACCACTGCATAATTATCAGTTTCTCAGGTTTTACTATTTATAGGTATGTGTTTGGGTAAAAATAACATTTTTGTTTTATTCTATAAACTACTGACAACATTTCTCCCAAATTCCAAATAAAAATATTGTCATTTAGAGCATTTATTTGCAGAAAATGACAACTGGTCAAAATAACAAAAAAGATGCAGTGTTGTCAGACCTTGAATAATGCAAAGAAAATAAGTTCATGTTCATTTTTAAACAACACAATACTAATGTTTTCACTTAAGAAGAGTTCAGAAATCAATATTTGGTGGAATAACCCTGATTTTCAATCACAGCTTTCATGCGTCTTGGCATGCTCTCCACCAGTCTTTCACATTGATGTTGGATGACTTTATGCCACTCCTGGCGCAAAAATTCAAGCAGCTCGGCTTTGTTTGGTGGCTTGTGACCATCCATCTTCCTCTTGATCACATTCCAGAAGTTTTCGATGGGGTTCAGGTCTGGAGATTGGGCTGGCCATGACAGGGTCTTGATCTGGTAGTCCTCCATCCACACCTTGCTTGACCTGGCTGTGTGGCATGGCTTATTGTCCTGCTGGAAAAACCAATCCTCAGAGTTGGGGAACATTGTCAGAGCAAAAGGAAGCAAGTTTTCTTCCAGGATAACCTTGTACGTGGCTTGATTCATGCGTACTTCACAAAGACAAATCTGCCCGATTCCAGCCTTGCTGAAGCACCCCCAGATCATCACCGATCCTCCACCAAATTTCACAGTGAGTGCGAGACACTGTGGCTTGTAGGCCTCTCCAGGTCTCCATCTAACCAATAGATGACCAGGTGTTGGGCATAGCTGAAAATTGGACTCATCAGAGAAGATGACCTTACTCCAGTCCTCTACGGTCCAATCCTTATGGTCTTTTGCAAACCTCAGCCTGGCTCTTCTTTGCTTCTCATTGATGAAGGGCTTTTTTCTAGCTTTGCACAACTTCAGCCCTGCCCCTAGGAGCCTGTTTTGAACCGTCCTCGCCGTGCACTTCACCCCAGCTGCCGTTTGCCATTCTTTTTGTAGGTCACTTGATGTCATCCTACGGTTGTTGAGTGACATTCGAATGAGTTGGCGGTCATCCTGGTCAGTCGAGAGTCGTTTTCGCCCTCTGCCGGTCTGTAGCTTTGTTGTCCCCAATGTCTGCTGCTTGACCTTGTTCTTATGAACCGCCGTCTTTGAAATTTTAAGGATGGAAGCAACCTGATGCTCACTGTATCCCTCTGTCAGTAAAGCCAGAATTGAACCCTTCTTTTCCTCACTCAAAACGTTCCTTTTCAACTCTTTTGGCATGGTCAATAGTTATTTTTTGATTAATATTACTTTTGAGGTACTATTAGCACTGTTTTTGCCATCCAGCTGGTCATACATGTAGAGATGCTGATTAAAGAAACATTTGCAGTGGTCTCTTAATTTTTTTCACAGCTGTATCTATATATATATCTATATATATCTATATATATAGCGAGATGAGATAGAGAGCAGAGAGAGAGAGAAGGAGAATCGCGAGAGTCGAGGAGAGAGCAGAGAGATAGAAGAAGACGTGCGATGACGCTCGGACCCGCGAGAGAGATAGCACTCGCCGATGCGCTATCTCCACTCCTCCGAGAGATCTGCGACCTCGCTCTCGCTCTACGAGGGATAGAGAGCGAGCTAGAGAGAGAGAGGAGAGAGAGAGAGAGAGGAGGAGACACAGGGAGAGAGAGAGACACAGAGAGACAAGAGAGACACAGAGAGAAGAGCACCCAGCGAGAAAGCGCGGACAGAGCGAGAGAGAGGGGTACCCAGCTAAAGAGTGAGAGAGAGAGTATACTGTTAGACAACAACTACCTGAAGTGAAAAAGCTGAAGAATCTGTGCGCTCTCCAATTACAATAAAAGTGTTTTAAAATGTATTCTGCCCCGATAAGAGAAACAGACTGCGCTTAAAGGTAGATTGAATAAACGATAAAAGAGAAATAGATGGTTTTCTGTGAAGGATGCTGTGTAGTGTCACCTTGAAGCAGGCTGGCCCCTGTTATCTAGTCTGCAAGGAGAAGGACGAGAGATAAACAAGGAAGTGGGAGAGAAGAGGAACGAGGGAGTTAAGGAATAAAAAGTGTAGCATACAGAGGAATAGAAAGAGAGATATAAAGAAAGAGAGAAGAAGAGGATAGGGAATCACTATGGCACAGAGATGGGGAGCTCAATCATTATCTATACTATATCCTATAGTGTACATATAGTGCTATTATTATACATACTACCTCTTCTATTACTTATTCTTTTTTCTTTATTATTGCTTATTGTACTGTAATGTTGAGGGAGCTAGCACACAAGCATTTTGCTGCACCTTTTATACCTGCTGTAAACTGTGTACGTAACAAATACAATTTGATTAGATGTTATATTATTCATAATCAATCACTTGATCAGTTATTTACACAGTGTGATGATACTGACTGGGTATTTAAAGCAAAACTAAAGGCAATAAACAACTTCTCTGATAGAAAACAGCCTATATGGCATCGATGTTAGTCAGAAACATTTAATCTAGTTTCAAAATGGACTACAAAGTGTAAATAGGATAATTTTGTACATAAAGTCTAAACGGAGTTTTGTAAGTGAGTCATGACTTACTTGAGGGCTGGGTTTTGTTTTCGACAATGCTCACTTGCCCACTAACACAGGATACATGGCTGCGGTGATTGTGCTCTATCCAGTCCTACCGCAGAACACACATACAGTACAGTAAGACAGACCTGCCCATCAGAGCAGCGGATCTGACTTTGTTTACACAAGACAACACGTTGTGCATTTTTTTACTTGAGAAATAATGCACCAAACTCCTTAGCTGGATATATATAATATAATATAATTACACTATAAAAAAATTGAAAATCTTAGATTCATTCTGACTATTTTGGAGGAAGTAATACTGGCTTTGTTCACATGGTGTCTCGTGGGGGACAAACATCAGTACAGTGGGGGAAAAAAGTATTTAGTCAGCCACCAATTGTGCAAGTTCTCCCACTTAAAAAGATGAGAGAGGCCTGTAATTTTTATCATAGGTACACGTCAACTATGACAGACAAATTGAGAAAATAAATTCCAGAAAATCACATTGTAGGATTTTTAATGAATTTATTTGCAAATTATGGTGGAAAATAAGTATTTGGTCACCTACAAACAAGCAAGATTTCTGGCTCTCACAGACCTGTAACTTCTTCTTTAAGAGGCTCCTCTGTCCTCCACTCGTTACCTGTATTAATGGCACCTGTTTGAACTTGTTATCAGTATAAAAGACACCTGTCCACAACCTCAAACAGTCACACTCCAAACTCCACTATGGCCAAGACCAAAGAGCTGTCAAAGGACACCAGAAACAAAATTGTAGACCTGCTCCAGGCTGGGAAGACTGAATCTGCAATAGGTAAGCAGCTTGGTTTGAAGAAATCAACTGTGGGAGCAATTATTAGGAAATGGAAGACATACAAGACCACTGATAATCTCCCTCGATCTGGGGCTCCACCCGTGGGGTCAGAATGATCACAAGAACGGTGAGCAAAAATCCCAGAACCACACGGGGGGACCTAGTGAATGACCTGCAGAGAGCTGGGACCAAAGTAACAAAGCCTACCATCAGTAACACACTACGCCGCCAGGGACTCAAATCCTGCAGTGACAGACGTGTCCCCCTGCTTAAGCCAGTACATGTCCAGGGCCGTCTGAAGTTTGCTAGAGTGCATTTGGATGACCCAGAAGAGGATTGGGAGAATGTCATATGGTCAGATGAAACCAAAATAGAACTTTTTGGTAAAAACTCAACTTGTCGTGTTTGGAGGACAAAGAAAGAGCATTGAAGATGAAACGTGGCTGGGTCTTTCAGCATGACAATGATCCCAAACACACCGCCCAGGCAACGAAGGTGTGGCTTCGTAAGAAGCATTTCAAGGTCCTGGAGTGGCCTAGCCAGTCTCCAGATCTCAACCCCATAGAAAATCTTTGGAGGGAGTTGAAAGTCCGTGTTGCCCAGCGACAGCCCCAAAACATCACTGCTCTAGAGGAGATCTGCATGGAGGAATGGGCCAAAATACCAGCAACAGTGTGTGAAAACCTTGTGAAGACTTACAGAAAACGTTTGACCTGTGTCTTTGCCAACAAAGGGTATATACAGTGGGGAGAACAAGTATTTGATACACTGACGATTTTGCAGGTTTTCCTACTTACAAAGCATGTAGAGGTCTGTAATTTGTATCATAGGTACACTTCAACTGTGAGAGACGGAATCTAAAACAAAAATCCAGAAAATCACATTGTATGATTTTTAAGTAATTAATTTGCATTTTATTGCATGACATAAGTATTTGATCACCTACCAACCAGTAAGCATTCCGGCTCTCACAGACCTGTTCGTTTTTCTTTAAGAAGCCCTCCTGTTCTCCACTCATTACCTGTATTAACTGCACCTGTTTGAACTCATTACCTGTATAAAAGACACCTGTCCACACACTCAATCAAACAGACTCCAACCTCTCCACAATGGCCAAGACCAGAGAGCTGTGTAAGGACATCAGGGATAAAATTGTAGACCTGCACAAGGCTGGGATGGGCTACAGGACAATAGGCAAGAAGCTTGGTGTGAAGGCAACAACTTTTGGCGCAATTATAAGAAAATGGAAGAAGTTCAAGATGACGGTCAATCACCCTCGGTCTGGGGCTCCATGCAAGATCTCACCTCGTGGGGCATCAACGATCATGAGGAAGGTGAGGGATCAGCCCAGAACTACACGGCAGGACCTGGTCAATGACCTGAAGAGAGCTGGGACCACAGTCTCAAAGAAAACCATTAGTAACACACTACGCCGTCATGGATTCAATTCCTGCAGCGCACGCAAGGTCCCCCTGCTCAAGCCAGCGCATGTCCAGGCCCGTCTGAAGTTTGCCAATGACCATCTGGATGATCCAGAGGAGGAATGGGAGAAGGTCATGTGGTCTGATGAGACAAAAATAGAGCTTTTTGGTCTAAACTCCACTCGCCGTGTTTGGAGGAAGAAGAAGGATGAGAACAACCCCAAGAACACCATCCCAACCGTGAAGCATGGAGGTGGAAACATCATTCTTTGGGGATGCTTTTCTGCAAAGGGGACAGGACTACTGCACCGTGTTGAGGGGAGGATGGATGGGGCCATGTGTATCGCGAGATCTTGGCCAAAAACCTCCTTCCCTCAGTAAGAGCATTGAAGATGGGTCGTGGCTGTGTCTTCCAGCATGACAACGACCCGAAACACACAGCAAGGGCAACTAAGGAGTGGCTCCGTAAGAAGCATCTCAAGGTCCTGGAGTGGCCTAGCCAGTCTCCAGACCTGAACCCAATAGAAAATCTTTGGAGGGAGCTGAAAGTCCTTATTGCCCAGCGACAGCCCCGAAACCTGAAGGATCTGGAGAAGGTCTGTATGGAGGAGTGGGCCAAAATCCCTGCTGCAGTGTGTGCAAACCTGGTCAAGACCTACAGGGAACGTCTGATCTCTGTAATTGCAAACAAAGGTTTCTGTACCAAATATTAAGTTCTGCTTTTCTGATGTATCAAAAACTTATGTCATGCAATAAAATGCAAAGTAATTACTTAAAAATCATACAATGTGATTTTCTGGATTTTTGTTTTAGATTCTGTCTCTCACAGTTGAAGTGTACCTATGATAAAAATTACAGACCTCTACATGCTTTGTAAGTAGGAAAACCTGCAAAATCGGCAGTGTATCAAATACTTGTTCTCCCCACTGTAACAAAGTATTGAGAAACTTTTGTTATTGACCAAATACTTATTTTCCACCATAATTTGCAAATAAATTCATTAAAAATCCTACAATGTGATTTTCTGGAGAAAAAAAATCTCATTTTGTCTGTCATAGTTGACATGTACCTATGATGAAAATTACAGGCCTCTCTCATCTTTTTAAGTGGGAGAACTTGCACAATTGGTGGCTGACTAAATACTTTTTTTCCCCACTGTAGCTCCCACATCGAACCACACCCCCAAGACTGAAGTCTAGTTTTTCTTAATGAGCAACAGAGAAACACATGCGGAATCGGTGCGTTCAGACACTCTTTAAAGTTCCAGTATGTAGCTTTGTGGGCAACCCAACAAATTCCCATACAAATGTGAGTTATAGATCTGTCATTCTCATTGAAAGTCAATATGACAAGCAGTGGATCTATTCTATGCGCACTATTTCTATGCTTACCAATGCAATGACATCATCTGGTTGTAATGACATAATTTGCACCCAATTCTGCCCGCTGGGTTGTGCTACTCACTGGTAGTAGCTGGTGTGGCATAGCATGTTTGTTGTTGTTCCAGACGTCTCTAGTAGTATAGTGAAGCTGCTGATCCTCCTGGGTACCTACAGGCCTGCCAGGCTGACACCTTTCTGATAGAGTTCTTCTGTGTGTGTGTGTGTGTGTGTGTGTGTGTGTGTGTGTGTGTGTGTGTGTGTGTGTGTGTGTGTGTGTGTGTGTGTGTGTGTGTGTGTGTGTGTGTCTGTGTGTGTGTGTGCGTGCGCGTGCACGTGCGTGTGTGTGTGTGTGTGTAAGGAACCACTCCCGAGTCTCAAGCCTTCCTCATTCTAAGACAAAAGAAAGTGTGTAAGTAGCCTATTGAAATTGTTCCATAGTTCCTTGTCCTGAACCAGAGGCAGGGATTAAAATGATAAGGGTGAATGAGGATGACAGTAAATGTCTGTGGACACACAGGCAGGACCTGTTACACTTAGTCAGTGTACAACAAAACTTGACTTTCCTGTTTGTAGCTTTGAATGAAATAAGAGAAAGCTGAACATAGCAGAGAGCACTAATTTCTCACATTCTCCATGGAGAAAGTGAAGGGCGAGGGAGATTTTGTTTGAAGAAAGGGTTGTTTCAAGCAGATATAAATGAAATGAAGGAGGTGAAGACCATGTCATGAAAGAAGAAGAAGAAGAGAGAGAAAACTGTTTTTGTTGAATAAACTGTGGAAATCTTTTTCTAGTCCGACTGAGGAGCCAGAGGAGGTACGTGTATATTGCAGTGTTGTGTTGTGCTAAAGGAGGACTTGATGACAGCACACTCTAATACTGTGTGACTGCTTCATTTGTAAAGAGGTGACAACTGGTACATTTGGTTGAGAGAAACATCTGCGCAGGCAAAAACTAAGTGTGATTGAAAGAGGGTTTGCAATGGGGAAAGGTATGCTTGTGTCTATGCTGCTGACGGTAAAAGACTAGGGACACAGGCACGCGCGCATGCACACACACTGCACTGTTGGAGCTAGAAACACAAACATTTCGCTGCATCTGTGATAATATCTGCAAATCTGTGTACACAACCAATAACACATGATTGGATTTGACACACACACACACGGTCTGAGAACCCCTGCTGCCTCTCTGGAGCTCTGTGGTTCTGGTTCTATCTCCACCCAGGCTAGCGGAATGCTAACAGAATGCTAACAATGACTTAGGTACTGTTCTTAGCTCTTATCAGGGATCATTAGGAAGAGCTCCCAGACTTTATCGTACATTATGGCTTACTGTCTGTCCTGCTAATTCCAAAAGTTTAGTAGTTGAGTTACGCATTGCCTCTGCAGAAGGTTTAGTAATGCAGATATTTCTTATATGCGATAAGAGTTGCATTACCACCAGATAATAAGACCTAGTTTGACAGGTTTTACTTTCAAGTGTATTCAATGGTATGTCAATGGCGCATTTCCAAGCAGGATTTACCCCAGTGTTTTACCCAAAAGGCTTAGACTTTTCTGTTTCCATCTACGCGAGCCCGAACCCGTGTCTCACTGGGCCATGGCTCTGGTGGACCTGCTCTCACTTGGGGCCAAAGCTAGGTCACTGGTACTTTTCAGTTAGCATTTACATAACAAAGGCTAACTGTGGACTTTAACACCTTCTCACAAAGCAACTGTTTTGATTATGCAGAGGTTGCTGATTCTGCTCTTCACAAGTCCTCACTGTCAGCCCTAGCTATGAAAACACAATTTCCCCAGTTTAACATAAGGGTGTACAGTGCCTTGCAAAAGTATTCATCCCCCTTGGCGTTTTTCCTATTTTGTTGCATTACAACCTGTAATTTAAATTGATTTTTATTTGGATTTCATGTAATGGACATACACAAACTAGTCCAAATTGGTGAAGTGAAATGAAAAAAATAACTTGTTTAAAAAAATTCAAATAAATACATTACTGAAAAGTGGTGGCACAACCAATTACCTTCAGAAGTCACATAATTTGTTAAATAAAGTCCACCTGTGTGCAATGATGTCACATGATCTCAGTATATATACACCTGTTCTGAAAGAACCCAGAGTCTGCAACACCACCAAGCAAGGGGCACCACCAAGCAAGCGGTACCTGATCACCGACAACGATGAGACAGCCTATAGGGAGGAGGTCAGAGATCTGGCCGTGTGGTGCCAGGACAACAACCTCTCCCTCAACGTGACCAAGACAAAGGAGATGATTGTGGACTACAGGAAAAAAAAGAGGACTGAGCACGCCCCCATTCTCATCGACGGGGCTGTAGTGGAACAGGTTGAGAGCTTCAAGTTCCTTGGTGTCCACATCACCAACGAACTATCATGGTCCAAACACACCAAGACAGTCGTGAAGAGGGCACGACAAAGCCTATTCCCCCTCAGGAGACTAAAAAGATTTGGCATGGGTCCTCAGATCCTCAAAAAATTCTACAGCTGCACCATCGAGAGCATCCTGACTGGTTGCATCACCGCCTGGTATGGCAACTGCTTGGCCTCTGACCGCAAGGCACTACAGAGGGTAGTGCGTACGGCCCAGTACATCACTGGGGCAAAGCTCCCTGCCATCCAGGACCTCTATACCAGGCGGTGTCAGAGGAAGGCCCTCAAAATTGTCAAAGACTCCAGTCACCCTAGTCATAGACTGTTCTCTCTGCTACCGCACGGCAAGCGGTACCGGAGTGCCAAGTCTAGGTCCAAAAGACTTCTCAACAGCTTCTACCCCCAAGCCATAAGACTCCTGAACAGCTAATCATGGCTACCCGGACTATTTGCACTGCCCCCCCCACCCCATCCTTTTTACGCTGCTGCTACTCTGTTAAGTATTTATGCATAGTCACTTTAACTCTACCCACATGTACATATTACCTCAACTAGCCGGTGCCCCCGCACATTGACTATGCAACGGGACCCCCCTGTATATATAGCCTCCCTACTGTCACTTTATTCTATTGTATATATAGCCTCCCTACTGTCACTTTATTTTTTACTTCTGCTCTTTTTTTCTCAACACTTTTTTGTTGTTGTTTTATTCTTACTTTTTTGTTTAAAATAAATGCACTGTTGGTTAAGGGCTGTAAGTAAGCATTTCACTGTAATGTCTGCACCTGTTGTATTCGGCGCATGTGACCAATAAAATTTGATTTGATTTGATTTGAAGACCAAGGAGCTCTCCAAACAGGTCAGGGACAAAGTTGTGGAGAAGTACAGATCAGGGTTGGGTTATAAAAAAATATCAGAAACTTTGAACATCCCACAGAGCACCATTAAATCCATTATTTAAAAAATTGAAAGAATATGGCACCACAACAAACCTGCCAAGAGAGGGCCGCCTACCAAAACTCACGGACCAGGCAAGGAGGGCATTAATCAGAGAGGCATCAAAGAGATCAAAGATAACCCTGAAGGAGCTGCAAAGCTCCACAGCGGAGATTGGAGTATATGTCCATTGGACCACTTTAAGCCATACAATCCACAGAGCTGTGCTTTATGGAAGAGTGTCCAGAAAAAAGCCTTTGCTTAAAGAATAAAATAAGCAAACACGTTTGGTGTTCACCAAAAGGCATGTGGGAGACTCCCCAAACATATGGAAAAAGGTACTCTGGTCAGATGAGACTAAAATTGAGCTTTTTAGCCATCAAGGAAAACACTATGTCTGGCGCAAACCCAACACCTCTCATCACCTCGAGGACACCATCCCCACAGTGAAGCATGGTGGTGGCAGCATGTGGGGATGTTTGTCATCGGCAGGGACTGGGAAACTGGTCAGAATTGAAGGAATGATGGATGGCGCTAAATACAGGCAAATTCTTGAGGGAAACCTGTTTCAGTCTTCCAGAGATTTGAGACTGGGACGACGGTTCACCTTCCAGCAGGACAATGACCCTAAGCATACTGCTAAAGCAACACGGGTGGTTTAAGGGGAAACATTGAAATGTCTTGGAATGGCCTAGTCAAAGCCCAGACCTCAATCCAATTGAGAATCTGTGGTATGACTTAAAGATTGCTGTACACCAGCAGAACCCATCCAACTTGAAGGAGCTAAAGCAGTTTTGCCTTGAAGAATGGGCAAAGATCCCAGTGGCTAGATGTGCCAAGCTTATAGAGACATACCCCAAGAGACTTGCAGCTGTAATTGCTGCAAAAGGTGGCTCTACAAAGTATTGACTTTGGGGGGGGTGAATAGTTTTGCACGCTCAAGTTTTCTGTTTTTTTGTCTTATTTCTTGTTTGTTTAAAAAAATAAAATATTTTGCATCTTCAAAGTGGTAGGCATGTTGTATAAATCAAATGATACTAACCCCCCAAAAAATCAATTTTAATTCCAGGCTGTAAGGCAACAAAATAGGAAAAATGCCAAGGTGGGTAAATACTTTCACAAGCCACTGTATATAATACACTAGTGGAACACTGGTGTTACAGTCAAAAAACAGCACTAGTGCTGTGTCCTCTGGGTGAATATTGGTTACGTTTTGTGCGCTTGGAGACCGTGGTGTTTGAATCCTCCCAATGACAGTCCTTCCCTCTAATCTTGGTGTGGACAGCGCCGGGCGCAGCAGGTTGCCCCGGGAGATAAGAGTTGTTGCTGAGCTCTGCTGAGTCTCTGTGGAAGGCCAGGCAGTAAAGGGCAGAGAGAGAGAAAGAGAGAGAGGGAGCGAGACAGAGGGGAAGATACATATATATATATATATATATATATATATATATAGAGAGAGAGAGAGAGAGAAGAGAGAGAGAGAAGAGCCAAGATGAAGGAGAGGAGAGAGGAGATGAACGATCATCTCTCTCTCTCCTTGAGAGATCTCTCCCTCTCTCATTCTCTCTCTCTCCTACTAGAGAAGATAGATAGACAGACATATTGGTATTTAACATCTAGGCTCTGTGGTGGGCCAGCCTTGGAGGCAGTAGAGGACAGACAGACCGATCTCTTACACCTTGGTTCTCAGCCTGTCCACGCTCCGCTCACGAGACGGTTCCTCTCTGATTGGCGTCTGATTCATAGATCTCTGTCTGGCCCCTAGGAGGCCCCCCACGGGCCCCAGTGGCCCTCAGCAGTTCTCTCACCTCAGACGGGGGACGACGATGAATCACCAAGGTTACAGTGCCCATCTGTAGGTCTGTGTGAGCCTGGCTCTCTGTGTTGACTCTGTGGGACTAGCTGTGTGGGTTTAGGACTCTGTGGCAGGTTAATGTATAACTAAAGGATAACTCCCACTGCACTGACAGCTGTGGGATTAGCATGTTCACCTGAGCTCAGGTGGATTGGATATCCCGGTGCTAAAGTAAAAATATGTTTTTACTGCTGTGAAATGGATAATTTCCCTGGTTTTCCTGGTTTACAGAGTACCAGGTTGTATATCTAAAGGTAAGACATGGGTTTTCCAGGTCTTGGTGTGTTTAGTGGTATTGCTGGTGGTGTTCGACTATGATATAACATGTTGCTGTAATGCCGTGGGTTTAATGGCTGTGTTGATAAGGGGAAATCAGTACCTGTGTAGATAGGAAGCAGTAATGTCAGTGTGACTCATTGAAGCTCACACCTTTCAAAGCATTTGTGTTTAGCTTTGTCATTAGTGTCTGCATAAAATATTACATAAAAAGTACATTTAAATGCCATTAGGCTCACTGTATGTAAAGGGTCTACTTAACATAGGTTCTACTTAATAATTTTTTGGGGGAAGGAAATCTATTTCACTCATATTGTAATTAATAGTAGGTCATATTTCCTAGAAATCTTGGACAGCTACTTTAAGTATAATGGGATCATGTGTTAATGACAACTTTACTTCCTGATCTCCACTCTCATTGAGCTCAGAGTGGTCCCTATATTGACATTAGTTAATTGAATTGTTTGATGGTTATTACAATAATAATAATGCACTACATTTATTACCAATATTTAGTTGTCTGTACTTTCATTCTTTACATTTATTCCATCATCCTGTCAGTAAGATTTTGACCCAGAACTTCAGTATAGTTTCATAGAAAGCATATGTGTGTGCCAGGAGCACAACAACAGCCCATTCTTTTTCTTGAGTGACTGTTTTGAGGAAGTGGAGTAGGCTTGCTTATCTGTGTTTGTATAATATACTGTACATATGGGTGTGAGAGGGTGTAGGACAGTCCTTCCTTATCTGCTCTGACTCAGCTCAATGAGCCCTTATTGAGAACCAGTGTGGAAATGCTGCTAGCTGGAGATGATCGTGGTGTGATAATTGTAGATACTGGGTTTGAGAAGTTTCAGGTCACGTTCAAGGCTACATTGCAGACTGCCCAGTCAGGCATCAGATTGCTATTTCACATGATGTGGTTAGCTCGTGTACATCTCAATGTAGTCAGCCTGGAACGCAGCCTTAGTGACCAGACCTCTCTCCATTTCCATAGAAATACCCAGAAACCCCTTGGTCACACATAAACCATCTCACACTGGTGTGATGCTTTGTGGACATCACAAATCCATACCTCAACCTATAGCAAATTAACCCTAATTGAAAATATCCGCCATTAATTAATTTAGTGCTTATTTGGGGAATAAAGTGCACTCCACTTATAGTGATCACATTGGTCCAGGTTAACTTGATACACTCTAACCGCATTCACTATAACTGTATGACATTGTGGTAAAATAATCACCTCTGTTTGTTTCAGTCTGCCGAGTTCTTCGACATGCTGGAAAGGATGCAGGTAAGACTCCTCCCTCTTCTCTCTTCTTCCTCTTCTCTCTCCTCCCTCTTCCTCTTCCTTCTCTCCTTCCTTCTCTTCTCGCTAAGTTCCACACTGCTGCTGGCATGGACAGGGTGGTGAAAGCACGACACGTTCATCACTTCCTGAGATTTAAATCAAGAGTCCTCCCTAGCGAGCAGAAGGGTCCGTTATTAAGCCACGGGAGTTTGGAGGGGGAACACGGGCCGCCCTTAATTTGACGAGCCGAGGCGACCGGGTCCAATCTCTGGTCCTGATTGAGTAATGGGCCGAACCGGACAGAGTTAACGAGCTCCCTCTAAAAACCCATTGATTCCTCTGTCCTGTTGTGCTGCACTGTGTCTGTGGGGTTCTGGGATCTTCTGTGGGAATGGAGTTTTAGGCAGGAAGAGGGTGGGTGGTGGTGGCAGCTCTGTCATGCCCATTTGGGGACAGCAGGGGAGCTTTTGAAAGCGAGAGAGTGAGCGAAGGAGGACAGGAAATTGATAGCGCCTGTTAACAAGTGCACGAGGAGGCCTGCTGCCACCTCTGAGCCAGTCCTTACCAGCCCCCTCTCTGTCCCCACAATCCCTCACAGAGCACAGCGCCACATCGACCCGCACTACTAACTAGACTAGAGCAGTCGATGGCAGAACAGTTGAAAGGCCTCTATCTGGAATGGTTGATCACAAAGCCCGTCTCCGAGGGATCGAAGATGGATGCATTAAGATGGACCCCTAGCTTTGATCTAACCCAGCGGTGTTGACAAGTAGTCCCCCACTGAGCTACAGCTGTTCCCCCATCCCCTCCACTTTCTGTCTGTCTGTCTGAGCTAGCCTGATCCGTGATCTGATTGTGCTGTATTGCCAACTCCTATGGTCATTGTCAATACAGCACAACAGATCTGGGACCATGCTATGTCAGAGCCACTCTGCTGAACCGGAGGCAAGCATCACTGGAGGATGAGGACCATTCAAACGCATGCAGAGAGTGCATAGATAGATAGCTAGACCAGTCTGTGCGTTGGCCACTGAAATCAATAATGGGAAGTAGGGATACGGATGCGGTTTAAGTCTGGTAAATGACTTGAGAGGTTCTGTGAGTGTGGTAGGTCTTAAGGGTCTTTCCACAAACAGAGTACAATATACAGAGTAGTGTGTTTGTCTACCAATGAAATCAGTAATGAAACTTAGGGATAAGGATGATTGAGATATGATTAAGTCTGGTAAAAGACTTGAGCGAATCTGTGTGTGTGGTAAGTATTCAGGCTTCAGAGCCTTCCCACATGCACAGAAGTCTTTCACCACAGGTCTTTCCAGTAGATTGGTAATTGTGCAATTCAGGATGTGTCACCTAGAGTCATGTTGACTTGGCTCTGCATATATTATGCAAACACTTCTAATTACCAAGCACATTTTTTCCCTGGTTTCCACCAATCAGATGTTTACCCAGAGAATGTACAGTACTGTATGTACGGACAGTAACTGATTTGGGAGTTGTGTAAGTCAGGAATGATATTTCTTACCCTTGTTACCCTCCGTCCACATGCGTGACCCTAACCAGGTCCCTAAATCTGAGGAGACGAAGCCTCACTCGCAGAGAAGCAAGGTCTGAGAAACACACACACACACACACACACACACATCCGTGTCTGTGGACCTCACCACTGGGCATGCTTCTCTGTCATGATGCATTGACCTTGCCTCTGTGTCCATTCCTTTATTAATTTATTAATGTATTCCTTTATTTGTTTTTTTTCATCCCTTCTTTATTTGATTGTGATGATGGTCATCCTCCGTGTTAACCCTGTCAGCCCCTGGAGTAGTTTCACCACTCTCTAAATTACTTCTAACACTCTCCTAAGGTCCCCTCAACCAGGAAAAACGTAGGCTAACTTAAAATAACAAAGAGCTGTGCTTAATGAATGCTATTCCCCTCAATCTCCTGGGACTATATACAGTGTAAAAACAAAGGCATAGAGATCGATTGGAGTCGATGGTGAACATCCAGGGATAGACTGGCCATAGGGCAATTCTGGCAAATGCCAGATGGACTAGTCCATCTTTAATCCATCTGTCTAAATTGCCTCAAGTTAATAAAAATGGGCTGGTGTGTGGGGCCTTGAGGAAAAAAATGGGGTGGTGTGTTAGAAATGCCAAGGGCCTATTTCTAGTCCCAGTCCGTCTCCGTGGATAGATGGCAGCATTCGCGCAAAACTGAAAGCGCGAACCACCGCATTTAACCATGACAAGGTGACTGGGAATATGGCAGAATACAAACAGTGTAGCTACACACTCCGAAGGGCAATTAAACTGGCAAAACATCAGTATAGAGACAAAGTGGAGTCACAATTCAACGGCTCAGACACGAGACGTCTGTGGCAGGGTCTACAGACAATCACGGACTACAAAAGGAAAACCAGCCACCACCGACCTCTCGCTTCCGGACAGGCTAAACACCTTCTTCGCCCGCTTTGTGGATAACACAGTGCCACCGACGCAGCCCACTACCAAGGACTGTGGGCTCACCTTCTCCGTGGCCGACGTGAGTAAGACATTTAAGCATGTTAACTCCCGCAAGGCTGCCGGCCCAGACGGCATCCTTAGCCGCGTCCTCAGAGCATACACAGACCAGTTGGTGTGTTTACGGACATATTCAATCTCTGCCTATCCCAGTCTGCTGTCCCCACATGCTTCAAGATGGCCTCCATTGTTCCTGTACCCAAGAAAGCAAAGGTAACTGAACTAAATGACTATCGCCCCGTAGCACTCACCTTTGTCATCATGAAGTCCTTTAAGAGACTAGTCAAGGATCATATCACCTCTACCTTACATGTCACCCTAGACCCACTTCAATTTGCTTACCGCCCCAATAGGTCCACAGACGATGCAATCACCATCACACTGCACACTGCCCTATCCCATCTGGACAAGAGGAATACCTATGTAAGAATGCTGTTCATTGACTGTAGCTCAGCATTCAACACCATAGTACCCTCAAAGCTCATCATTAAGCTCGAGGCCCTGTGCAACTGGATCCTGGACTTCCAGACGGGCCGCCCCCAGGTGGTGAAGGTAGGAAACAACATCTCCACTTCGCTGATCCTCAACACTGGGGCCCCACAAGGGTGCGTGCTCAGCCCCCTCCTGTACTGCCTGTTCACCCATGACTGCGTGGCCAAGCATGCCTCCAACTCAATCATCAAGTTTGCAGATGACACAACAGTAGTAGGCTTGATTGCCAACAATGACGAGACCGCCTACAGGGAAGAGGTGAGGACTGGGAGTGTGGTGCCAGGAAAATAACCTCTCACTCAATGTCAACAAAACAAAGGAGATGATCGTGGATTTCAGGAAACAGCAGAGGGTGCACCCCCCTATCCACATCGACGGGACCGCAGTGGAGAAGGTGGAAAGCTTCAAGTTCCTTGGTTCCTACAGATGCACAATTGAGAGCATCCTGTCGGGCTGTATCACCGCCTGGTACGGCAACTGCACCGCCCGCAACCGCAGGGCTCTCCAGAGGGTGGTGCGGTCTGCTGAATGCATTACCTGGGGGCAAACTACCCGCCCTCCAGGACACCTACAGCACCCGATGTCACAGGAAGGCCAAAAAGATCATCAAGGACATCAACCACCTGAGCCACTGCCTATTCACCCCACTATCATCCAGAAGGCGAGGTCAGTACAGGTGCATCAAAGCTGGGACAGAGAGAATGAAAAACAGCTTCTATCTCAAGGCCATCAGACTGTTAAATAGCCATCACTAGCACATTAGAGGCTGCTGCTGCCTATTGAAATCACTGGCCACTTTAAGAAATGGAACACTTGTCACTTGAGTAATGCAAGATATGTAAACATTATTAATCTCATATGTATATACTGTATTCTATAATATTCTACTGTATCTTAGTCCATGCCACTCTGTCATTGTTTGTCCATATACAGCTCTGGAAAAAATTAAGAGACCACTGCAATCAGCACTGCAATAGATCAAAACACAATTTTTCTTCAATCAGCATCTCTACATGTATGACAGCCATTCCATTCCAGTGTCTGTTGAATTCCAACACAGGCACACCTCATTCTACTGAATTAGGTACTGATTAGGTGATCACCTGAACCAAATCTTATTTAACAAGGAAAAGTATAAAAACCACTGCTATGGTCATCACTATCCTCTTGCAATAGGACCAGCTGGATGGCAAAAACAGTGCTAATAGTACCTCAAAAGTAATATTAATAAAAAAATAACTATTGACCATGCCAAAAGAGTTGAAAAGGAATGTTTTGAGTGAGGAAAAGAAGGGTTCAATTCTGGCTTTACTGGCAGAGGGATACAGTGAGCGTCAAAGACGGCGGTTCATAAGAACAAGGTCAAGCAGCAGACATTGGGGACAACAAAGCTACAGACCGACAGAGGGCGAAAACGACTCTCTACTGACCGGGATGACCGCCAACTCATTCGAATGTCACTCAACAACCGTAGGATGACATCAAGTGACCGACAAAAAGAATGGCAAATGGCAGCTGGAGTGAAGTGCACGGCGAGGGCGGTTCGAAACAGGCTCTAGGGGCAGGGCTGAAGTCGTGCAAAGCTAGAAAAAAGCCCTTCATCAATGAGAAGCAAAGAAGAGCCAGGCTGAGGTTTGCAAAAGACCATAAGGATTGGACCGTAGAGGACTGGAGTAAGGTCATCTTCTCTGATGAGTCCAATTTTCAGCTTTGCCCAACACCTGGTCGTCTAATGGTTAGAAGGAGACCTGGAGAGGCCTACAAGCCACAGTGTCTCGCACCCACTGTGAAATTTGGTGGAGGATCGGTGATGATCTGGGGGTGCTTCAGCAAGGCTGGAATCGGTCAGATTTTGTCTTTGTGAAGGACGCATGAATCAAGCCACGTACAAGGTTGTCCTGGAAGAAAACTTGCTTCCTTTTGCTCTGACATTGTTCCCCAACTCTGAGGATTGGTTTTTCCAGCAGGACAATGCGCCATGCCACATAGCCAGGTCAATCAAGGTGTGGATGGAGGACCACCAGATCAAGACACTGTCATGGCCAGTCCAATATCCAGACCTGAACCCCATTGAAAACTTCTGGAATGTGATCAAGAGGAAGATGGATGGTCACATGCCATCAAACAAAGCCGAGCTGCTTGAATTTATGTGCCAGGAGTGGCATAAAGTCACCCAACATCAATGTGAAAGACTGGTGGAGAGCATGCCAAGACGCATGAAAGCTGTGATTGAAAATCAGGGTTATTCCACCAAATACTGATTTCTGAACTCTTCCTAAGTGAAAACATTAGTATTGTGTTGTTTAAAAATGAACATGAACTTATTTTCTTTGTATTATTCGAGGTCTGACAACACTGCATTTTTTTTTGTTATTTTGACCAGTTGTCATTTTCTGCAAATACATGCTCTAAATGACAATATTTTTATTTGGAATTTGGGAGAAATGTTGTCAATAGTTTATAGAATAAAACAAAAATGTTAATTTCACCCAAACACATACCTATAAATAGTAAAACCAGAGAAACGTATATTTTTGCAGTGGTCTCTTAATTTTTTCCAGAGCTGTATGTATATATTCTTTATTCCATTCCTTACTTAGATTTGTGTGTATTGGGTATATGTTGTGAAATTGTTAGATATTACTTGTTAGATATTACTGCACTGTCGGAGCTAGAAGCACAAGCATTTCGCTACACCCGCAATAACATCTGCTAAACACATGTATGTGAAAAATAAAATTGTATTTTATTTGATTTGAACGTCACATCACAGCAAGTTTAGAAGTCATACACTAGCCGACTGCTAACCAGCCACAGTGACTTAATTATGAACCCAGGGGCACACAGAGTCAGTACTGAGACTATCTCGTATCCCTGACAGTGTCAGAAGGTGGAGACTCCTCCATCAATGTTTACCTGTTTGATGACTGTGCTGTTTCATTATGTTGCATCACTCATTGGACCATCAGTTGCTTCTGTAGAATAAGTTACTGTATATATGTTCACCCTGTGTTTCTGTGTTCAAGCTTGCTATAGTGACTGACTGCCCCAGTTGACCTCATTGTAATGTAGTTCAAGGCCCTGTTTGAATACTTTACAAACGCACCCTGCCTTTCTCCCTTCCTTGAAGCAATCACTGATCTTACACAAATTGATAGGTGTAAGTAATAGTTCTATTACATCTCTTCCACCTACCCAGCCTTGTCAGATCAGGGATTTATTTAAGGAAGGGAGGAAGGAAAGAGGCATTCTCTTAAGTATTTGAACAGGGCTCTAGTCATTCCAGCCTGTAATGTTAATGATCTGTGTGTGTCTCTCCTCTCTCTGTCTGACAGGATGACTACATACCATACCCGCGGATAGAGGACGTGAGTCAGCGCTCTGATGCGATCATATCAGCTAGATCAAAACACTATGCACACACAAGCATGAACAACACAAACCCACATAAGCACGTGTACAGTATGCACACACACACACACACACACACACGTACATGCACAAACACACACACACACACACACACACACACACACACACACACACACACACACACACACACACACGTACATGCACAAACACACACACACACACACACACACACACACACACACACACACACACACAGTAATGCAGTAATGCAAATACTGGTGGTCAATGTAAAACAAGGCTCAATGAACATTTACAAACACATTTATAATAATGATCAAAACCCCAAGATCTTATTTATTTATATGGCCCTATTCTTGTGGGTGATGGTATTTTGGTACATAAACCCCTTGTCCCTTGGTTGTCTGGCTTAGATTCTGGAGAAGGGTAGCCCATACCCGCAGGTGATCCTGCCCCAATTTGGGGGTTACTGGATTGAGGATGCCGAGGCGCCTGCAGGCACCCCCACCTCCTCGGAGAGCAGTTTCTGTGAGGAGGATGACGGAGGGGGCATGAGCCCTGGGGGAGGCTTCGGCTTCAGGCTGGAGTGCAACAGCACGGCCAGGGCCTACCGCAAACACTTCCTGGGCAGGGTGAGTCAAGGCCTATTTGGCTAGTAGTAATAATGTGGGTGTGTGAGTGGGGGAGGAAGGGGACGTCTGCGCCTGCATGTGTGTGTTGTGTGTGTCTGTGTTTGTTTATGTGTGTATGTGCGTGTGTGTTCTCTGTAAGGGTGTGTTTCCCTCTTTTAGTCTTTCTCCATTTGGGGATTTTTCCTATTTCAGACTTAATTCTGCTCTGGGGTTATGACTAAGCATAAGGTTTTACAGTGAAATATTGACTGTAAAACCTTATTTGAATGTGTGTAACTTCTTTAAACTGTCTCATTATACTGTGTAGTGATTCACTGTCTGTCTGACCCTCCCTCCCTCCCTCCCTCCCTCCCTCCCTCCCGCCATCACTTATCATCCCCCTCGTCTATTCCTCTCCTCCTCTCTCTCGCTCTCTCTCTCTCTCTCTCGCTCTCTCTCTCTCTCTTCTCTCTCTCTCTCGCTCTTCCTCTCTCCTCTCTCTCTCTCTCTCTCCTCTCTCTCTCTCTCTTCTCTCCTCGTCTCTCTCTCTCTTCCCTCTCTTCTCTCTCTCTCTTCTTCAGACATATGAACTACTACTGCACAGGCAGCAGTCTGGGGAACCTCATTATGTCACTGAAGCACGAGGAGGCAGAGGGCCAGGAGTTCCTCCGCATCATTCTCAGGTAACTACAGTAGAGCCAGGAGTTCCTCCTTCATGCTCAGGTAGCTACAGTCATATAATTACCTACAGTAGAGCCAGGAGTTCCTCCTTCATGCTCAGGTAGCTACAGTCATATAATTACATACAGTAGGGGCCAGGAGTTCCTCCTTCATGCTCAGGTAGCTACAGTCATATAATTACATACAGTAGGGCCAGGAGTTCCTCCTTCATGCTCAGGTAGCTACAGTCATATAATTACATACAGTAGGGCCAGGAGTTCCTCCTTCATGCTCAGGTAGCTACAGTCATATAATTACATACAGTAGGGGCCAGGAGTTCCTCCTTCATGCTCAGGTAGCTACAGTCATATAATTACATACAGTAGGGCCAGGAGTTCCTCCTTCATGCTCAGGTAGCTACAGTCATATAATTACATACAGTAGGGGCCAGGAGTTCCTCCTTCATGCTCAGGTAGCTACAGTCATATAATTACATACAGTAGGGCCAGGAGTTCCTCCTTCATGCTCAGGTAGCTACAGTCATATAATTACATACAGTAGGGCCAGGAGTTCCAGTAGGGATGTAGGATCTGAACTAGCTCTGATCTGCCCTGGCCTGGACCCATATATACAGCCACAGCAGTCCAGTGGGCCTATGTTGGCTCTGGAGCCATGGCCTGGACCCATATATACAGCCACAGCAGTCCAGTGGGCCTATGTTGGGTCTGGAGCCATGGCCTGGACCCATATATACAGCCACAGCAGTCCAGTGGGCCTATGTTGGGTCTGGAGCCATGGCCTTGACCCATATATACAGCCACAGCAGTCCAGTGGGCCTATGTTGGGTCTGGAGCCATGGCCTGGACCCATATATACAGCCACAGCAGTCCAGTGGGCCTATGTTGGGTCTGGAGCCATGGCCTGGACCCATATATACAGCCACAGCAGTCCAGTGGGCCTATGTTGGGTCTGGAGCCATGGCCTGGACCCATATATACAGCCACAGCAGTCCAGTGGGCCTATGTTGGGTCTGGAGCCATGGCCTGGACCCATATTTATATTTACACTAATCCTACCTTGTGAACGTGGATTTACACCCTCAAATATAAGTTATTTTACACTTATCATGTAACCGGTAGCCAGAACTTTCACTGTAGAAATAGGAAGTATGTATGTGCCATGTGCTGCCTACCTTTTTAAGATGCGGTTATTGACACTGGTTTTGTGCAATCATCACCCAGGTCGAGGACAAAGACACACCATGATAGGATCTCTCTGGCAGGCCTCAACCAGCTTCCCAGTGTACCCCAGATAGCCAAGGTAAAGAGGGCTGACCTAAGCACCACCAAGTACCACATGTTCACTCAATGCAACATGTACTCAATGTAAAGTGGCGATCTGGGTTTCAAACATCAACAATGTGGGCAGACCGCCACTGTTTTGGAAAACAGCTGAGGGATGGGGCTGTGTTGAAACTATACAGTGTTTGTTTACATTTACATTGTTTACAAACAATTAAGTAAAACAAACGTTTGGGTTCTGATGGGGTAAGACAGTTGAACTAAGCTCATGATTCATTTATACATTATATTCTAAAATAATAAGTTGCTATACAGTGGGGGAAAAAAGTATTTAGTCAGCCACCAATTGTGCAAGTTCTCCCACTTAAAAAGATGAGAGAGGCCTGTAATTTTCATCATAGGTACACGTCCACTATGACAGACAAAATGAGAAAAAAAAATCCAGAAAATCACATTGTAGGATTTTTAATGAATTTATTGGCATATGATGGTGGAAAATAAGTATTTGGTCAATAACAAAAGTTTCTCAATACTTTGTTATATACCCTTTGTTGGCAATGACACAGGTCAAACGTTTTCTGTAAGTCTTCACAAGGTTTTCACACACTGTTGCTGGTATTTTGGCCCATTCCTCCATGCAGATCTCCTCTAGAGCAGTGATGTTTTGGGGCTGTCGCTGGGCAACACAGACTTTCAACTCCCTCCAAAGATTTTCTATGGGGTTGAGATCTGGAGACTGGCTAGGCCACTCCAGGACCTTGAAATGCTTCTTACGAAGCCACTCCTTCGTTGCCCGGGCGGTGTGTTTGGGATCATTGTCATGCTGAAAGACCCAGCCACGTTTCATCTTCAATGCCCTTGCTGATGGAAGGAGGGTTTCACTCAAAATCTCACGATACATGGCCCCATTCATTCTTTCCTTTACACGGATCAGTCGTCCTGGTCCCTTTGCAGAAAAACAGCCCCAAAGCATGATGTTTCCAACCCCATGCTTCACAGTAGGTATGGTGTTCTTTTGATGCAACTCAGCATTCTTTGTTCTCCAAACATGACGAGTTGAGTTTTTACCAAAAAGTTATATTTTGGTTTCATCTGACCATATGACATTCTCCCAATCCTCTTCTGGATCATCCAAATGCACTTCAGACGGGCCTGGACATGTACTGGCTTAAGCAGGGGGACACGTCTCGCACTGCAGGATTTGAGTTCCTGGCGGCGTAGTGTGTTACTGATGGTTGGCTTTGTTACTTTGGTCCCAGCTCTCTGCAGGTCATTCACTAGGTCCCCCCGTGTGGTTCTGGGATTTTTGCTCACCGTTCTTGTGATCATTTTGACCCCACGGGGTGAGATCTTGCGTGGAGCCCCAGATCGAGGGAGATTATCAGTGGTCTTGTATGTCTTCCATTTCCTAATAATTGCTCCCACAGTTGATTTCTTCAAACCAAGCTGCTTACCTATTGCAGATTCAGTCTTCCCAGCCTGGTGCAGGTCTACAATTTTGTTTTTGGTGTCCTTTGACAGCTCTTTGGTCTTGGCCATTGTGAAGTTTGGAGTGTGACTGTTTGAGGTTGTGGACAGGTGTATTTTATACTGATAACAAGTTCAAACAGGTGCCATTAATACAGGTAACGAGTGGAGGACAGAGGAGCCTCTGAAAGAAGAAGTTACAGGTCTGTGAGAGCCAGAAATCTTGCTTGTTTGTAGGTGACCAAATACTTATTTTCCACCATAATTTGCAAATAAATTCATTAAAAATCCTACAATGGGATTTTCTGGATTTTTTTTCCTCAATTTGTCTGTCATAGTTGACGTGTACCTATGATGAAAATTACAGGCCTCTCTCATCTTTTTAAGTGGGAGAACTTGCACAATTGGTGGCTGACTAAATACTTTTTTTCCCCACTGTATATAATTCATTTAACAGTCTGAAAAGGGATGTACCAATCCCAGATTGCCCCTTTAATCTAAAATCGATTTGTTTCGGTCAATGTGGTTTCAAATGGATCCGTGTCTGTCTGTCTGTCTGTGTTTCAGCTTCTCTGTGACGATGTGACTGGCCTGAAGTTCAACCCGGTCCTGTACCCCAGAGTGAGTCTGCTCCACAGTTTCCTTTCAGCCAGGCGCTTCCACCTGTACTACAGTAGCCATAGAACCAGGGTCATATTCATTAGGTCATGCCATAGAAATATAAATCATTTTCTAGCATTTTCAAAATGTTTTGCAATGGAACACAAGTGTTTCTTATTGGACAAGTCCAGGTAGTCGCTCCCTTTTACAGTCCCTTTTCTTCCGTTTGCTGCCTAATGAACTTAATCCAACTTCCACCTGGTCCACTATACAGCCTGGTCCACCCTGTTCTCTCTTACTGATATGGTGTAGGCAGTGCTAAAGATAGATCTGATCCAGGACCTGTTCATCACTTCAGAGGTCATTTGGATGATGGAGCTGCTTGTTGTGCCTCTGCTCCGGGTCCTATAGAACTCATCTGTTATTATGACAGTCTGCTCAGACTGCTCCCCCTCCCCTCTGCTCCCATCCCCCACTGGTTGCAGCTGACTGCCTTTCAGAATGGCTACAATCAACCCACAGTGGCCCTGGGTCGTATTTATTAGGGCATGCAACGGAAAACATTTTGTAGCTGAAAACGGAAAAAATGACCTCCCCAGACGTGATAGACACTACATGACCAAAAGTATGTGGTTACCTGCTTGTCGAACATCTCATTCCAAAATCATGGGCATTAATATGGAGTTGATCCCCCCCTTTGCTGCTATTACAACCTCCAAATTACTGGGAATGCTGCTATAACAACCTCCACATTACTGGGAAGGCTTTCCACTAGATGTTGGAACATTGCTGTGGGGACTTGCTTCCATTCAGCCACAAGAGCATTAGTGAGGTTGGGCACTGATGTGGGACGATTAGGCCTGGCTCGCAGTCAGCGTTCCAATTCATCCCAAAGGTGTTCGATTGGGTTGAGGTCAGGGCTCTGTGCAGGCCAGTCAAGTTCTTCCACACCGATCTCGACAAACCCTTTTTGTATGGACCCCGCTTTGTGCACGGCGGCATTGTCATGCTGATACAGGAAAGGCCTTCACCAAACTGTTGCCACAAAGTTGGAAGCACAGAATCGTCTAGAATGTAATTGTATGCTGTAACGATAAGATTTCCCTTCACTGGAACTAAGGGGCCTAGCCCTAACCATGAAACACAGCCCCAGACCGTTATTCCTCCTCCACCAAACATTACAGTTGGCACTATGCATTCGGGCAGGTAGCATTCTCCTGGCATCCGCCAAACTCAGATTTGTCCGTCGGACTACCAAATGGTGAAGCGTGATTCATCACTCCAGAGAACACGTTTCCACTGCTCCAGAGTCCAATAGCAGCAAGCTTTACACTACTCCAGCCGACGCTTGCCATTGCTCATGGTGATCTTAGGCTTGTGTGCGGCTGCTTGGCCATGGAAACCCATTTCATGAAGCTCCCGACGAACAGTTCTTGTGCTGACATTGCTTCCAGAGGAAGTTTGGAACTCGGTAGTGAGTGTTGCAACTGAGGACAGACGATTTCTACACGCTACGCGCTTCAGCACTCGGCGGTCCCGTTCTGTGAGCTTGTGTGGCCTACCACTTCGCAGCTGAGCTGTTGTTGCTCCTAGATGTTTCCACTTCACAATAACACCACTTACAGTTGACTGGGGCAGCTCTAGCAGGGCAGAAATTTGACGGACTGACTTGTTGGAAAGGTGGCATCATATGACGGTGACACGTTGAAAATCACTGAGCTCTTCAGTAAGGCCATTCTACTGCCAATGTTTGTCTATGGAGATTGCATGGCGGTGTGCTCGATTTTATACACCTGTCAGCAATGGGTGTGGCTGAAATAGCTGAATCCACTAATTTGAAGGGGTGTGCACATACTTTTGTATATATAGTGTAAATATCTGCCCGAGTTATGGAGGGACTTTATCACATAACTGGATATTATATGTACATACACATCCTTATAATTGTTTTGTTTTGGTTTCAGGGCTCTCAGTTGATAGTAGGTTATGACGAACATGAAGTGAACAACACATTTAAGTTTGGTGTCATCTACCAGAAGTTTGGTCAGGTGAGTGTGATATGCAGGTTTTTATTGCCAAATGGTGTTTCAGTTTATTCCTTATCTGTAAGCTGCATTGTGTATGGAACCCCATACATTAACATCTCTCCCTTTTAATCTTCTCCCCTCATCCCTCTCTCCTCTCCTCTCATTGCTCCATCCTAGACGTCAGAGGAGGAGTTGTTTGGGAACAACGAGGAGACGCCAGCCTTCCTAGAGTTCCTCAGTGTTCTGGGAGACAACATAGAGCTGAACGACTTTAAGGGGTGAGAGACATAGATACAACTCTACTAGACCCCTACTCCCGAGAGGGGGAGAGGGGGAGAGAAGGGAGGAGAAAATTTTTTTTTTTTTTTAGCCCCCCGAGGGGAGGAACAGAGGGAGAGAGGGGGGAGGTTTTTGGGGAAAGGAAAGGGGGGTCCAGATGGAAAAAAGGGGAGGAGGAGGGAAAAGAGGGGGGCGGTGCCCGAGGAGAGGGTTTTGGAAGAAGAGGGGAAGAGGGATGGCGGAAAAAGGATAAGGGGGAGGGGGGAAGAGGGCCCCCCCCCGGGAGAGGGAGGGGAAATTGAAGGGGGGGGGGAACCGGGGGAAGAAAAGGGAGGGAGGAGGCAAAAGACTGGGGTACAAACCCCTTGCTTTGGACCCCTACCCCCACCCTTTTTAGAGGGAAGGGGGAGGGCGAAGGGGCGAAGAGGGGGGGAAACGGGAAAGAAAGCAAAAAGAGGGGGAGAATAGAAAAACAACCGCAACTCTATCGGGGAGGGAAGGGAAGGGGGGAGGGGAGGGAGGGGCGGGAAAAGGGGGGAGGGGAATGGAGGGAGAAGAGGGGGGGGGAAAAGAATTGAGGAAGGGTTGGGGGGAAGAGGAGGAAAAACGGAGAAAAAGAGGAGGGAGAGGGTGAAGGGGGAAAAAGGGGGAGAAAAGGAGCCGGGAAAAAGGAAAAAGAAGGAAAAGGAGGAAAAGGGGGGAGAGAGGAAAAAGAGGGAGCCCAAGGGGGAGGAGGAGGGAGAGGAAAAACAAAAAGGGGAGGAAAAAGAAACAGGGGGGAGGGCGGGAGGGGAAAAAGGGTGGGGGGGAAATGGGGAGGGGAAGGGGAGAGGGAAGGGGGGGAGGGGGGAGAGGGGAGGGGAGGAGAAAAGAAGAGAAGGAAAAGGGGGAGGGAAGAAGAGGGGGGAGAGAGAGAGGAGAGAGGGAGGGGGAAAGGAGGGGAGGTTTAGGAGAGAGAGACGGAAAGGGAAGAGAGGAAAGGGAGAGGGGGGGAGAGGAGAGAGAGAGAAAAGGAAGGGGGAGAGAAGGGGGGGGAGAGAAAAGAGAGAGAGGGGGGATGGGGGAGAGAGCGAGGAGAGGAGGAAGGGGACAGAGCGAGGGAGCGGGGAAGAAGGGGGGGAGTAAGAGGAGAAGGAGAGGGGGAGGGAAGAGAGGAGAGAGAGAGGGGGAGGGGGAGGGGAGAGAGGGGGGAGAGAGGGAAGGGGAGAGAACTTTTGGGTATATTATTACTGAGAGGGGAAGGGGAAGGGGAAAGAGAGAGGGGGGAGAGAGGAAGGGGGAGGAGAGGGAGGAGGGAGAGAGAGAGAAAAGGGAAAGTTTTACACTATATATTTTTACTGCCTTTCCCTGTAAATTTTGCATGAGTAGGGCCCGGAGTTTTCCTGGGCAAGTGATCAGGAAATGCTCCTGGCCCCTACCCAATATTTAACGTCATGGGTAATGATAATCATGTTGTGTTGTCACTGTGCTCCTAGGTTCGTGGTGGTCTGGATGTATCTCATGGTCAAGGAACAGGCTCTGAGTCCATCTATACCGTCTTCAGACAAGGAGAGAAGATGATTGGTTCCCACGTCTCCACTAAGCTACCCCTTCACTGAGGGAGACGTACAACAGGTACTGAACCCGCTACACCACACACGCATAATAACAGTGGTTACAGTATGTGTTTTGTGTGTGTTCAGTGTGCGGGTCACTCATAAACACCCTCTGTTTCCTCATCCCTCTCACCCCACACCATTCCTGTACATTTTGTCTCTAATAATTGTGACTAATTAGACTGTATAACATACAGTCACAGTCCTAAGGTGTTTACAGAACACTATGCTCTTGTCCCTCAGCTCCAGAGGAAGAGGCACATAGGAAATGACATCGTGGCGGCGGTCTTCCAGGAAGACGCCACGCCCTTTGTGCCTGACATGATCGCCTCCAATTTCCTCCATGCGTATGTGCTGGTGCAGGTGGAGAACCCTGGTACTGAACACACCACATACAAGGTCAGTACTATAGCCTACTATGAACCTAACAGGCTCACTGTGATATTTGCAAAGCGGAGTGGGCCTTTAAGGCATGGATATTATGTAACCGGTGTGAAATGGCTAGCTAGTTAGCGGTGAGCGCTAGTAGCGTTTCTATCGGTGACGTCACTCGCTCTGAGACCTTGAAGTAGTTGTTTGCCTTGCTCTGCAAGGGCCGTGGCTTTTGTGGAGCGATAGGTAACGATGCTTCAAGGGTGACTGTTGTCGATGTGTGCAAAGGGTCCCTGGTTCAAGCCCAGGTTGGTGCGAGGAGGGAACTGAAGCAATACTGTTAGAATTACTTAAGCCAGACTCTCTACACAGTAAATGTATGACGTGAATTGCTTTGTGTCGGCAGGTGTCTGTTACAGCGAGGGAGGATGTACCTCTGTTTGGCCCACCTCTCCCCAATCCAGCGGTCTTCAAGAAGGTAAGTAAGAGAAAGAGAATTACAGAAAAAGATACAGAGAGAGAAAGAGAGAGATTGAAGGAGAGTGAAAGTTTCCCACTGTTATTTACAGTGAAAGTTTTAATGAGAAACCTGACATAATTTACAGTTCATTCAGCAGAAAGTATTCATATTGCTTTACTTATTCCACATTTTGTTGTGTTACAGCATGAATTCAAAATGGATACAATTATATTTACACACAATACCCCATGACAAAGTGAAAACATATTGTTGCAGTATTACTTTAGTGTCTTGTTGCAAACAGGATGCATGTTCTGGAGTATTTTTGTTCTGTACAGGCTTCCTTCTTTTCACGCTATCATTTAGGTTAGTATTTTGGAGTAACTACAATGTTGTTGATCCATCCTCAGTTTTCTCCTATCACAGCCATTAAACTCTGCAACTGTTTTAAAGTCACCATTGACCTCATGGTGAAATCCTTGAGCGGTTTCCTTCCTCTCCGGCAACTGAGTTGGGAAGGACGCCTGTATCTTTGTAGTGACTGGGTGTATTTGATACACCATCCAAAGTGTAATTAATAACTTCACCATCCTCAAAGGGATATTCAATAGGTGCCCTTCTGGAAAACCTCTCTGGTCTTTGTGGATGAATCTGTGTTTGAAATGCACTGCTCGACTGAGGGACTTTACAGTTAATTGTATGTGTGGGGAGAGATGAGGTAGTCATTCAAAAATCATGTTAAACACTATTATTGTACACAGAGTGAGTCCATGTGACTTTTTAAGCAAATATTTACTCCTGAACTTATTTAGGCTTGCCATAACAAAGGGTTGAATAAAACAATTCTAAAAACAGAATTCCACTTTGACTTTATGGGGTATTTTGTGTAGAGGCCAGTGAAACAAAATATCAATTTAATCCATTTTAAATTCAGACTGTAACACAACAAAATTAGGAAAAAGTCAAGGGGTGTGAATACTTTCTGAAGGCACTGTTTAATTCCTTTTCGTCCCGTCGACTCCAGACGACCAGATGATGATGAGTATGGTGCTGATGAAAGTCACCTCTCCCACTCCATCCACATCTTCCCCCCCTCCCCTTCTCCTGTCTCCCCAGGGTCCTGAGTTCCGTGACTTCCTGCTGACAAAGCTGATCAATGCGGAGAACGCCTGCTACAAGTCTGACAAGTTTGCCAAGCTAGAGGTGAGAGGGGCAGATGACTCAAGACACCCTGGATATGTTGCTCAATCTCTTTCATCTATCTCAATCACCTCTACTACTGCTTCTTAAATGATACATGGTGGTGTTGTTTTTTTGCTTGTGTCTGTTTGCATCTGTGTGGGTCTGTGTGTCTCTATGCATATGTGTGTGAATGTGTCTGTGGGTGCTTGTGTTCCAGGGGCGGACGCGAGCTGCGTTGCTGGATAACCTTCACGATGAGCTTCACAGACAGACCCAGGCTACACTGGGGCTAGGCCAGGCTGGCGAGGAGGACAAGCTGGAGAACGGGGGCCATGGGGGACTACTGGAGTCTTTCAAGGTGACTCTTTAACACCGTTTCTTTACCTCATCATCTGACGACATGTCTCTTTCACCTATCTAGTTGTCTGCTGCTGTTCTCTCTCGCTCTCTCGCTCTCTCTGTCTCTCTCTCCCACTCTCTGTCTCTCTCTCTCGCTCACTCGCACACACACAGACACCCTCTCTCTTTCTCTCTTTCTCTCCCTCTCTCTTTCTCTTTCTGTCTCTCTCTGTCTCTCTCTCTGTCTCTCTCTCTGTTCTCTCTTTCCCTCCCTCCTGCCACGCTGCTGTTGATTGAGATTAAGGGATGCTAATCATCGTACCACCTTACCCGTCTTTCTCCATCTCTCTTTCCCTCACTCCCTCTCTCCCTCTCTCCCTCCCCCATCCTCCCTGTCTGACCATATGGTGTCTCTCTGTCTGTTCACAGGCAGTTTGGAGGTATGTGTTGCATGCCACTCATTCAACCACTGGGGGTGCTGTGCTCATCGCTACAGCAGCAGTCACAGTTTATTACCTGTCGTCGCAGATACTGTATTATACTGATTGAGAATCAGAACAAAGCATATTGAAAGCATCTCCAAACATTGAAACACTCAATAAACACTGTTCCTGTGGTTTTGTTTGTTGTGTTTTATGCCCTCGAGACTAACGTTGAAACACACCGTCCCTGTCTCCCTTAGTCTAACCTACTAGTGATGACACGTTATCATAAGGCTTCTTATGATTTCCTTTACGATATAAGTGAACTAAAATAGTACCCTAGTACACAGTACCTCATTATCAGTAATATTCAGTGTTGGGGAAGCTACTTTGAAAATATAGTTTTCCAAGCTAACAATTACTTCACATTGGAAGAGGTTAAGCTACACTAAAGCTACCCTTAAGAACAATATAGTTTACTTAACTAAAGTTACTTTGAAAAAGTAGTTCACTACATCCAAACTACTTTGTGATACATTATCATAGCTAAATCTGAAATGTCATAGACTACATATTGCAAAAACAGATCATTCTGGAGTCAGATGTTAACAGAATGTGTAATTTAGCCTATTAAACATGTTTCAACTGAAGATTAGGCAGGTCTGATGCCGAAAAATGACCTTTTTGTCTACTTTACCCATATTTTATTTTTGCAAAAGAAGTAGTGTGTAGTTCCACTATGTAAAACACTACTGAAAACACTACCTAGATTAGAATTTAGTTCAACTACCACCTAGCTACTACAAAATGTAGTTGAATTACTAGTTGTAGTTCACTATTCCCCAACACTGGTAATATTACAGTCATATCTCTCACTAACCATGCACCGCACTGCACTCCTTATTTCTCTATGTAGAAGAAGTGCTCTCTCTGCTGACAGTATATTGTAATAGCAGGTTTGATCTTTCCTATGAACATAAATCTGATTTGATCAATATCAGATACATTCATCTTACCCAACCACATTATCAATAGAATACAATAAAATAATCTATAATACAAACCTAATCTGGCGTCATTTGGTCATATGCTCAATGTTTACGTAGTCTGTCCACAGGAGTTTATTACACACCACACTCAAAGAGCTTTGGAAATTGATGAGTACACAGATAGAGTATAGTTGCAGGATGTGGACCGGTTTGAATCCCGGGCCAGGCGCTGGAAAAAATGGGGTGAATTGATCTGGCAACTGGAGGGCTGCTGGGTTCACATCCTAAAGATATTCCCCTACAGTTGGGCCCTTAAGCAAGGCCCCTTTACCCCACAACATGCTCTCCATCCAGGGGTGCTGTGCTTGTCTCAACTGTGTGCTGAGACAATGACTGTACTCATTTCCCTTCTCTTCCTCTGTCCTCTTTTCTCTTTTCTCTCTAACTCCACACCGCTCCCTTTTAACCTGCTCCCTCCTCTGTCCCCTCTGTCCCTGTCCCCTAGCGTGCGATGCGCGTCCGGAGTCACTCCATGGAGACCATGGTGGGGTCCCACCGTCACCGGAGTCCAGGGGTGGGAGGGGGGGTCCCGGCCAGCTTGAGTGGAGGGGGGCTGCCACAGAGCACCGAGTGCACAAAGAGTACCTTCACGGTGAGCAGGGTGGAGGGGTAGGAGTGCTTGAGGTCATAAAGTAATATTTACACACAAATAAAACTGGACATACACATAGTCTTGTACATTGCACGTTTTGCAAAACATTTGCTCAAATGAGTCTTATGATATCAACATGTACTTTTGCAAACAGTCACATCCATGTAATATAATCATAATATCAGTGTGCTGATGTAATTTCAACTGTTTTATATGTGAAGGGTAGTGGTCCATCACGATGTAGACAAAATCTGCCTTAATTGAGCTCAATCAGCCTCCTAATGCTGTATATTGCCTGCTTCTTAATGGTATTGACTGTGTGATCTCCCTCTCCAGCCACCAGTGCTGTCAGCCAAGTCTCCTCTAAAGAGTCCAGTGAAGCGTCGTTCAGGTCTCTTCCCCCGCCTCCACTCAAGCACAGAGAGCCCCTCGGACAGACACACACGCAGGTCAGCAGGCTTTCCATAGCCTGGTCCCAGATCTGTTTGTGCTGTTTTGTTAATGACCATATGAGTTGGCAAGACATCACAAACAGATCTGGGACCAGGCTGTGCATTACATTTTACATTTTAGTCATTTAGCAGACGCTCTTATCCAGAGCGACTTACAATGTTTTTAGTTTTTTTGTTATTTTCATACTGGCCCCCCGTGGGAATTCAGGTCATAATACTGAAGCTTGTGTTACAGTGCATTGTAAAGTATTCAGACCCCTTGACTTTTTCCACATTTTGTTACGTTACAGCCTTATTCTAAAATGTATTACATTGCTTTTTCCCCTCATCAATCTACACACAATATCCCATAATGACAAAGCAAAAACAGTTTAAAAACTGAAATATCACATTTACATAAGTATTCAGACCCTTTACTCAGTACTTTGTTAAAGCACCTTTGGCAGCAATTACAGCCTCGAGTCTTCTTTGGTATGACGCTATAAGCTTGGCACACCAGTACTTGGGGAGTTTCTCCCATTCTTCTCTGCAGATCCTCTCAAGCTCTGTCAAGTTGGATGGGGAGTGTCACTGCACAGATATTTTCAGGTCTCTCCAGAGATGTTAGATCGGGTTCAAGTCCGGGCTCTGGCTGGGCCACTCAAGGACATTCAGAGACTTGTCCCGAAAGCCACTCCTGCGTTGTCTTGGCTGTGTGCTTAGGGTCGTTGTCCTGTTGGAAGGTGAACCTTCACCCCAGTCTGAGGTCCTGACCGCTCTGGAGCAGGTTTTCATCAAGGATCTCTATGTACTTTGCTCCGTTCATCTTTCCCTCAATCCTGACTAGTCTCCCAGTCCCTGCCGCTGAAAAACAACCCCACAGCATGATGCTGCCACCACCATGCTTCACCGTAGGGATGGTGCCAGGTTTCCTTCAGACGTGATGCTTGGCATTCAGGCCAAAGAGTTCAATCTTGGTTTCATCAGACCTAGAATCTTGTTTCTCATGGTCTGAGAGTCCTTTAGGTGCCTTTTGGCGAACTCTAAGCGGGCTTTCATGTGCCTTTTACTGAGCAGTGGCTTCCGTCTGGCCACTCTACCATTAAGTCCTGACTCCTCCCAGACCAAGGTTCCCCTTTCCTCCCCCCTCTCCCCCCCGATTGCTCAGTTTGGCCGGGCGGCCAGCTCTAGGAAGAGTCTTGGAGGTTCCAAACTTCTGCCATTTAAAAATGATGGTGGCCACTGTGTTCTTGGGGACCTTCAATGCTGCAGAAATGTGTTGGTACCCTTCCCCAGATCTCTGCCTCGACACAATCCTGTCTCGGAGCTCTACAGACAATTCCTTCGACCTCATGGCTTGGTTTTTGCTCTGACATGCACTGTTAACTGTGGGACCTTATATAGACAGGTGTGTGCCTTTCCAAATCATGTCCAATCAATTGAATTTACCACAGGTGGACTCCAATCAAGTTGTAGAAACATCTCAAGGATGATCAATGGAAACAGGATGCATCTGAGCTCAATTTCGAGTCTCATAGCAAAGGGTCTGAATACTTATGTAAATAAGGAATGTAGCTCAGTTGGTAGAGCATGGCGTTTGCAACGCCAGGGTTGTGGGTTCGATTCCCACGGGGGGCCAGTATGAAAAATAAAAAAATAATGTATGCACTCACTAACTGTAAGTCGCTCTGGATAAGAGCGTCTGCTAAATGACTAAAATGTAATTGTAATGTAAAATGTATTTCTGTTTTTATTTTGAATACATTTGCAAAAATCTAATCTGTTTTTGCTTTGTCATTATGGGGTATTGTGTGTAGATTGATGAAGAAATTGTTTTATTTACACAATTTTAGAATAAAGCTGTAACGTAACAAAATTTGGAATAAGTCAAGGGGTCTGAATACTTTCCGAATGCACTGTATGTCATTGTGTATTTGTTCTATCTGCTAACTTGGTCTGTTTGTTGTTGCAGTGACCAAAAGACCCCAGACATCTGCCCTCTTGGCCAGGAAGGGAGGTCAGAGACGTTGTCTAACCCCAGCTCACCAGAGATCTGCCCCAACAAGGAGAGGTGAGATGAACTACAACCAAAATACTGAACATGAACACACAATGTGTGCATGAGGTGTGCATATGCTTTGTAAACCTCCCCTCCCCATACCCTCCCCTCCCCTCCCCTCGTCTCTCCTCCCCTCCCCTCTCCTTTCCTCTCGTCTCTTCTCCTACCATCCCCTCTCCTCGTCTCTCCTCTCATCTCCTCTCCTCTAATGCGGTTCCTCTACCTCCTGTCACCAGGCCATTCCTCAAGCTGAAGGACTGCAGCAGCAGCAGACACAACATCTCCCGCTCCTCCTCCAGCACCAGCAGCTTCAGCAGTACCACCGGGGAAGGAGAGGCCCTGGAGGAGCTTGACACTGTGAGGGCCTGCGGCCACTGGGGAGACAGGGGGCTGGGGAGGGGGAGGCCCTGGAGGCATTGTGCTGGGGAGCGTATGGAGGATGGACAGGGGTTGGGGATAGGGAGTAGGGAGGCACGGGGACAATGAGTCAGTGGGCTGGGAGACAGGGTGACAGGTGGCTGTAGAGCAGAGGGGTAGGGGAGTGGGGTGTGTTGAGGTAGGCTTGGGTGGGCTATAGCATTTCGATCAGGACTGGCAGGGTGCTTCACATAATTGGGCAGATCATAGGCCTGTGGTGCTCAGAAGTTGTGGGATCCAAAATGATTAACTGTATAAGGACCATGTTTGTTTTATCATTAACTGCATGAAGGCATCAACAAATTACACATTTGGAATGATTTGAGATGATTTGGCAGTACTGAGAGAAGAAATAGAGATGGTGCAATATCATGACAGCTGGTGATTAAGTCAATTATGGTTTCTGTCACTCTCTTTCGATCATATTGTGTTGGATGTCAATTACGCACGCTTGGCAAAGGATGAGAATGTCATATAATGATTGTATCATACACACATTACACACACACACAGATCAGTGTTTACACACAAAAAAACAGTTGTTTACAGCTCAGTTAACCTAAGGCTGGAATTTGTGTGCCCCTCTGGAGCAGTTTGGGGGATAAGTTCCTTGCTCAAGCGCACAACGGCAGCACAGTGCTGAAAACCGACCATCTGTAATAAATCCAGCTGAAGTCTCTTAGCTGTAGTCTGTAGTGTGTGTGACAGTAGAATGATACAGATGGATGTCTACCCTAGCCCTGACAGCTCTTCCTCATCTTCATCTTCTCCCTCCTCTTCATCCTCTTCCTCTTCCTCTCCCAGGGAATCCACCCGTCCATAGCCTCCTCGTCCGTGTTCAGCCCCTACCCTTCCCTCAGCGTGGAGAGCCAAGGCTCGGCCACCCCCCTCATCATGTGTCGCAGTCCCACAGGTAAACATCCAACACTACACCTAGGTGTGACTGACTGGGATCCAAACCCGGGTCTCCTGCACACCACAAGACCATGTTAGCCCTCTGGGCTAAAGTCTAGGCATTCTGCAAGTCATCAGGGTTACTCAACACACAAGCATGGTTTTGAACCATCTCTGTTATATAGGTCTCTATACCCTCTGTATTCATCTCTTACACTGTAGATTACAATGGTGGGTTTGTTTACATTCTTTACTTGAACTATCCGGAAGCACACATGGTACTTTATTGTTTGCGAGTATGTTGTCTCAACCTCAATGTGTGATTGACACTCAATCATAGAGTATATATTTCTCTGATAATGGAGGCTTTATCTTATTCTCCCCCCAGATGTAAAGAGTAAGATGTCTCCCAGGTCAAACTTGAAGTTCCGCTTTGACAAGATGAGCCACTCCACAACTGTAAGTGATGTCTTACTGTGCTGTTCTGAACTGTACTGTACTGTACCGTACCGAACTATACTGTACCGTACCGTACTATACTGTACTCTACCGTGCTGCATGTGTGATAAACACACTGCTCAGTGAATGCAGTCTTGAAGTGACCCACTGTTCTCCTCCAGAGTCATTAAGATATGATAGGTGGATACAGGATTAGGGACAGTAGCTTGTTCCTGTATCACAGTCCCTTCACTACACTGTCTGCTCTGCATCCCTCATCTCTTATCTATAGCACACTATCTAGCTAGAGATCCTGCATTAACCTATCAGCTTGATCTCTCATTAGAATATAAATGATGATGATGATGATGATGATGATGATGATGATGATGATGATGGTATTGTTGTAATTGGACATTTCTGTTATTTTCTATTGCAGTCCGAGTAGAAATCTGGATTTTCCAAAAAAGGAACAACACTGGCTGTTGGAGCAAAAAACATTCACAACATCAACAACGCATCACAATGGAATCACAAAATGTACTTAACTTCATGACTAAAGGGAATTAAGTGGACTAGCTAGTGCATAAGCGCACACACGTAGACAGATACTGAGCTGGAAAGGAGGGAGAATCCTGTGAGTCTGAACTAAGAAGTGGTGAAAAAAAGGTTCCTCTCAGTCTCTCTCTCTCTCTCTCTCTCTCTCTCTCTCCCTCTCTCTCTCTCTCTCTCTCTCTCTCTCTCTGTCTCTCTCTCTCTCTGTCTCTCTCTCTCTCTCTCTCTCGACATACCTGGTACAGAAATAGCTCACAATGATAGGTGCCATGTGTTGCTGACATCACACCACATCTTTATTGGCCGCTGGTCTGATTAAAATACTCATCTGTAACATTAACCTGATACAACAACTAGACAAGGCAAGGTTTAAAGGTCCAATGCAGGCATTTTTATCTCAATATCATATCATTTCTGGGTAACAATTAAGTACCTTACTGTGATTGTTTTCAATTAAAATTGTCAAAAAGAAACAAAAATAGCTTCTTAGCATAGGGCAATTTCTCAAGCAAGAATTTTGCTAGGACTGTCTGGGAGTGGGGAGGGGAAAACAGAAAATTAGCTATTATTGGCAGAGAGGTTTGGAACTCTCTTCCTATTGGTCTATTAACCAATTTACTGCATGGTGATGTCACCATGGAAGGCCAAAACTCCATCCCACCAGAACAGGCTGAAATTTCAGGCGGTCTTTTCAAACAGCTCTTACACTAAAAGGGCATTATCATCCTTTTCACTATTTCACATAAATATTCCAACCTCATAGTGTGGAAATATATATATAGAACACAGGAAAATGTCATTTTTGACTGCACTGAACCTCACAACATTCATCATCATTGATTTATGAAACTGTGGTTATAGGTCACTTTTCCGCTGCACTCATCTCTCAGATTACAGCGATTGTTCATTGTGGTCCTCTTCTGTTTACGATTTCCATATCTGGGTCCAGGTTGGTGTAAGTTGTGTTACTGTCCTTCAGAAAGGGATGTTGTTGTTAACCAGGGGGACTGTCTCACTTGCCTTTGCCCCAGTATGTCTGTCTGGTGACAGTTCCTCTGTTGCCTAACTAGGAGTTCTTGCTGCAATAGTTTAGCTGCTTTTTGAGTCACCTGTTGTAATGCTGGTCGTCTTTCCCTCTGGCCTCACATACAGTACGTATCTGCTGCACAGTCAACGCAGGTCAATAGAATGGATCAATCCACAATAGAGATAGATACAGTATTTAGATACTGCATAGATACTAGGGTTGGGGTCAATTCCATTTATTTATTTTTAATCTCATAGGAATACATTGAGGAGAATTAGTTTACTTCCTGAATTGACATGGAATTGATAGAGACAGTATTTATCTCTATGGCTCAACCTCATCAAACAGTATTGAAGATTGTCTTAAGCTGTAGAAGGAAGGGACTTGATCCTTACAAACCAAGTGCTCTATTTGTGGAGATTGGCTCACATGAAAAGAAAAATGACATTGCGCTCTGTCACAAGCTTAATTTAGCCAAAGTCGCGCCTTACAATCTATCTTAAACCCTTTCACCTTCCATGTGCTTCTCACTATGTGAGAGGTTGAGCAGAGAGTTTGGATTTGGTTTATTTGTTCTATGTTTAGCTGTGGGTGTCTGATGAATCCAAACCTGGTTTCAAATACTATTTGAAATCTTTCAAATACCGGTGCTTTGAGCGTCTGCTCTAGCCTGCCTGGTTTGCCGTTTTGGAACTATTGTATTGGCCCATTAAGCCAGGCAAGTTAATCAAGCACAGATAATGTATTTGAAATGGTTTAATATAGTATTTGAACTCAGATCTGCTTTTCACAACCCAGATCTGCTTTTCACATGTCCTTATACAGTGGGGAGAACAAGTATTTGATACACTGCCGATTTTGCAGGTTTTCCTACTTACAAAGCATGTAGAGGTCTGTAATTTTTATCATAGGTACACTTCAACTGTGAGAGACGGAATCTAAAACAAAAATCCAGAAAATCACATTGTATGATTTTTAAGTAATTAATTTGCATTTTATTGCATGACATAAGTATTTGATACATCAGAAAAGCAGAACTTAATATTTGGTACAGAAACCTTTGTTTGCAATTACAGAGATCATACGTTTCCTGTAGATCTTGACCAGGTTTGCACACACTGCAGCAGGGATTTTGGCCCACTCCTCCATACAGACCTTCTCCAGATCCTTCAGGTTTCGGGGCTGTCGCTGGGCAATACGGACTTTCAGCTCCCTCCATAGATTTTCTATTGGGTTCAGGTCTGGAGACTGGCTAGGCCACTTCAGGACCTTGAGATGCTTCTTACGGAGCCACTCCTTAGTTGCCCTGGCTGTGTGTTTCGGGTCGTGGTCATGCTGGAAGACCCAGCCACGACCCATCTTCAATGCTCTTACTGAGGGAAGGAGGTTGTTGGCCAAGATCTCGCGATACATGGCCCCATCCATCCTCCCCTCAATACGGTGCAGTCGTCCTATCCCCTTTGCAGAAAAGCATCCCCAAAGAATGATGTTTCCACCTCCATGCTTCACGGTTGGGATGGTGTTCTTGGGGTTGTACTCATCCTTCTTCTTCCTCCAAACACGGCGAGTGGAGTTTAGACCAAAAAGCTCTATTTCTGTCTCATCAGACCACATGACCTTCTCCCATTCCTCCTCTGGATCATCCAGATGGTCATTGGCAAACTTCAGACGGGCCTGGACATGCGCTGGCTTGAACAGGGGGACCTTGCGTGCGCTGCAGGATTTTAATCCATGACGGCGTAGTGTGTTACTAATGGTTTTCTTTGAGACTGTGGTCCCAGCTCTCTTCAGGTCATTGACCAGTTCCTGCCGTGTAGTTCTGGGCTGATCCCTCACCTTCCTCATGATGCCCCACGAGGTGAGATCTTGCATGGAGCCCCAGACCGAGGGTGATTGACCATCATCTTGAACTTCTTCCATTTTCTAATAATTGCGCCAACAGTTGTTGCCTTCTCACCAAGCTGCTTGCCTATTGTCCTGTAGCCCATCCCAGCCTTGTGCAGGTCTACAATTGTATCCCTGATGTCCTTACACAGCTCTCTGGTCTTGTGGAGAGGTTGGAGTCTGTTTGATTGAGTGTGTGGACAGGTGTCTTTTATACAGGTAACGAGTTCAAACAGGTGCAGTTAATACAGGTAATGAGTGGAGAACAGGAGGGCTTCTTAAAGAAAAACTAACATGTCTGTGAGAGCCGGAATTCTTACTGGTTGGTAGGTGATCAAATACTTATGTCATGCAATAAAATGCAAATGAATTACTTTAAAATCATACAATGTGATTTTCTGGATTTTTGTTTTAGATTCCGTCTCTCACAGTTGAAGTGTACCTATGATAAAAATGACAGTCCTCTACATGCTTTGTAAGTAGGAAAACCTGCAAAATCGGCAGTGTATCAAATACTTGTTCTCCCCACTATATGAACATCCAGTTGTATTTCACCCAATTAATCAATGTTAATTGAAAACATTTATGCTTATAAAGGGTGCATAGCTAAGAAACACACAGGCTGCTCCATGGAAATCCTTTTTAGTAGTTAAAGTCATTTTTCTCTCACTAACATTTCTCCAAAAATAAATAATTGGCCAGATAATATTTTAAAGGGAACTGTGATTGAATGCTTTGTGATTTTGATGGTTAATTTTTCAGTCTTAAGTAGAAGCAAACAGCAAAAACAGTTGATTTTACAAACAAAACAATGTTAGCGCATTGTAGTTCCAAAATATATTATAATACAACTTTACCTTGATGTAAGCTAATGATTATAAACTAATCATGTGTGAATGTGTTTACCCAGGAACGCATCGAAATGGCAAGGTCTCCATTGATGTGACCAAATCAGTCAACTATATTTGAGTTTGGGAGAATATCCATGCACTATAGCTGTATAGAGGTTCATTCCTATCGCTGGAATCTTTGTGACTGGAGTTCTGTTATGTGGTACACAAAAACTCAGAAAGTTGAGCAGGGCAGAAAGTTATATAGGAACTAGTTTTTTAGTTTATAGAGGGCATCCACAAGTGCCCCTCAGCCTACTCTGTTAATAAGGCCATCATTTATTGATTTTATCTTTTGCTATTGATGTTGTGTAAAAATGTAATTGCAGATTAAATTAATGAAAGAGGTCAAATTAAAGGAAATGTTAATTTAAAAAGCCTACACATGTATATGTATATTTCGTTATGTAATGTGCCATTAAGAATTTATTATAAAATAAAATGTTGTATTTTGTGTCAATTTGTGTTGTGTTGCTTAATTCAGTGACCTCACAGGAAGGAACCGAGACATACAGTGCATTCGGAAAGTATTCAGACCCCTTGACTTTTTCCACATTTTGTTACGTTACAGCCTTATTCTAAAATTGATTAAATAAATAAAAATCCTCATCAATCTACACACAATACCCCATAATGACAAAGTAAAAAATAAAAAACAGAAATACCTTATTTACATAAGTATTCAGACCCTTTGCTATGAGACTCTAAATTGAGCTCAGGTGCATCCTGTTTCCATTGATCATCCTTGAGATGTTTCTACAACTAGATTGGAGTCCACCTGTGGTAAATTCAATTGATTGGACATGATTTGGAAAGGTACACACCTGTCTATATAAGGTCCCACAGTTGACAGTTCATGTCAGAGCAAAAACCAAGCCATGAGGTCGAAGGAATTGTCTGTAGAGCTCCGAGACAGGATTGTGTCGAGGCACAGATCTGGGGAGGGTACCAAAAAATGTCTGCAGCATTGAAGGTCCCCAAGAACACACTGGCCTACATCATTCTTAAATGGAAGAAGTTTGGAACCACCAAGACTCTTCCTAAAGCTGGCCGCCCAGCCAAACTGAGCAGTCGGGGGAGAAGGGCCTTCGTCAGGGAGGTGACCAAGAACCCGATGGTCACTCTGATAGAGCTCCAGAATTCCTCTGTGGAGATGGGAGAACCTTCCAGAAGGACAACCATCTCTGCAGCACTCCACCAATCAGGCCTTTATGGTAGAGTGGCCAGACGGAAGCCACTCCTCAGTAAAAGGCATATGACAGCCCGCTTGAAGTTTGCCAAAAGGCACCTAAAGGACTCTCAGACCATGAGAAACAAGATTCTCTGGTCTGATGAAACCAAGATTGAACTCTTTGTCCTGAATGCGAAGCGTCACCTCTGGAGGAAACCTGGCACCATCCCTACGGTGAAGCACGGTGGTGGCAGCATCATGCTGTGGGGTTGTTTTTCTGCGGCAGGGACTGGGAGACTAGTCAGGATTGAGGGAAAGATGAACAGAGCAAAGTACAGAGAGATCCTTGATGAAAACCTGCTCCAGAGCGGTCAGCACCTCAGACTGGGGTGAAGGTTTTACTTTTTTTTTATTTTACCTTTATTTAACCAGGTAAGCCAGTTGAGAACAAGTTCTCATTTACAACTGCGACCTGGCCAAGATAAAGCAAAGCAGTGCGATAAAAACAACAACACAGAGTTACATATGGGGTGAACAAAACATAAAGTCAAAAATACAACAGAAAATATATATACAGTGTGTGCGAATGTAGTAAGTTATGGAGGTAAGGCAATAAATAGGCCATAGTGCAAAATAGTTACAATTTCGTATTAACACAGGAATGATAGATGTGCAAAAGATGATGTGCAAATAGAGATACTGGGGTGCAAATTAGCAAAATAAATAACAATATGGGGATGAGGTAGTTGGGTGGGCTAATTTCAGAATGGCTGTGTACAGGTGCAGTGATCGGTAAGCTGCTCTGACAACTGACGCTTAAAGTTAGTGAGGGAGATATTTTTTTAAATATTTGTTTTATTTCATCTTTATTTAACCAGGTAAACCAGTTGAGAACAAGTTCTCATTTACAACTGCGACCTGGCCAAGATAAAGCAAAGCAGTGCGATAAAAACAACAACACAGAGTTACATATGGGGTAAAACAAAACAAAGTCAAAAATACAACAGAAATACATATATATACAGTGTGTGCAAATGTAGCAAGTTATGGAGGTAAGGCAATAAATAGGCTATAGTGCAAAATAATTACAATTAGTATTAACACTGGAATGATAGATGTGCAAGAGATGATGTGCAAATAGAGATACTGGGGTACAAATGAGCAAACTAAATAACAATATAGGGATGAGGTAGTTGGGCGGGCTAATTTCAGATGGGCTGTGTACAGGTGCAGTGATCGGTAAGGTGCTCTGACAACTGATGCTTAAAGTTAGTGAGGGAGATAAGTGTCTCCAGCTTCAGAGATTTTTGCAATTTGTTCCAGTCATTGGCAGCAGAGAACTGGAAGGAATTGCGGCCAAAGGAGGTGTTGGCTTTGGGGATGACCAGTGAGATATACCTGCTGGAGCGCAGACTACGGGTGGGTGTTGCTATGGTGACCAATGAGCTAAGATAAGGTGGGGATATGCCTAGCAGTGATTTATAGATGGCCTGGAGCCAGTGGGTTTGGCGACGAATATGTAGTGAGGACCAGCCAACAAGGGCGTACAGGTCACAGTGGTGGGTATTATATGGGGCTTTGGTGACAAAACGGATGGCACTGTGATAGACTACATCCAATAGGTGTTGGAGGCTATTTTGTAAATGACATCGCCGAAGTCAAGGATCGGTAGGATAGTCAGTTTTACGAGGGCATGTTTGGCAGCATGAGTGAAGGAGGCTTTGTTGCGAAATAGGAAGCCAATTCTAGATCTAACTTTTGATTGGAGATGCTTAATGTGAGTCTGGAAGGAGAGTTTACAGTCTAACCAGACACCTAGGTATTTGTAGTTGTCCACATACTCTAGGTCAGACCCGCCGAGATTAGTGATTCTAGTCGGGTGGACGGGTGCAAGCAGCGTTCGGTTGAAGAGCATGCATTTAGTTTTACTAGTGTTTAAGAGCAGTTGGAGGCTACAGAAGGGGTGTTGTATGGCGTTGAAGCTTGTTTGGAGATTTGTTAACACAGTGTCCAATGAAGGGCCAGATGTATACAAAATGGTGTCATCCGCATAGAGGTGGATCCGAGCGTCACCAGCAGCAAGAGCGACATCATTGATATACACAGAGAATAGAGTCGGCCCAAGAATTGAACCCTGTGGCACCCCCATAGAAACGGCCAGAGGTCCAGACAACAGGCCCTCCGATTTTACACATTGAACTCTATCTGAGAAGTAGTTGGTGAACCAGGCGAGGCAGTCATTAGAGAATCCAAGGCTATTTAGTCTGCCAATAAGAATGCGGTGGTTCACAGAGTCGAAAGCCTTGGCCAGGTCGATGAAGACGGCTGCGCAGTACTGTCTTTTATCGATCGCGGTTATAATATCGTTTAGGACCTTGAGCGTGGCTGAGGTGCACCCATGACCAGCTCGGAAACCGGATTGCATAGCAGAGAAGGTACGGTGGGATTCGAAATGGTCGGTGATTTGTTTGTTAACTTGGCTTTCAAATACTTTCGAAAGGCAGGGCAGGATGGATATAGATCTGTAACAGTTTGGATCTAGAGTGTCACCCCCTTTGAAGAGGGGGATGACCGTGGCAGCTTTCCAATCTCTGGGGATCTCAGACGTTATGAAAGAGAGGTTGAACAGGCTAGTAATAGGGGTTGCGACAATTTCGGCTGCTAATTTTAGAAAGAAAAAGGTTCATCTTCCAACAGGACAACAACCCTAAGCACACAGCCAAGACAATGCAGGAGTGGCTTCGGGACAAGTCTCAATGTCCTTGAGTGGCCCAGCCAGAGCCTGAACCCGATCTAACATCTCTAGAGAGACCTGACAATAGCTGTGCAGCGACGCTCCCCATCCAACCTGACAGAGCTTGAGGGGATCTGCAGAGAAGAATGGGAGAAACTCTCCAAATACAGGTGCCAAGCTTGTAGCTTCATACCCAAGAAGACTAGGCTGTAATCACTGCCAAAGGTGCTTCAACAAAGTACTGAGTAAACGGTCTGAAAACGTACTGTATGTAAATGTGATATTTCTGTTTTTTAAATTTAATAAATTTGCAAAAATGTCTAAAAACCTGTTTTTGATTTGTCATAATGGGATATTGTGTGTAGATTAATGGGGGGGAACAATTTAATCCATTTTAGAATAAGGCTGTAACATAACAAAATGTGGAAAAAGTCAAGGGGTCTGAATACTTCCTGAATGCACTGTATCTGGTTGTTCTTGTCTTTTTATTATAAAAGGGACATAGCATGCTTTAGACCTGGGCTCAAATACTATTTGAAATCCTCTTAAATAATTTTTACTGTATGTGCGTGATTGAGCTTGCCTGGTTTAATGGACCAATAGAATAGTCCAAAAACTGCAAACCTCACCCCGCCGGCCCTCCAGGCAGGCTAGAGCAAACACTCAAAGTATTTTAAAGATTTCAAATAGTATCTGAACTCAGGTCTGCTTTACATGGAACATTGTAGAAGGGGCAACATTTAATACAATTTGCTCTACTTTACTTAGCAGTGGCAATATTTTGGTATTGAACATCAGTTCTAATTTGTTTATTCAAACACATGGCAGAGAAAGTAGTTCCCACAAATTACATCGTAATTACAGTGTTAACAAATAAAAGACAGTTGCATAAATCATTATTTAGAACATTGAACATAGATTATATTCACAGATGATTTTCACATGGCATCACGATCTAGCTGAGTGTGTGGATGGCAGTTACTGCATGACACGTACAAAATCAGAAAGCATATGAAATCATTCAATCCAGAGCTCTGAAATGTGACCACTCGGTCAACACTGTCTGTTACATGCGGAGGTGAATATTGTAGTGAATTCAGGGGATAGCCTTGGCCAGGACTGGAACCCAGGTCCAGCGACTGTCAACCCAACGACTTAGCCTTTACTCCAAGAGATCCAAACCATTTGACGAGGTCACTACCTACTGAGCACAGACTATTCCACGATGGTTCAACGTACTTTCATTGAAATGACGTGGAAACAATGTTGATTCAACCAGTGTGTGCCAAGTGGGTAGGATTTGGGTTGAGGTCTCAACAATATAAAAGTCTGACTGAGTCAGGAGAAGCGGAGAGAGGAGTAGACTGTGGGCTGTGCAGCTTCTCGTTGAGGATTAGGATTCTGCTGTTCAAGACAGCCCTTTGAAAGAGCTGCATAGACCAACTGCAAGAAAATAGACACTCAGGTTAGCCCAAGGAAGCATTCTAGAAAATGGTTAAGGAAAAGAGCATTCAGAAGCCATTATTCAAAGAACACACACCTCTATCTTTGGTTTAGGTTTGGGTGTGGCTGCAAAGAAAAGATCAGAGTCAAAAGCAGAATTAATGCATACCTAATTGGTCACTTCACAAATTAGCATTAGACTTGGCCTTTAAATAAGCAGTAGACACGATCAACTGTACAATTGGATATAATGTTCACGTACAGTGCTGTGGTAGAAATGTGCATGTCAACATACAGCAGCAATATGTTAAGAAACTGTATAGATAAAGAAAGAGATGTCTTACGGGGCTTGTCCTTGCGTGTGCTTCGAGAGCGCGGTGGGGGGTTGGGCGGTGGTATTGGAGGGGGCTGAGATGGGACCTTTGACCTTATATGGCAAGCCAGACCCAGAACCAAAACCAGGGTGATTACCAAACAGGTACTTACATACATCACCACCCTGAAATAGACCTTCCTCACGGATGTGGGTGGTATGGCTACAGAGAAAGGGTACAGCACATCAATGAAGTCAGAGCACATGCATACCAGTCTACCTGTCATCTGGGAATGTGGAGTGGTCATTTTCTGTGATTGTTTCTCATTTTGGAGGGAAATCTTACAAAGTGTGGGCAAAAATAAATAAATACATACTGTACATTACTTGCATGAAACTGATGAACAATGATTTTATGTAGACAGAAGGACCATATCTACCTGCAGTAATGTTCACATATGTCATATGTCCAACACTGGTGTATCCCTCAACCCAGGTGATCTGGCATTGGTACATTCCATAATCTGATTGGTTGACTTTGAGGATGTCCATGAGCAGACGGGTTCTATTGGTTGTCAACGTGATGTTGGAGAGATGATACTTTGGAGTGGGACTAAAGAGAAGGAACTGTCCCTCTGTTGAAAGCCCCCATCCCCCTGTCCAGCCATCATCTCCACAATGCTGAACAACACAGGATAGGGAAAGAGGGCCCCCCTTTGGTATGTTAACAGAACTTCTCTTTGCCAAGACAGAAGTCACACATTCCTCTGCATCATACCCTGAGGGAACAAAAGTTGAAAAAATGGAACATATAAATATGATATAAAAAATTCACTAGACAATAGAGGAGTAGCATCTACAGCAATGAATATCCTAATAGCAATCTACATTTATAGTAATGAGAGAGAGTTCATTGAGAGTAGTGATTTCTCATGATACCTCTTTTGTAGGAAAGCAGATGATACATCAATTTAGGTTAGATTGTTTGATTGATTACTTGTCCTTCCTTTTCTTGAGCGACATCCTAGATAGCTGTTTCAGGTATTTGTTGGCCATCCTACGTATGGTTTAAAACCAAGGTTATATCTACAACTGTCAGGAATCCTAAACAAGAGTAGTTTGACTTACCATGGAGAATGCATAGACAGGTCAATGAGAGAAACAGACAGTTGTACATGTCTTTCTTCCCCATAGAATAGTCTGTTTTTCTTCAGCGTGCCCCTTCTAGTTCCTTTCTCCTGTATGAGGGGTTCCATAGAGCAGCCCCAAGACAATGTCCTGGTGCCTCAGGAAGCTGGACCCAAATTGTTCTTCTTAGTTTCTCAATTGTTCTCTCACTTTCTCATTACATTTTTCCCCCTCATTGAGAGTGTACTCTCCACAATTGCGAAATGGTTTCCACTAGCTGCCTCAGTCGAGTTGGAAGTTAGGAAGGAAGTACACACACACACACGAGCACACACACTTACACACACAAACACACACACACACACAAACACACACACACACACATTCTCTCTCTCTCTCTCTCTCTCTCTCTCTCTCTCTCTCCAACTCCAAAAGACAAATCACATCCTTCCTCAGGCTCAACCCCGAACTCTGTGGGCTGGGCACAATTATTAACTCCTTAATAGTTAACATTTAGCATTACATTTACTAAAGAATACATTTCCATGGAAACCAAGAAGAAAGTGTGTTGAATGTGTATGTTTTTGATTGTGTCTGTACGTTGAATTTTATCCTCTTTCAAAGAAAGATTGTGCAATGGCATGGCCCATGTTGTATAGTAAATCTCCTTGTTGCTTCCATCCACCCGAGGCTATATTTCGAACCAATTCAGGCCAACCGCAAGGTAGTTCAAAATGTAAAATGAGAGCAACAAAATTAGTTATTACGTAATAATAAGAACGGTATAATACATTCCACAATGATTGTCACATTTCAACGGAATAACTTGGTTATAGAGCTTCAACTATACTGACTCTGATGATCCTCTAATATAAGGTCCCATGTCCTCACCAGTCTCGGGCATACTCTTAAATGCCAAGGGGCATGTTGAAGGACACTGTTGTGCCAAGGGTGTTTGTGATGCTCAACATCCCACATTCTATTTTAGAGGAACTATTGGTGCCAAAACTCAACAGTCCATTCAATTGCCATTGTCTGTTAATATTAAGTAAATCCTAAACAGTTCTGACTGAAACTCATTTTCATTTCATTTAATTCATATCTCCTTTAACATCAGGGTTATAAACCTACCCAAATAATACATTCAACGTAATTGAGAGTATTGGTACATGATGACAGACAAGTTTGTGGCGGTGTGGAGGGGGTACATTGTAACAATTATGTTTCCTGTTTCCGGTCTGAACTCTGATCAAACTGACTGTCAGCGAATGAGATTAACAAAGAGCCGGTGACTTTTAAACACATTTAGAAACACTTGCTAACCCTCTTCGGAAACATGGAGACTGGTATGTCATGTGATACTTTGTCTTATTTCATTCATTGTCATTTGTATAGCCAGCATGTGAGCTCAATTTGCGTTCCCGGCTAATGGCTAGCAAGCTAGCTAACGTTAGCCGGCTAGCTAGCTAGCTTTATGTCACTTTTCAGATAGACCGTTAGCTAGCTAAGTTATGTAACATAGCTAACCAGCCAGCTTGCTTATGTGTATTTTCACTTTGCTAATGACATAACAGATATTGTTAACTAGCTTGCTAAAGTTAGCCGACCAACATCAGAACAGCCACCTAACGTCTTCCCAGCTATCCGTGCCAGAAAAGTTGATGATTACTAGTAACTAGCTAGCTAACTATGTAACGTTGCCAACTATCGGCTTGACAGCTAACTGTGTTAGTTAGCCAGTCAGTTAACATAGAAGGCAGCTCAACTTGCTAGCTATTTAACCAACTTTTTAGGTGAGCATTAGCCAGTGCTAGTCAATAAAGGGGATTTAACCCAAACCCTCTGAATCAGAGAGGTGCGGGTGGCTGCATTAATCGACGTTCACGTCATCGGCGCGCGGGGAGTAGTTGTTGTTGGGGTTTATCTGCCTTACTCAAGTGTAGAACGGCAGCTTTTCCACCTTGCCGGCTCGGGATTCGAACCAGCGACCATAAGCTCTTAATGGCTAGACTTCCTTCCACCCCTTTAATAAAGTAGGAAGCAGTGTTTGTCAACAAGCAGGCAGTGCACGACCAACCCAATACTTTGATTTGTTCAAGTAGCTAGCTAAGCTGTCAGGATATGCCCTCCCTGGCACCATAAAACAGGCTACCAGACAGGGAAGGATGTTTGACACTATATGACAACGGGTTTATAGTGATAGACTTTGATCTTATGGTGTGATGTGATTTGGTACCTTGTTGACCTCTGAAAGACTTGCACCCAAAGACCATGAAAGACGCTAAGTCAGTCATAAAAGCTATATAACAACTCATATGTAAAGTTGCAAGTCACTCTAGACACCAGTTTGGCACCTTTCCAAACAAAACTAAAGTGACACTGACAGTCATTCCCATTCATGCTTTTCCATTCTGTGGAGGATGCGTTGGAATGGGCTCTCAACCTATCCCTGCGTTTGTATGGCGACACACCCCTCTTGGTTATGTATACTGATTAAATCAGTATCTTCATAATAGGGTCTCTATTATCCATTTACTGTAGCAAGCTGACAGCAGGAAATAAGGTATGATTTCTCCAACTTGTGTGGTAAAGATGGAGTATTGAGGCATGTGAGTTTGTCAATCCCTTGAGATCTAGTGTGTATTCACTAGGAACCAAACGGAAGCAAACAGCCGAAACAGGGAGGGACCTACCTCAATTTGTCCAATAAAGAACGCACATTTTTGTTCCAAAATGTTTTCGCAACGCTTTACTACTGTGTGGACTAATGAATACACCCCAGGAATGGCCAGTGTATTTAAACTTTTCTGTCATGGAAAATAGCCTAAAGGACCAGAACCAATAGGGCTTGAGTCAGGCAATGGTCTTCTCAGTGTTTAATTGCTGTGCAGTATTTGATGGAATGACACACCAGTATTATTTTTATCAGTGTACTACTACAACAGATAGTTCTAGTTTCACATTTACAGTACAGTGCCTTCAAAAAGTATTCACGCCACTTGACTTTTTCCACATTTTGTTGTGTTACATCCTGAATTTAAATGGATTAAATTGAGATTTTTTCCCTCCTTTTTTTAGGCACTGAGCAAATTTCAGGTCTACTGAGCGCAAACTTGAACATTGTGAAAATTCGGTGCAACTTCCGGCACGTGTTTACTGTGAACACTGAGGCTGTACCTGCTTTAAGTTACAGTTTTAACAGTGGTCAAGTAGGCTACTGTGGCTATTTGATCATAATGTAGGCCTACCAGAATGGCCTACCATCAAAAACAATGGAGAAAATGCATCCCATAACATTTTAATATGGAAATAGCTGTTCTATCGTTCAGCCTATAGTAGCAGCCAATGTGTGGTGTTCAATGCAGGCCTACATTCCATGAGACTTTTGAAAAAACATGCATGGCTTGACATTAACCTGTTTTATCCAGTTCTTCTTCAGACAAGGAGGTGACTGAAAATGTTGTGTTTGATGCAAGAAACCACTTTGCAAAATAAAATGCATAATTATTCCCATACCATTATTACAGAGAATCAGACAAATTATGCTACCACCTGTCTATTGGCAACTTAGCTTATTCAAGCCTATCTCAAAATACAACACTGCCCCTTTAAGACAAAAAAAAGCTCTTGATTCACTTTTCAAAGGTGGCTAGAGATGCACAGTTTTGTGCTCTTGTAGGAAGCAATCACTCCCCCATTGTTGACTACAATTATCTATAACTGGGCTAATAACTCACTAACTAGTGAAGGATATGAACAAATGTGCACACGTGGCTACATGTAGCTCTCACTTTGATCTCAAAACAAGCGCATCTACTCATGACAAAGGCTGTTGCGGTCATGAAGGCAGTCAAATTCCACGTGACCGTTTAGTCACTAGTTAGGCTTCTCCAAGCTCTGATGCTGCTGCTGGTCATTAGTAGCCTACCAAACTTGCTAACTGCCTGGTACTCAGCAATCTATTGTCCCTCTAATCACTCTGACATCAATGCAATGTAATCGAAAATCTAATCAAACACTTCATGAGAGCCCATGACCTCATGTTGCGCAACATTTCTATAGGCTATGCAATTACGCGAGAACAGAGTGATGGCCTCTACTAAAAAGAGGAGGATCCCATCAGCTTTCTATAGTTTAGGCCTACTATATTTATTTCTCAACTTCCTTAATATTAAGCACATTTCTTATATTTACAACAGGAATATAGCCCACCTGGCTGGCATGAAAATTAACCACGGGAAAAGCGTCCTCCAGTCGCTATTTAAGTGCATAGATTACATGTATTTTTTCCTGCTGCCCCTGTTTTGATACAGGTGCATGATAATGGTCCATTCTAAATCAAAACACATTTTACACATATTATTTAGTATATGTAAAGACAAGATTAAATCAAGAATAGTCTGATGGGTGACAAGATTAGCCTATCACTTGTGAATGATATATTATCACTTGTGAATGATGCTCAGCAATGCCTTTTTTGTGTGACTTTTTCTAATCATAGACGCACACCTCATGTAGCCTAGCCCATAGGCCTATATGTTTTAATAAAGTTTGTATCACAAATAAAGTGGCCTAAATAACTTATTAAAATTAAGCACATTAATCCGCTTTACAAGCATGAGTTTCAAGTTTGGGGAAGATAATGTTCACCATAAAAATGCACCTTTATAATAAAAGCATTACATTCATAATTGCATTTGCGGTCACTTTTGATAATGGTGTTTTCCGCTAATGGAACATTCGCACTTATAGCCTACTACCATGTGCGCATTGCTGCACTTATAATGTGAAGAAATAGCCTAATAGTTTATCAACATTTTAAGCTAAGAGGTTTCTTTGATGCTAGTGGTTGTATTAATTTGGGATCTATCGCATCCCACAACTGTCCCAGACTATGTTTGGAATATTTCTGGCTCGCACAGAATAGAATAGGTCAACTTTTGTACTATGGAGGATAGTAGATTGACATAGGCTAGAGCTTTTGCTGTTCGTTAGGCCTACTCATCTTGTTGGCTGACGAAAAGTAAATGTGGACAGTTCTTCCAATATCTTCAATATGCTTCTCGGAATTGGACAGGACGCGCGCAGTTGCGTCCCCAATGTGTCTGTCTTCCCTTGTAGCCTGTGAGAAAGACCCGATCACGTGATGTAGAGCCATGTGAGTGAGATGTGATTCGGAGCGCGCAGCACTCAGGGAGAATGGCACAACGGCCACTGGCCGCAAAAGGCATCGATTTTTTTTTTTGTTGGGTGCATTACGGCCACACAAAGGGGATGCCGCCCTGAAATTCTAGGCATTATCAAGTGCCTGTCAAATTGTGAATGAGTGACTGTAGTGTGTACAGCCTGCGCAAAAAACAAAGTAGAGCTCATGCCTTTCAAGCAACTTTTTTCAAATCATCATTAGTCGCATCATGCAGCCTTAGAATGTATAAAAAATCAAGACATATAGCCCAACGTTTGGTAAAACAACTAAAGTTACATTAATAACTCTAAATTAAGCATATAGGAATACCTATTTCTTTGTTAACCGCTCAACACAGAATAGCGCGTGTGCGCACTCCCTCAAATCGTTTGTAGAAAATATCCTTTCTATTTTATTCAGCTTTGTTCAATTGTATTCTTCATACTATAAAATAATGCCACGGAATTCTAAGCAAATCTTGTCTGCTAAATTAATTGTTGATAGTGTTAACTAACGGGGGAAAACTCTAGAAAGTTGAGTGAAGTTCAATCTCGTGCTTCTCTGCGCAGGCTGATATTTATTTTGTGAGGCAGTCCTGGGGGAGCCCCTTTTGTTATGGCAAGCCTAAATAAATTCAGGAGTAAAAATGTGCTTAACAAGTCGCATAATAAGCAGACATTGAATATCCCTATGAGCATGGTGAAGTTATTAATTACACTTTGGATGGTGTATCAATACTCCCAGTCACTACAAAGATACAGGCGTCCTTCCCAACTCAGTTGCCGGAGAGGAAGGAAACCGCTCAGGGATTTTACCATGAGGCCAATGGTGACTTTAAAACAGTTACAGAGTTTAATGGCTGTGATAGGAGAAAACTGAGGATGGATTAACAACAGTGTAGTTACTCCACAATACTAACTTAATTGACAGACTGAAAAGAAGGAAGCCTGTACAGAATAAAAATATTCCAGAACATGCATTTGTTTTCAATAAGGCACTAAAGTAATACTGCAAAAAATGTGGCAAAGCAATTCACTTTTTGTCCTGAATACAGAATGTTATGTTTGGGGTAAATCCAATACAACACATTACTGAGAACCACTCTCCATATTTTCAAGCATGGTAGTGGCTGCATCATGTTATGGGTATGCTTGTAATCGTTGAGTGGGGAGATTTTCAGGATAAAAAAGAAACGGAAGAGACCTAAGCACAGGCAAAATCCTAGAGGAAAACCTGGTTCAGTCTGCTTTCCACCAGACACTGGGAGATTAATTTAAGTTTCAGCAGGACAATAACTGTCTGCAGTCCACTCAGACAGGTGCGAATCAGACAGGTGTCTTGTACACCATGATTATTATAATTTTTTTGCTACTGCTCGACTAAAGAAATCTCGGTCGACCAACAGCCTATCGACCAAACAATCGATCAGTCGACTAAGTGGGGCAGCCCAAAACACATTTAATGTTCCTGAGTGGCCAAGTTACAGTTTTGACTTAAATCTACTTGAAAATCTATGACAAGACCTGAAGATGATTGTCTAGCAATGATCAACAACCAATTTGACTGAGCTAGAATAATTTAAAAACAATTATGGGCAAATATTGCACAATCCAGGTCTGGAAAGCTCTTAGAGACTTACCCAGAAAGACTCACAGCTGTAATTGCTGCCGAAGGTGCTTCTACAAAGTATTGACTCAGGGGTGTGAGTACTAATTTCATTTTAAAGACATTTGCAAAAATTTCTAAAAACATGTTTTTACTTTGTCATTATGAGGTATTGTGTATAGATGTGTCAGGAAAAACATGTACAGTGAGGGGAAAAAAGTATTTGATCCCCTGCTGATTTTGTACGTTTGCCCACTGACAAAGAAATGATCAGTCTATAATTTTAATGGTAGGTTTATTTGAACAGTGAGAGTTAGAATAACAACAAAAAAATCCAGAAAAAATGCATGTCAAAATGTTGATTTGCATTTTAATGAGGGAAATAAGTATTTGACCCCCTCTCAATCAGAAAGATTTCTGGCTCTCAGGTGTCTTTTATGCAGGTAACGAGCTGAGATTAGGAGCACACTCTTAAAGGGAGTGCTCCTAATCTCATCTTGTTACCTGTATAAAAGACACCTGTCCACAGAAGCAATCAATCAATCAGATTCCAAACTCTCCACCATGGCCAAGACCAAAGAGCTCTCCAAGGATGTCAGGGACAAGATTGTAGACCTACACAAGGCTGGAATGGGCTACAAGACCATCGCCAAGCAGCTTGGTGAGAAGGTGACAACAGTTTGTGCGATTATTCGCAAATGGAAGAAACACAAAAGAACTGTGAATCTCCCTCGGCCTTGGGCTCCATGCAAGATCTCACCTCGTGGAGTTGCAATGATCATGAGTACGGTGAGGAATCAACCCAGAATTACACGGGAGGATCTTGTCAATGATCTCAAGGCAGCTGGCACCATAGTCACCAAGAAAACAATTGGTAACACATTACGCCGTGAAGGACTGAAATCCTGCAGCGCCCACAAGGTCCCCCTACTCAAGAAAGCACATATACATGCCCGTCTGAAGTTTGCCAATGAACATCTGAATGATTCAGAGGAGAACTGGGTGAAAGTGTTGTGGTCAGATGAGACCAAAATGGAGCTCTTTGGCATCAACTCAACTCGCCGTGTTTGGAGGAGGAGGAATGCTGCCTATGACCACAAGAACACCATCCCCACCGTCAAACATGGAGGTGGAAACATTATGCTTTGGGGGTGTTTTTCTGCTAAGGGGACAGGACAACTTCACTGCATCAAAGGGACGATGGACGGGGCCATGTACCATCAAATCTTGGGTGAGAACCTCCTTCCCTCAGCCAGGGCATTGAAAATGGGTCATGGATGGGTACTCCAGCATGACAATGACCCAAAACACACGGCCAAGGCAACAAAGGAGTGTCTCAAGAAGAAGCACATTAAGATCCTGGAGTGGCCTAGCCAGTCTTCAGACCTTAATCCCATAGAAAATCTCTGTAGGGAGCTGAAGGTTTGAGTTGCCAACGTCAGGCTCGAAACCTTAATGACTTGGAGAAGATCTGCAAAGAGGAGTGGGACAAAATCCCTCCTGAGATGTGTGCAAACCTGGTGGCCAACTACAAGAAACGTCTGACCTCTGTGATTGCCAACAAGGGTTTTGCCACCAAGTACTAAGTCATGTTTTGCAGAGGGGTGAAATACTTATTTCCCTCATTAAAATGCAAATCAATTTATAACATTTTTGACATGTGTTTTTCTGGATTTCTTTGTTGTTATTCTGTCTCTCATTGTTCAAATAAACCTACCATTAAAATTATAGACTGATAATTTCTTTGTCAGTGGGCAAACGTACAAAATCAGCAGGGGATCAAATACTTTTTTCCCCTCACTGTATCTAATCCATTTTGAATTCAGACCGTAACACAACAAAATGTGGAATAAGTCAAGGGGTATGAATACTTTCTGAAGGCACTGTATATGGATAATTCCTGTGAAAATAGGATGAAAACTTTTGTGAACTCGGGCATATTTGAATTTGATACCGAACTTATACCGAACTTGAAGTCCTGCTGTTTTGTACCACGTCGTCTGGTGTGGAGTGGACAAGGGCGAGGCAAGGCATTATTTGAATGCCACTTTGTTGACAATTCAATACAGTACAACTTTATTAGTCCCGCTGCAATTAGGAACCCATTGCCACTTTGCCAGGTCAAACACAAATAACATCCTCCTTATATTACAGCTCTTTATCACGTTGTTTCATCCAGACTCTTTCCATTCCTAATACATCCAGTCCTAACCTGGTCCCAGATCTGTTTCTGCTCTCTTGCCAACTCCTTGTCACGCCAAACAATGTTTGGCATGAGAATTCCATTACAAAGTTGGCAAGAGAGCATAAACAGATCGGTAACCAGGCTAACCCTGTCTCCTTAAAAATGATGACCTCTCTCTTGTCCTCCTCAGGTCTGAGTCAGGAGAAGATTGCCTCCTTTGTGAAGCGTTTGCAGGCGGAGCCCAGGTACCTGCTGGCCCAGAACGTGTCCACGTGCATCGACCCACTGGAGGTGTGTCTGCACAGGCAGACGGTCCAGGACACTGTGCACATATTCCAGCACTCCATCCCCACAGAGGGCAAGCCTATCACCAACCAGAAAAACTCAGGTACACTTACAGATACGGTCAAATATATTGGCACCCTTGCACTTTACAATGGAATGCAGTGGAGCAGAATGTTCTGCTTTTTCTTTTCAAACTGGTTGAATGGCTATTTTTACCGTGTAGCCACCTAAATTACAGATCATTTAGTTCAGGCCATTTTTTACTTTGAAAAGAAAAATCTCAATTTCAGTTTAGAATAATACAAAAAAAGTCCTTGCAGCTGTAAATCAAACAAATACACGTATAAACACAACATTTTTCAATTTAAACTATTTTCTGGTTGACGAAATGGTGTTTGACGCAAGTGTGCCAATATATTTGACACCCAGCATCTGTAGCTACTTCAGAGGCCTGGCCATGTACAAAGACTGCACAGTAGTGTTAGATGCTGCTTCCAAACTAAAATGAACTAAATAGGCCTATGTACCTGATGCAGCGATGTGGTGGCCTGCGTCCCAAATGGCAGCCTATATCCTACATGGTGTACTACGTTTGACCAGAGCCCCATAGTCCATTTTGTTTGTCTGGTTTCTGTAATGACATGTTACAGTCATTACACAAAATTGCACAGAGGCCTAACTATGTGTCTATGTATAGGAGATAGGGTGCTATTTGGGAAGCAGCCATTGAAGCACACATAGGCCTAAACAGTTGCTCCATATACACAGTTCCATACTCATCTGTGCTGATTGTGGGTTTCAGGGAGATGTTGGATCTTCTCGTGCCTCAACGTCATGCGCCTTCCCTTCATGAAAAAGTTCAATATCGAAGAGTTTGAGTTCAGTCAGTCCTACCTCTTCTTCTGGGACAAGGTAAGACCATATTTATTTGTTTTATTAAAATCACATTTATTAATTTGAGCAACTTTCAGCAACAGCTGCTAGAATATATGTGTTTGTTTACATTTCAGTGGTGGGGTGTAAACAGTGTTGGTGTGTTTGGCAGTGTGTATCTCTAGTACTGTTAGACTCATTGTCTGCCTTAAACCCCCTTTGTGTGTGGCGCTCTGTACACTGGACAATATTGTACCGATTGGACGTCACCGTGACCACCTCTCTCTCTCTCTCTCTCTCTCTCTCTCTCTCTCTCTCTCTCTCTCCCTCTCTCCCTCTCTCCCCATCATGTCACCTTTCTGCACTCCCCTCCCACCCTCCCTTCAGGTGGAGCGGTGCTACTACTTTCTGCAGGCCTGTGTGGAGACAGCCCAGAGGAAGGAGCCTGTGGACGGCAGACTGGTCCAGTTCCTGCTCTCCAATCCCACCAACGATGGCGGCCAGTGGGATATGCTGGTCAACCTCATTGGTCAGTTCACACCTGTTATTACCCGATCAGGGGAGTGTTGCTGCAACGCTTGCATTATGCTATGTCATTATGTCATGGCTGCGTCCCAAAGGGCACCCTATTCCCTATATCATGTACTGCGTTTGACCAGGGGTCATATGTAGGGAATAGGGTGCCCTTTGGGACGCACGGTGTAACTACCTTGGTAACTAGACTGGAACTACTCGGCGGTGGCCGTTTACTGCAGAAAATAAGCAAAATTATACTGGGACTGTCTAGATTCTGTTTCAAATGAGTTACTAATGTAGTAGTTACTGTATAATTCTTTGTAATTAGACATTCTATGTAACTACATGGTATATGTGTCACTTTACGTAATGTGCTTCCACTGTTTTAATGAGTCAGGTTTGTTGTTTAGATCAAGTCTGCGTCCCAAATAGCATCCGATTCCCTATGTAGGGCATTACTTTTGACCAGAGCCAATGGGCAAAGCCTTAACGTTATGGTATTCTGTGGCTCAGTTGTTAGAGCGTGGCGCTTGCAACGCCAGGTTCGATTCCCGCTGGGGCCTCCCATGCGAAAAATTTATGCATGCATGACTGTAAGTGTGTATATATATATCTATATATAAACCTTTCCCAATCATCAGAAAAGTACGGAGTTATCCCAAAGAAATGCTTCCCAGAGTCTCACAGCTCCGAGGCCTCACGGAGAATGAATGACATCCTCAATCACAAGGTAGGTTTATTCACTTACATCTTTACAACATTCTGATTCATAATTATGTATTGTGTAGAAATACAATACCAAAACCTAGTCCTCCTGTTTAATACCAAGACAAGGCAATACAAGCAAATACACTCTACTTAGCCCAGTGAAACACGCGGAAAGAGCGTAGAAGCCACATTTTTTTTGGTGTCGTCTGTTTTCTTATAGAATACCCAGATAACTAACCCTAACCCAACATGCTCCATAATGTCATTAGGTAATGAAGATAGCTGTGTAGTATGTCATGCCAATGTTCCCTGGCTTTCAGCTGAGAGAATACTGTCTAAGACTGAGGAACATGGTGGCCAGTGAATCCACTAAAGCTGAACTGTCTGACGCCATGGACACCATGATTGAGGAGGTAAGTGCGTGTTAGGGGAAAAAGACACACACGCACGACTCACACACCACCACCACGTCACACCACACACACACAAACATACACCGTTTTCCTCAGCACTTCAATAATGTTGTAGCGCTGCATCATTTTGGCCAGAGGAGGGGGCTGTATAACAGCACATAGATCTTTGCTCCATCCAGGGAAGGAATAGGACACATGCTGTAGCACGCCTGCATAATAATAATAATAATAATATGGCATTTAGCAGACGCTTTTATCCAAAGCGACTTACAGTCATGCGTGCATACATTATTATTATTTTTTTGTGTATGGGTGGTCCCGGGGATCAAACCCACTACCCTGGCGTTACAAGCGCCGTGCTCTACCAGCTGAGCTACAGAGGACCACATATGGATTTAACACGGCAGGTCTTGGGCAGGAAAGGACAATAATGATTACGGCTCCAGTTATTATTAGGCAATATTTGTTTTCAGATTTTATATTGGCCATTCAATTCAAATCTATCTGTCGCCTGTTGTAGCAGCACACAGAAGGCTACAGGTTGATTACAAAGGGGCGTGTGTGTGTGTGTGGTTGTGAATAGTACCTAAATCTAATACCATTGACTTGATATTGTATTGACTTTCACCACACCACTGATTTCTCTATCAAATCTAAAACGTAGCTGTCAAACAGTGGATAGACTCCCTCCTCTGTTCAGATTGATATCTAGGCCTAATAGCTAGATACCACCACTGTTGGAATTTGTTGTAGCTATATTCCCCCTTAAATAATCCCCTAATTAGTTTTCTACCTCAAATCAGGATGTTTGACATAAGTAGGCTTAGAAAAGGAGCTGCTATAAATGCCCAAATAGCGATGACTGTTTCTTTTGTTAAACAGTGCTTTATCGGTAGTAATGAATTAGGACATAATCACAAGCCCCTCCCAGCGCTGCCTAACATTGCGTAACCCACCTCTTACACATTTAGCAACAATGGCTGTAGTGATATATGGTCCATACTGTTTATAATCCACTGGTGACAGCTTGTGTTTCTATACTTCTGGCAGCGAAGAGAGTGTGTGTGTCCACATGCGTGTGTCCATGTGCACACACTCACACACGCCTCACGGACCTGATGACCGAATGTTCCATAAACAAGATCTTTATCGCTCCTGACATTGAATGACGTAAGGCAATTTCGCTGTAAGAGAAAAAAGTCATAATGTCGCAACATTCCCAGCACCACTTAAGACAGAGGAGCCGAGGAAAATGGAGGTGTGTGAGGCCAGTCAGTCAATATCACACAGCCAGAGAGAGAACATTACATAAAGGATTTAGCTTTTGTGTGGTGCGGTTTTGTTGTATATGCCCCTGACTGCTTGTTTAAACAGACTCTGGACTACTAGCCTTGCTGCTCTGGATGCCCTACGCTAGCTACAGTACGTTCTGATTGTGCAACACTTCCAGTTCTCCCTCGTTGCACTTCTCCAATGAACAAGATCGTTTTTTTTTTGTCAACGTGTTTGTTTGTCCACCTGGTAGTAGTTTGTTTTGTGTAACACAGCTCTGGTAGCCTGGGGGAGTGTGAAGAGCGAGAGAAAGGGGGAGGTTGTCCCAAGAGGGTGAGGGGTGTAACCAGTGCCTCTCCTCCCGTCCCATGGGCGTCCGTACGGGGAAGGGTGCGTTGACTGCACTTCTATTTATGCTTGGCATCTTTTACGACAAGTGAAACATCACTGTTGTGCCATGATTTAGATTAGCTACTAGCTAGCGAGCCAACAAATTAGCCATAATTAATTAGGCTAGAATACACTCTTGTCAGATGTGATCAGGTAGCCAGGTCCTTTTTCATTAATTAACTTCTCTGTGTGCTCGTCACTCAACATGTTGTGTTGACACGGTAGGCGTGCGTCCCAAATGGCACACTATTCCCTTTATAGTGCACTAGGGAATAGGGTGCCATTTGGGACGCATCCTAGATCATTTGAAAATGTCACGTATCAAGTCATGTTCAATTACAGAGTTTTGTAGTCCTTTTCAGAGTGCTGCATGTGTCTTCAGTGTGCATGCTGTGCCCTACCCCTCTTCTATAGACCTGTGACACCTTGCAGTGTTCTGGGTTCATACGACTGCACACGTAAACCATGTAAACACCAAGTATGAGAGGTTGTGGGTTTTTGTGTGTGTTTGCACGCGTGTGTTTCAATGTATGCTTAGAAGTGGCGTGTGTTTATATTCAGAAGTGGTGTGTCTGTGGTTACATTTAGAGTTGGTGTGTGTGTGTGTCTGTGGTTACATTTGGATTTGGTGTGTGTGTGTCTGTGGTTACATTTAGATTTGGTGTGTGTGTGTCTGTGGTTACATTTAGAGTTGGTGTGTGTGTGTGAGCCATAGCTGATCAAAGCTCCTAGACTTGGCCCTCATTAAGCAAGGGGATGTCAGGCCTACTTTAGGGGGGGAGTGTCTGATGTTGTGCATGCTTCCTGTGTGAGGAGTGTGACGGGGGGGCTGGAGAGCATCACTCTCTCCCTGTCCAGGCTCCACATGACAGGCCTGAGAGCCAGACAGGCCAGGCTGCACCACCATGCTATGCACCAGCTTCAAAGACCTGGGTTTCCCTTTAATGTCATGTTCTCTGCAGAAGCACACACAGACATGTACACTGTAACAGGCGTGCAGGAGCGCACAAACACAGGGAGACGTTTACAAGTTCACACACACACATATACATGTACACCACCTCCGACTGCTAGCACACGTTCCTCACATCCTCTCTGCAGCACTCATTCTGTCCCGTACATGTTGCATTGCGTCATGCAGAATGAATCATAAACAGTCCTATGTTGATTCTACTGTATAAAACGTGCCCATTTGGGCGCCGGACATTCTAAGTAGAAATTCTCCTTCAGGCACATATGACTAAGTGCTCTGTTTGTAGATGTAAATGTAATTGATTGGACAGTGAGTTGACTGACATGCTACATGTATGTTTAGACTGGCTATGTCTCAATGGACCCTATTCCATACACTACCCTTCAAAAGGTTGGGGTCACTTAGAAATGTCCTTGTTTTCAAAATGTTGTAAATGGCTATTGTAGCTGGAAACGGCTGATTTTTTATGGAATATCTACATAGGCGTACAGAGGCCCATTATCAGCAACCATCAATCCTGTGTTCCAATGGCACGTTGTGTTTGCTAATCCAAGTTTATCATTTTAAAAGGCTAATTGATCATTAGAAAACCCTTCTGCAATTATGTTAGCACAGCTGAAAACTGTTGTGCTGATTTAAAGAAGCAATAAAACTGGCCTTCTTGAGACTAGTTGAGTATCTGGAGCATCAGCAATTGTGGGTTCGATTACAGGCTCAAAATGGCCAGAAACACAGAACTTTCTTCTGAAACTCATCAGTCTATTCTTGTTATGAGAAATGAAGGCTATTCCATGCGAGCAATTGCCAAGAAAGTGAAGATCTCGTACAACGCTGTGTACTACTCCCTTCACAGAACAGCACAAACTGGCTCTAACCAGAATAGAAAGAGGAGTGGGAGGCCCCGGTGCACAACTGAGCAAGAGGACATTTACATTAGTGTCTAGTTTGAGAAACAGACGCCTCACAGGTCCTCAACTAGCAGCTTAATTAAATAGTACCCGCAAAACACCAGTCTCAACGTCAACAGTGAAGAGGCGACCCCCGGGATGCTGACCTTCTAGGCAGAGTTGCAAAGAAAAAGCCATATCTCAGACTGGACAATAAAAATAAAAGATTAAGATGGGCAAAAGACACTGGACAGAGGAATATTGGGAAAAAGTGTTATGGACAGACTAATCGAAGTTTGAGGTGTTCGGATCACATTTGTGAGACGCAGACCAAATGAAAAGATGCTGGAGGAGTGCTTGATGCCATCTGTCAAGCATGGTGGAGGCAATGTGATGGTCTGGGGGTGCTTTGGTGGTGGTATAGTGGGAGATTTGTACAGGGTAAAAGGGATCTTGAAGAAGGAAGGCTATCACTCCATTTTGCAACGCCATGCCGTACCCTGTGTATGGCGCTTGATTGGAGCCAATTTCCTCCTACAACAGGACAATGACCCAAAGCACAGCTCCAAACTATGCAATAACTATTTAGGGAAGAAGCAGTCAGCTGGTATTCTGTCTATAATGGAGTGGCCAGCACAGTCACCGGATCTCAACCCTATTGAGCTGTTGTGGGAACAGCTTGACCGTATGGTACGTAAGAAGTGCCCATCAAGCCAATCCAACTTGTGGGAGGTGCTTCAGGAAGCATGGGGTGAAATCTCTTCAGATAACCTCAACAAATTGACAACTAGAATGCCAAAGGTCTGCAAGGCTGTAATTGCTGCAAAATTCAGGATTCTTTGACAAAAGCAAAGTTTGAAGGACACAATTTATTATTAAAAATCATTATTTCTAACCTTGTCAATGACTACTTTTCCTATTCATTTTGCTATATTTCCTGTTCAAAGTCATTTCATGTATGTTTTCATGGAAAACAAGGACATTTCTAAGTGACCCCAAACTTCTGAACGCTATTGTATATAGTGCACTACTTTTGACCAGGGCCCATTGGGGGCTCTGGTCAAAAGTAGTGCACTATAAAGGGAATAGGGTGCCATTTGGGACACAGTCAGTGTGTTGGCCCAGCGCTGGCTGAAGCAGCAGGTCGCTGTGGGATCGTTTGTGTTATTGTGTGGGCTCGTTTGCCAGAGCTGAAAAGCTGCCTGCCGCACTTCATAGTCTTATATTTCTTAATTTAACAACATTGTTATAGTCTGTAATGACCCCATGTGTTTTCTGTTTACAAGGCCAGAAAGTCTCAGTCAACCCCAGTCCATTTCTTCTACCCCAGCTGCTCTCTCGTACGGGTCATTTGCTTACAGTTTCATCTAGGCTACATTTTCAACTCTGTGTACCAGGGCTTTGACTCGAAATCAGCAGGGCCCGTAGTCACAAAGCGTCTCGGAGTTGGAGAGCTGATCTAGGATCAGGTCCCTCCTTTTTATTCATTGTGATTCAAAATAAAAATGTATCCTAGATCAGCACTCCTACTCTGAGACACTTTGTGTGAATATGAGCCGTGGTAGGTTCCACCCTTCACAGTTACCAGCACAAGGTGTTTTAGTGTGGCATGCTGTTGTTGTTTGTTTGTTTGTTTGTTTGTTTGTTTATTTATTTATTTCTGTCCTAACGAGGTGATTTCCCTCTGTTGGGGCAACGGGAAGTAAATCAACAAACAAACAGGCCTGCGTGAGCCGAGGACGAAAGGATGGAGCATGTGTGTTGCTTTAGCATTGGGGGGGGGGGGCTAGCTGTGGATCTAGAGGAGATTCCTTAATATATTAATTGCTGAGACTGTTCAAATTAAATTGGGTTGCTGGGCTTTTCTGTAGATTATGAGGACAGGGCATTGTTCATTAGGCACCAAACTGAAAAAAATGGGCAGGAAGGGAATATCTTGTACCTTAAACTTGTCCAATAAGAAACGCTCCTTTTCGCTTTCCGTTGCAAAACCTTTGAAGACAAGAGCCAGGTCTTAGACTATTGTTAATCCCCTACAAACACGGGTCACTCCGGATTCCTGTCAATAACAGGGGATCCCAGCCGCTATCTCAGATAAGGCCCTAATTCAAACCTGGCCGAGCAGAAAATCAGGAGCCGGGAGGCCTTGAAGACGCCTGTCTGCACTCAGAAACCAAACAAAAACCTTACTAACCTTTCCAAAACGGTTTACAAACCCACAGCAGCCAGCCCCTGACAGACGGCAGCCGTGGGATTCTTTCTGTTGCGTTTTGCATTCGTTCACCAGCTCCACCCACCCGCTGAAGCAGTGTTTTGGAGTGGGAGGGAGAGGAACTATGTAGTGTACGTCAGAAGATATACAAACAGTGACACAGACATTAAAAAGAAAGAAAGCTGTCTCTAAAGACACTGGTCAAACACGGTGTCCAGCATGGTCCAGCAGTCGTAAATCGCCCCTCTCCCCCTTCCATCCTCAACCCAGTGTGTCTGTCCTCAGGCGAAGGGCCAGGGTAGGGTGGCAGGCAGGGAGGGAAGGTAGCCCGCCTGCTCCCCACACATGGCCCTGTCAGTCTCTGCTTGTCCACGCTGATGGATGGCTGTCTGTGTCCTGGGGGGGAGGGGGAGAGAGGGAGGGAGGGAGGGAGAGAGGGAGGGAGGGAGAGAACCAACAGGATCAGTTGGGTCCCTGTAAGAGATTTGGTAGCCTAGTACTGAGGATGACTGTACAAGTGCTGAGAAATTAACCGTGGGTAAACACAGTGAAGGAGTACAATGGAATAAGTCTACTCATAATTAACATTTTAGCAGATACAGGACAGAAGAGACAGTACCAAGTATCTTGGCGGTAGTGCTATATACATGACTCTAATGGAGACGTGCCCAGCCCACCCAGTGTCTCGTGCTCATCTTTGTCTGTCTGTCCGTTTTGGAGGCAGGTGTTTCCATATTGACTCACTGAGGGCTGTGCTGCTGCAGCCTGCTGACGTCAGTGGGGCTCTGGCTCATTGTTTTGTGAAGAGAATAGCCTTGTTTCACCGGGTCTACATGGGTGCTCTGTTGTGTTTGGACGGGACGCGCGTTTATTTAACCTGCCAAGGAGGAGAGAGGGATGTGAGGTGGGACAGGGGCCATGGGCAAGGGGGCAAAGGGGCCTGTTGGTGTGTTCGGGGCATCTGGTTCCCGTGCTGGTTAATTACAGGGTAGGCATAGGCAACGCTGGCATTTAGTCTGCGCTGTGTTGCAACGGGACATTGAAAACAATCCCAGAGTCTTCAAGGCGCTGTCTTGTCTGTGTGTGGGGAAAGGTGAGGATTACTGTGTGGTTCTGGGAAGGTTGGAATGTGACTGGGTGTGCTGTCTTTTTGAAAATATTTGTATTTATTTAACCTTTATTTAACCAGTTGAGTCAGTAAAATATCAAATTCTTAATTTACAACAAGGGCCTACGTGGGAATAGTTTACTACTATCACCCTGAACACAGGAATGTCATTAGTAGTTTAAGTAGTTGACACAGTGGAAAAGTGCAGCAGCAACGGCCCCTGAGTGTCTCTGCTTTGGTGAAGGGCTCCGTGGCCAAAAATAATTCCCCAGATCTATTTTCACCCTATGAGGAGTTTAATTTGTCTGGACTTTTTGCCGAAAGTAAATGAAAATAGTAGGAGTCAATGGGAAGTTCTCATAAATATAGACGTGTGTGTATATGTCTGTGTGTATTGCGTATGTGTGCTCGCATACTAGCGGTCTGACTACCTACAGTTGAAGTTGGAAGTTTACATACACTTAGGTTGGAGTCATTTAAACCTGTTTTTCAACCACTCCACAAATGTCTTGTTAACAAACTATAGTTTTGGCAAGTCGGTTAGGACATCTACTTTGTGCATGACACAAGTAATTTTTCCAACAATTGTTTACAGACAGATTATTTCACTTATAATTCACTGTATCACAATTCCAGTGGGTCAGAAGTTTACATACACTAAGTTGACTGTGCCTTTAAACAGCTTGGAAAATTCCAGAAAATGATGTCATGGCTTTAGAAGCTTCTGATAGGCTAATTGACATCGTTTGAATCAATTGGAGGTGTACCTGTGGATGTATTTCAAGGCCTACCTTCAAACTCAGTGCCTCTTTGCTTGACATCATGGGAAAATCAAAAGCAATCAGCCAAGACCTCAGAAAAAAAATTGTAGACCTGCATAAGTATGGTTCATCCTGGGGAGCAATTTCCAAACGCCTGAAGGTACCACGTTCATCTGTACAAACAATAGTACGCAAGTATAAACACCATGGGACGACGCAGCCGTCATACCGCTCAGGAAGGAGACGCGTTCTGTCTCCTAGAGATGAACGTACTTTGGTGCGAAAAGTGCAAATCAATCCCAGAACAACAGCAAAGGACCTTGTGAAGATGCTGGAGGAAACAGGTACAAAAGTATCCATATCCACAGTAAAACAAGTCCTATATCGACATAACCTGAAAGGCCGCTCAGCAAGGAAGAAGCCACTGCTCCAAAACCGCCATAAAAAAGCCAGACTACGGTTTGCAACTGCACATGGGGACAAAGATCGTACTTTTTGGAGAAATGTCCTCTGGTCTGATGAAACAAAAATAGAACTGTTTGGCCATAATGACCATCGTTATGTTTGGAGGAAAAAGGGAGAATGCTTGCAAGCCGAAGAACACCATCCCAACCGTGAAGCACAGGGGTGGCATCATCATGCTGTGGGGGTACTTTGCTGCAGGATGGACTGGTGCACTTCACAAAATAGATTGCATCATGAGGAAGGAAAATTATGTGGCTATATTGAAGCAACATCTCAAGACATCAGTCAGGAAGTTAAAGCTTGGTCGCAAATGGGTCTTCCAAATGGACAATGACCCCAAGCATTCTTCCAAAGTTGTGGCAAAATGGCTTAAGGACAACAAAGTCAAGGTATTGGAGTGGCCATCACAAAACCCTGACCTCAATCCTATAGAAAATGTGTGGGCAGAACTGAAAAAGCGTGTGCGAGCAAGGAGGCCTACAAACCTGACTCAGTTACACCAGCTCTGTCAGGAGGAATGGGCCAAAATTCACCCAACTTATTGTGGGAAGCTTGTGGAAGGCTACCCAAAACGTTTGACCCAAGTTAAACAATTTAAAGGCAATGCTACAAAATACTAATTAAGTGTAACTTCTGACCCACTGGGAATGTGATGAAATAAATAAAAGCTGAAATAAATAATTCTCTCTACTATTATTTTGACATTTCACATTCTTAAAATAAAGTGGTGATCCTAACTGACTTAAGACAGGGAATTTTTACTAGAATTAAATGTCAGGAATTGTGAAAAACTGAGTTTAAATGTATTTGGCTAAGGTGTATGTAAATGTCCGACTTCAACTGTACGTGTACGTGCCAGTTAGTTAGTTTAATATTCTTAAGCCTGTTTGTGATTGACAGCCCGACGCAGCGTTATCAAAGACAGACAATGCGGGGTGTTCTCAAACCACCAAAACACCCGCTTAAATAATAGACTTTGATAGGACTGGTATATGTATTTTTAGAAGGAAATTCCTGAGATTGCTGTATCAGTTTAAGGAAGGCTTATTCTGAGAACCCTGTCAAAACAGACTGGTAGAGGCCAGAGGAACGCCAGAGGAACACCAGGGGAACACAGTCAGAACCCACAACTACAGGAAGAGAGAGCGCTACAGCCAGGCTGAGAGAGTAAGAGGGATTGGGATTTGGCAGGCTGGATATCCTCCTCACACTACTGTAAAGCTCTTTTTGGTTCGAGAGTTTGAGTTTTACAATGGCACTTTCACATAGAGACTGTGAGAGATTTCAATGTGCTCTCTCTGTTTCTTTTATAGTGGTAATGCGTGACTAACCTAAGGTTTTTTTCCGTTTTTATTTTGTGTTTCTGCGTGTCCGTACAGGTCTTCCGGGTGGCCAGTGTGTGTCTGGGCAGCCCACCTGACTCCATTTGTTGGGAGTACAGAGACAAGGAGAAGAACTTCCACCGCATGGGCCCCCTGTCCCCTCAGCAGTTCTACAAGGAGCTGGTCAAGCCCCTTTACAACATCCAGGACAAGGTCAACTTTTTACCTAGCTTTATTTATTGATTTTAATAAAATATCAATGTAGGCTTTGTGTCATGTAATTAATGATTACAAGAGGTTATCATTATTAGGGCCATGAGTTTTTCCTCGGGTTGCAAAATTCCTGAAACATTCCTAAAGTTCCTGGAAACTTTGGAAGTTTTCTGAATTTTGCGACCTAGGAAAAGCACGGGGCCCAGTTAGTCTATATTAGACCAAGGGTTGGGGTCAGGAATAACAACCTCCCTATAGTAATACTTGATGAGCTGAGTCTAACCTCTGGTCTCCCTCCCCACCACCACAGATCTGTCTGGTGAATGACCCGCGGCCTCAGAACCCCTATGAGAAGTTGTATAGCGTTGAGTTTCTGGGCAACATGGTGGGCGGACACAACACCCTGTACAACAACCAGCCCATCCAGCTACTCAAAAAGGCAGCCGCAGACTCCATCAAAGAGGGAGAGGTACTGTGTGGGGGTGTGAGCAGGAGTGTGTCTGGGAAGTTAGACGAAGGCTGCGTTTGAGAACTGAGTGAGTATGCAGGGAGACTACCTATAACATACGTTTCTCTCTCTCTCTCGTAGGCTGTGTGGTTCGGTTGTGACGTGGGCAAGCATTTCCATGGCAAACTGGGCATCAATGACATGAATGTGTGAGTATTATGAGAGGGAAGCATACATGCGTCAACATCACATGTATAACTCCCTATCAATTAGATCTGTGTGTGCGTATATGGTGTGTCTGTTGTGTTGTGTGTGTGTGTGTGTGTGTGTGTGAGAGAGGGAGCTCATCCTGTCCCTCCCTGTGTTCCCCCCTCTCAGGTTCAACCATGAGTTGGTGTTTGGGGTGTCAGTAAAGAACCTGTCCAAGGCAGAGAGACTGATCTTCGGAGACTCCCTCATGACCCATGCCATGATCCTCACCGCTGTCACCGACAAGGTAGCACACACACAGTACACACAAAACGTACACACACACACACACACATACTGTACACATGCACCACATTTGAGTGACTCTGCACCAAAGGCATCCATTGTGTGTTTACAGTCGTTTGAATCGGCTGCAGGTTTTAAAGTGGCTGTCAATTTCCCCCCCGTAAGTGACCCCAGCTGTCTCCTCCTTCCCCTCAAAACAGCTGGACAGTATTTGGACCCATGGTTACACAACATAGGAGTTACCAGTCCTGGCCTGCACCCCACTGGGAATCCTGCACTCCTCTCTTACTGATGAGCATACTGTATAATTTGCTGTATATACTCCCACCATGTTTCATGTACTCTGTGTATGACAGGCATAAAGCAGAAAACACAGACTTATTTGGACTTCTTCTCCTTTTGTTCAGTACATCTGCCTCCTATCGGGTAATACATAATCATACACATTTTGATTTCTCTCTTTCATCTGTCTCTCTCTCTCTTTATCCCTCTCTCTCTCTCTCTCAGCAGGATGAAAAGGATGGAGGATATGAGAAGTGGAGGGTGGAGAACTCCTGGGGTGACGACCGTGGGAATAAAGGTGAGAGCTGAGTCAACCAGAGGTCAGAGGAGGAGGAGAGGGCCCGTTCTCACGAAGCCTTGTGACGTCTGTCTGCCTTTCGCGACATGAGAGTCCCTCTAGGTCTGCCTGTGCCAAGCTATGTGAAGCGTAGACCCCTCCTCTTCCCTCTCTCACACCACAGGGCTCAGTGTACAATCATAGGGACAGTTGGATTTCCTGTCGGGTCAATTGAATTTGAAGTAGGATTAGCGAAAAAATGCTCCCTTCCCACCCGCCTGGCGTTGTTATGAATTTATGATTGACTTCTGGTGTGGAGGGCTGGTTTTGGTTTGGGGTTAGTTTAGCAGCATCCTCTCATGTCTGGCCCCCTACCGTAGCTTTGTCTGTTAAGGCTATGAACCCCGGAGGGAGAGAAAGCACAACAGGGCTGTTTCCCCCTCTCAGACAACGGCCCTTTGTCCCTCTCACAACACAACAGTACGCCATTTTGTTTCAGCCTCCAGACTTCCTCTGTGTGGAAGACTCCGACACTGTCAGACTACAGGCCTGGGTTCAAATAATATTTTTCTTGCATTAAGCGGCGCTAAAACGTTTGAAAGGAAACAAATACTGAACCCACCTCTGTTGGGACTGTATGGCTTTTTAATCAAAATACGTAATTATCCACCATTCCCACCGCTCTTTCTCTCTCCCCCCTCTCTCTGTCGCCCTCCCCCTCTCCTCTCTCCCTCTCTCTCTCTCTCTCTCTCTCTCTCGCTCTCTCTCCTCTCTCCATCATGTGCTCTACATTCCAGTGCAGATTATTTGGGTTCTGTTATGTAGTCCCACTTTCTGGTCAATGACTTCATATCATCTGCATATTGAGAATATAAAAAAAGCCCTACCTACCACTAAAGCCTCCTCAAATCAACTGTATTTCACACATGTCCCATTCCATAAACATCCACGCAGATATTTTCCCTCGGATGTATTAATAAAGTTATTGAAAACAAATGATGTGGAGGACGGCGGCGGTGGCGGCGGAGAGCACTGTTTGTTTGACAGCTGGAGGCGGAGATGGGGAGGGAGGACTTGTCAACGCCACAACGGACGGAGAAAATGTGTGTTTGTAAGGTTTCGAGGGTTAACATCTCTCCAATTGCCTGTAATATGTTGTTTCCCCCAAGGGGATCCCGCCTAATTAGGTTAACACCGTGGTGCCTGGTTCAAACTGCTCAAACCCTTCAAACACCAGAGCTTTTCTCAAGATTTATTATTATGGCCTTAGAGTGCACAATTTTTACTTTTACGCTATATTATACAAATATGGGAAATGTGGGCCAATCTGACATGTGATATTTCATTGTGACAGACTGTTTTATAGGCTAGAGATGCCCTCCTCAACGCACCTCTCGGATTCTACACGACCCCTTTTACAACTACTTCGGTGTAGTGAGAAACAATATTTGTACTGGCTATTGCGATTCCCTCGTTAACATATCACGTTACCGGGCAGACTATGGACACACTCTTATATCTGCTATTACAATCTGCTATTACATGTAGGATGATGCTGTCATCGCAGATAGGTTTGGAAAATTATTTTCTCATTATCGTGAACTAAGGAGATAATGGAAACAGCATGTGCTGACCTGTGTTGCTCAGGACATTTCAGCTGTACTATTCTATCTAAAGCAGAACAGCTCATCTGAATAAACTCCATCCACAGCTCTCCCTGTAAGACGGCGTAGGACACATCTGCAGTCCCGTTAAGACAAATAATGACGCTATACGAAACCGCCACCCGACACACACTCGTCTTTCCTGGAAACTGGAAAGGAAGAACCACGCAGAATGAACACACACAGAACGAATAAACCACAGAACGAATAAACCACAGAACCAGGGGTATTGTTTTGAGTTTAGGCACGTTTTTCGAGGTCCCTGTGACATCATCGATAACTCAACTTTTCAGCGGGGGATTGATACGCTCTGAACACTGCCCGGGTCCAGAGATGAGAGGAAAATCAAACAGCGGTCACAATCTGGTCTAGTGCCCAGCTCTGACCGTTACACAATCCTGCATAACCACAGGATCATGTTCATTAGGCACCAAATGGAAGAAAACTGTCTGAAACAGGGAGGGACTACCTGGACTTGTCCAATAAGAAACTTTTGTTAAAAAATGTTTTAAAACGTTTTCTGCTGCGTGCCCAAATGAACCCGCCCGTGCCTGCTCAAATCCCAAGTCTCCTCCTATTGCCACGTGGACAGATTGGATCTGTTCTGTTCCTGTTTGTCTTTAGTCTGGGTTGTCAGTTTGTTCAGACGGGCCTATTGCCCTTGTAGATAAATTAGAACAATGTATGCGGAATGCCCCTATTGTCATTACGCATCCTGCTCTCACCAGTCTAATCTCTTCATATCAAGTGTTTATATGCTTTTCTTTATGATTTGATGTACTCACTGTCACCCTCTGAGAGAGAGAGGCCGTGGCCTGTGTGTCTGTACGTGTTCTCAGGTCCAAGGTCTGTTAGTGGGATCATGTACACTGAAGGTTGTGTTTCTGGGCTTGTTATGAAAATGTATTAGAGCAGGAGGAAGTGGCATTCTTTAATCTGTTTTTTGGGGGAGGATAAAGTGGCCTAATGCTGTGTTAATGAATCAAAATATGTGTGTCGGTCAGTCCCTCCTTTGCAAACTGGAGATTTATCGGGCTGGGGTGTGCGAGGTGAGAACAGAAGTGTGGGACAGACCTGGGTTCAAATACTATTTGACATCATTTCAAATACTTTAGCTTGGCTTGCCTGGTGCAATGGAACCAATAGAAACGTGCAAACCCAGCCCACCTGGCACTCCATGCAGGCTAAAGCAAACCAGTCCTAGCCATGCATTTGAAAGATTTCAAATAATATTTGAACCCAGGTGTTGTGTGGGACAGACAGACAGGGTGGGGGTCTGTCCTTCCCTCCTCTCCCTGTGGAACAATAGGTCGGAGGCCAGGGGTACTGACGGACGCCCCTCTTATCAGGACTCACACTTTAGAACACTCGCACTCATTGCTTTCAGTATTGGGCAGTCCACTGAAGTACAGAGTGAGTCACTGATACTGCTGTTAGCTAATGAATGTCAGACTGACTGGTCTTAGAGATGGGTGTTAATCAGGACTAATGATGATTGAAAATAAACTCCAGCAGCACAGGTGATCTTGACGCTCCACCAATTGAATGAATCTTATACCAACATTATCAAGACACCTTCATCAGGTATTTTTTAACTTTTTAACTGTATGAATTAACCCAATGTATCTCCATGTATGTGTGCAGGTTACCTAATCATGACCGACGAGTGGTTCTCTGAATACGTGTACGAAGTGGTCGTGGACAAGAAGTACCTGGCCCCCGAGGTGCTGGATGTAATGCAGAAGGAACCCATTGTCCTTCCTGCCTGGGACCCAATGGGAGCCTTGGCCTTGTAACTATGGAAAAAGAGGGTGCCATCCCACCCGCCCGGTCTCAGCCCTGGTCTGCTTGACTCTGCCCCATCTCTCTGGTTTTACCCCTGCATAGACTTCCACCCACCACAGCCTGTTCTCTAGACAAATAATAAAAGTTTGTTTTTTTTACTGGAAAAACACTCGTCTTCTTTCAGCCATTTTGTTTTGTCCATGTGTTCTTGTGCTTCTCTCCGCCACCAGGCACCAGCGGAGTTTATTGCAATTCAGTTTTTCTTTTTGTGTCCTCTGGCTTCATAAACATTCTGTGGGATGTAGAAAGCTCTGGGGTTGTTTAAAGGTTGTTAAAATGTCTCTTTGTTAGGACTGATTTGAGGGTCACGTCGTACGTAAGTAGTCCATCCCAGTCTTTCACCAGGAGAGACACATCCACACCACCAGTCCTAGCTGTGTGATTGAGGCCCAGCATAATGCCATCCCTTCCTCTCTGCTAGCTTCCCTAGGTCAGAGGTCAACCCACAGCGGCCAGGCTAGAGTGAGTTGTGTGAGAGAGTTAGGCAGGGGTGTCAGGAAGCAGCGTACCAGTCGCCTGCCCTCTGACCCCCCCCCCCCCCCCCCCCCCCCCAGCCATGGTCCAATCCGGTGAGTTATCGTTCACTGACAGACCCTCTCTAAGAAGGGGAAGTGCCAGTTCAGCACATCAGCATCCAGGGTAGCATAATAGCACTTCTGACAGGTTCAGTCAGAGTTTAGTGGTGGTGGTCAGAATAGTATGTTTTGGTGAATAAGCAGTAGGTGGAACTCAACTCGGACACATTCAGTTCATGTAGATAGACATCAGTGATTACGCACAAGCTCCCCCTATGAACTTGACCCTGCTGCTCCTCGCCGTCTGCCCAGCTTTACTGTGAGCTCTGCCTGGAATGAGGAATGACAGACAGGCTGGCTGGAGCTCGGAGGCGAGGTGTCTGGAGCTGGGGTTTTTGTAAGGGTCAGCTCAGTCCCCTGGAACCCCAGCCGTGTGAAGCCTACCACAGCCCCACTCCTCTGACCCCTCTATTAAATCATTACAACTCCCAGAGATCCCCCGAACCGACAAACGAAGGAACGTCCGGCAATTGAGTTTCCAAGAACCCCAACCCCTGAATTCCAACCCTCCTGAGTGGCCAAACACAGGGACAGTACATTTCCCATGGGGTCAGACAGAAGAGCGGGAGAGTGTGTGTGTCCCTTACCTTTGAGATACACACAAACATAAACACAGAGTGTGTGTAAAAGTCCACCTTTCTTTCCCCTCCGCGGTCCACTGTGGCTCTCTTGCTCGCTTGGCTCCTTCATTTGCGTCATGCCTTTGTCTCACTTTTCACCAGGTCTCCCCTGTTGGCACATACAGTTGTCGGAAGTCGGAAGTTTACATACACTTAGGTCGGAGTCATTAAAACTCATTTTTCAACCACTCCACAAATGTCTTGTTAACAAACTATAGTTTTGGCAAGTCGGTTAGGTCATCTACTTTGTGCATGGCACAAGTAATTTTTCCAACAATTGTTTACAGACAGATTATTTCACTTATAATTCACTGTATCACAATTCCAGTGGGTCAGAAGTTTACATACACTAAGTTGACTGTGCCTTTCAACAGCTTGGAAAATTCCAGAAAATTATGTCATGGTTTTAGAAGCTTCTGATAGGCTAATTGACATAATTTGAGTCAATTGGACGTGTACCTGTGGATGTATTTCAAGGCCTACCTTCAACCTCAGTGCCTCTTTGCTTGACATCATGGGAAAATCAAAAGAAATCAGCCAAGACCTCAGAATAAAAATTATGTTTTATCCTTGGGAGCAATTTACAAACGCCTGAAGGTACCACGTTCATCTGTACAAACAATAATATGCAAGTATAAACACCATGGGACCACGCAGCCGTCATACCGCTCAGGAAGGAGACGCGTTCTGTCTCCTAGAGATGAACGTACTTTGGTGCGAAAAGTGAAACAGGTACAAAAGTATCTATATCCACAGTAAAACGAGTCCTATATCGACATAACCTGAAAGGCCGCTCAGCAAGGAAGGAAAAAGGGGAACGCTTGCAAGCCGAAGAAAACCATCCCAACCGTGAAGCACGGGGGTGGCAGCATCATGCTGTGGGGGTGCTTTGCTGCAGGAGGGACTGGTGCACTTCACAAAATACATTGCATCATGAGGAAGGAAAATTATGTGGATATATTGAAGCAACATCTCAAGACATCAGTCAGGAAGTTAAAGCTTGGGCGCAAATGGGACTTCCAAATGGACAATGACCACAAGCATTCTTCCAAAGTTGTGGCAAAATGGCTTAAGGACAACAAAGTCAAGGTATTGGAGTGGCCATCACAAAGCCCTGACCTCAATCCTATAGAACATTTGTGGGCAGAACTGAAAAAGCGTGTGCGAGCAAGGAAGCCTACAAACCTGACTCAGTTACACCAGCTCTGTCAGGAGGAATGGGCCAAAATTCACCCAACTTATTGTGGGAAGCTTGTGGAAGGCTACCCAAAATGTTTGACCCAAGTTAAACAATTTAAAGGCAATGCTACCAAATACTAATTTGAGTGTATGTAAACTTCTGACCCACTGGGAATGTGATGAAATAAATAAAAGCTGAAATAAATCATTCTCTCTACTATTATTCGGACATTTCACATTCTTAAAATAAAGTGGTGATCCTAACTGACCTAAGACAGGGAATTTTTACTAGGATAAAATGTCAGGAATTGTGAAAAACTGAGTTTAAATGTATTTGGCTAAGGTGTATGTAAACTTCCGACTTCAACTGTAAGAGACTTGTTATTGATAAGCCCCTTTGGACTACTCATTTTCCATGCTTTGTTAGTTTGGCTCGCTGTTATCTGTAGCATCCATCTTGATGCTTTGTCATAGTTATGAATGTTCCAGTGCAGATTTCTCCAGTTTGTAGGGAGCACTGCATAAGTGGACCACGTGGAGGTGAGAACCATACAGGTCCATATTGACAGCACGCTCACCTTAGGTTCATGTCTATGGATCATCTCGAGTCTCAGAGGAGGAGTGCTGATCTCGGATCAGTTTTGCCTTTTGAATCATAAAGGGAAAATACATATACAGTAGACGAGGGACCTGATCCTAGATCAGCACACCTACTCAGAGGCTTGAATGAGTAAACACAATAGAGGAGCACCACAGTAAAGCTGTCATATCTCGATTCACTATTCCTTGGCGAGGTTGACGTTAATCTCTCTGCTGAGTTTGTTTGGTAGTTTAGCAGCGTTAAGAGTTTGGAGGTGATGGAATGTTTTTTTACATAGGCTGCTGGAGCCCCTGGCTTTAAGAGGTGAGAGTTACACACTCACACAGTCATGAACACACACATAAACACACTCCGTCAGGAACACACACAGGCAGAGTTAGTTTCCATGTGAGGGGCTTTGGGGCCAGCAGGGCCCAGGGTTGGGATGCAGTAGAGAGGCCGTTAAGGGGCTTTTAGATGCTGTACCTTTTCGTTGGCAGCACTGAGCAGCAAATATGTAGCTTTGTAGTTTAGCCCCACTACGTTCACAGAGAGAGATTCCAAGAAATTCCACTTAATATTTTCTGGGCTTTGTCGATGACTGACCTGATCGTGATGGGAGTCTGGATGGTGAATCTCATTCAACACTTAATACACACAGTACATAGCCTTCTTATTCAAGACTAATACTCTTCAATTCTACTACTTTCCCTGGCTCTTATGGACTGATAGATGTCCTGACGTCACTACTACCGAGACTTTACATCACTACCAAGGATTTATCTGGGTTCAAAGTCCTAATGCCTTTGTTACACACCAACATAAAACCCTCTGTAGAGGACGGATTGTTCTGCTTTATTTATTTATCTGCGTCTTCTCGTGTGTGTGTGTGTGTGTGTGTGAGAGAGAGAGAGAGATGGGGATTAACCTACTGCAGCTTGGAAACAGATTGGAGTGACTCGTACTCGCAGCAACACCCCCACTCTGGTTAAGAGTGATGCATTGTGAGTATCTCCGTGTGAAAGTAGTTATGATTACAATGACTGTGTTGTCTTCTGTGTCTGACTCTCTCTCTGTGGTCCTCTAGTGACTGGACTTGGAAGGCTCTACCCTAGAGACTTAACCCTGACAAAGGGGGCTTCATTACACACACACACACACACACACACACACACACACACACACAATGTAAGACAGTATAATGCAGGTGGCTGTTAGAGGAATCAGGGATAGCCCCACTGCCACTTAACCGGGCTGTTTCTTTCCCCTTCAGAAATATGCGTCTTGGATTAGGAGCAAGGGATCGCTGCACTGGCTAAAGCTTTGTGTGTGTGTGTCTAATCATGGCAAAGTAGAACGTGGCCTTGGGTAAGCCCAGCTCTGTCTAGTGTGTATCCATGCCCTGCCTCTCCGGGATGCTGAGTTGGGACTGGGAGTGAGCTGGACGTCTATGGACAGCAGAGCTGGTCGCTGGTCCAAGCAGCACCCCACTTCACCCCAGGTAGGACAAACCCTCTCTTTCTCCCTCTCACCCACCATTCTAAGATATCCACAGCTTGGAACTGACCTATTGCTACAGTAGGATTGCTTTTGCTCCAATTCCACAGACTTTCTACAGTCCTGGACCAAGATTAACACACATTCATATGGGTTTGTATACAGGGAATATAATTAAATACTGAATGAAAATGTTAACTAGGATATCATACACAACAACATGATACATTTTTCACAGCCTCTCAAACAACCATAAAGTAATGGTTCCATATCTGTAAATCATCGGCTGTCAAACTTGGATGGTCTTGCTGTTTAGTGTTGGGTATACTCACCAAGGAGAATCAATGTTGATTGTTGTAGGCTTATTTGATATGATCCAGGTAGTGCTTGTTTGAGGTCTTCACATATGCTGGGGATTATTGCTGTGTTTTTTTTTCTTTTTTTGTTTTAAATTTGGGGGTAGATCAGCTTAATATTGCAGATAGATTGTAACTTCCATCAATGTAATTGTCTGCATCACTTCCAATCCCCCATGTTTTTATATATATATACTCCCCTTTATTACTTTTCAACCCCACCATCCTTTCCCTGCTTGGGGTAAATTAGTGAACAACAATGCTTAGGCCTCTACTTCCAGCTTATACTTACTATCTACATT